CAGAAATGACCCCCCTGTTACGCGCGGGAGTCTGCCCGAAATTGCTGCCAGAGATTGAATCTCGGGCAGTCCCCCTGACACGCGTGCAAGGGCTATCTCCTCAACCACTGGACCAAATCAGATGGGGAAACAAACAGCTAGGCCAGAATGGTCTCTGCCATGACAGTGGTGCTCTCAGAATCACTGTACCAACAAGATTGACCATGACAATAGTGACCCCCCTGACACGCGTGTGTGCCACGTCATCCAAGCGCGCCCACTATGCCCGCCCACTTGACTGGGCACCAAGTGGGCGGGCAACTGGGCGCTCAAGACACGTCTACACGCGGAATAGACACGTATCAACAAACCCTTGTCACACAACACAACACAAACAGCCTCGGCTCATCAACAACAACTGATCAACCAAACATTAGGCTACACTATCAAGTGAGTGTGACAGTGTGTACATGACGGGTGGTGCTTTGATTGATGACAGATGTGTCCCTAGTAATGGTTGTACTACGTAACGGCAGAGACACTCTGAACAAGAATGCCCCACCTCCGAGACGTGGTGCAAAGACCCCTGCTGTCAAGAAGTCCAGACCACGAGCAACCAGGAAGAAGGCTGCTCCCAAGATGAAGCCCAAGTCAAAGCGAGCAAAGGCTACCTTCACTAGACCAGAGACACCCCTAAGTGACCGAGACTTGATTGTGGTACAGAGAGTAAGTCACCCAGGATGCTTGACACGTCACGTAGCATGGCTGACTTGGACGTGATCACAGCATGTCCCGGCAGTCAGAGATGCCCCTGATGTCAGTAGTGATAGCAGCAGTGATCATCTGGTTGATAGTGATGAGGAGAGTGACAGAGATGGACCGGTAGAGGTGAGTACTGTTGGGGTGTTCAAGTGATTGATGTCCCGAGTGACTGATGTCCCATTTACGTGTAGGAGGATGCCCCGGTGACACCCTTTGTCATTCCCAATATGAACATGTTCCTGTCAATGGCACAGTGCTCAGACGAGTTCAGGACTACTGTCATGAACAGCTTCAAACCAGGTGCCAAGGACGTGGACAAGATGGAGATCTGCATGTCACCGCGGTTCTACTCCCGGCAGTTTAACAACCCGCTAGCCCTGGTCAGGCTGTCCTCTCATGCACCGAGGATCAAGAGGACCAAGCCAGGGGACAGAACCCATGAGTTCTCAGAGTGGCTCCTACTGGCAGAGTCATGCTACCAGCTCTGGATAGACCCTCGGTACAAAGATGCCTTCTTTGCGGAACTCAAGAAGACGCGTACCATCAACCCAGCCAAGAACCCCTGGGTGTCCAGCTACGGGAGTGCCTACATCCCTACCACCATCCTGGCATCCTGTCTCACCAAAGCTGGCTGCCCTACCATCAGGTACAAGGCGTATGGTCAGAAGCTTCCTGTCCATGCAACACTCATGAGGGGTTTTGAGCCCGAGGACAAGGCACATCCCCAACGGAATACCAACGAGTGGGACATTGGAGTCACCTACCAATCACCCTACATCATCCTCTTCAGGCCTGGAGAGGGTGCTTCCCCGGGTACCAAGCACTACCCAATGCTGTCTCCAGCTTCCAGGGACTTTGGCTCGGTACAGACCACTGTTGTCTGGGATGACACCACGCTCAAGGTCAAAATCTATCCCCGGCTGGTCCACGTCATCAAGTCATACAACAGCCGACTGCAGGGAGAGATCTTGACTACTCTGGCTGGTGCCAAGAAACGGTTCAAGGCATCTGTCAACATGGTGCAGCTGTTGTCTCAAGTCCCAGAGGAAGAGATTGGAGGGTTCAGGATAGAGGTCACCGTGCCTGCACCAACACTCGGTGCCGCGTGCATGTGGATGGACAGAAGTCCATTCACTGGGATAGGATTCTGGACCAACCCAAGTCCCGGTGGCACTGGTCCTAAGGTCAACATGATGGTCACCAGGAAGGATGCAATACTCCTTAATGCCAACTGGATGGTGCAGAGAGCAACCACGTTGAAGGTCTTCCAGGGGAGAAATACCGATCTGCCAACTAAGCTGCAGAAGCAAGTCACCGCAGACGTGCTGGCTTCTTTTGGTTGGAATGCAGGGAGGTACAAGGTCACCCTAGCCGGTGACAAGGCTGCATGGTGGAGAGGCAAAGGTGCTGAAGGGGAACAAGGAAATCCAGACATCCCCCAGCTGGATGAAGCACGTACGGGAACACACCACAGCCAGCGCGTCACAACCAAGGTACCCGACACTGTCATTTCCCAAGTCCTGCTACAGCTCAACAGGATCTACCCGGGAGATGCAGGTACCAGGGATCTGGTCAAGGAATTGAGAAAGCACCATCCCAACCGTGACATCCCTTGTCAGAAGGATAGCAAGCACGCCTACAACATCTACGGCTGGGGTCCATTCAGGATGAGGTGTGCCGAGTGGACGTGCAAGCACAACCTCAATGCAGGCAACTCCTACATCTGGTTTGCCAATCTCATTGCTACGGGACAAGTACCAGGTCATCTACTTGGTCTGCCTCCAATTGAAGGTCTCCCTGTGGCTGCCCCACCACCTCCTGTCAATAGGATCACACCCGAGCGTGCCAAGTTGATTGCCGCGCGTCAGAGCCATCTCGCTAAAAAGGCAAAACTACTGGCATTCAGGACGACACCCAAGAGACCTGCCCCATCACCATCCCACCCTCCTCACACACCCATCTACTCAGATCAAGTCAGTCTGATCAGAGGTTCCAACCCCCCAGCATACCATACAAGTCACACTGCAAAGGACGGCAACTGTATGTTTGGAGCCATAGCATTTGGCCTCGGTCATGGCTATACCGCAGCCAAGGTCAGGGAGGAGGCTGTTGAGTGGATACGTGTGCACTATGAAGACTACCTCCCCTTCATAGAATATGGAGAAGAAGGACAGGCAGCAGCATTCAGGGAGTACTGGCAAAGAATGAGCCAGTCGGGTGAGTGGGGTGATGAGCCAGAGATCAAGGCCATCTGCGCGTGTTACAAGGTCAGGATCTCAGTCCTGAAGAGACGGGTGGACGGGGGTCTTTTCTGGAGACACCATGGTCAGCCAGAGCATACCAAGTGCCTCTGGCTCTATCTCAGTAACAACCACTATGAGAACCTGTACCCTGCTCATCACATCACCCGGGTCTGGTGAGTGACGGGTTGTGGTGTCTGCGGTGTCTGCGGTGACTGCTGAGCTCATGTTGTTTACTTTGTCATTCAGATGCCCCACGCGTGACGTGACAGACAACCACTTGGGCAAACAACTCTGCTGTTTGGACAATACACATGTAATGATTAGAATGACCTTGTTGACTGAATGGCATGTACATGACAGCTGTGTGAAGGATGGCTCATGTGGATGGTGAGAATAGGTTGATGGACGGGTGGGGACTTGCACGCGCGGTGACAGGCTGTTTGTTTACTTTTTGCTGCCCCCCTCGCGCGAGACAGCCTGATGACGTGGCCACCAGCGCGCGGGACAGACCTCCTATGGATATGCTCAAGTCACGTCAACAACCTCACCCCCAAACTGCCCAGCGTGATTTCTAAGTCATTTCACCTTCAAAATGGTCCAACCAAGCGGGATAGTGTTCTGGAACTTTCAGACAATTTCATTTTTTGGGAACTTTAACTTTTTTTTTTGACTTTTGAGGTCATTTTGACGTGTTTTTGACCCGTAGCAGTCACAACAAGGGCCCAACCACAGATTGGATAGTTCATTTCTACTGTCCAAAGGTGCCTCTATCCATTGGTACAACCCTGGGAGCGCTGGGATGAGCGGTTCTCAAAAGTGTGTTTCATACCCCGGGGTGGGAACCCCCTATAACCCTCGACGAATGTAATGCGACTACCGCAACGAGAATGTCATTTTATGCCAACGACGAAATGAGCGATCCGCGGTACTCGCGCAGGACTTGTCCTTTTTCCGTTCCGTTTGCCACTTCCGCTCTTTCGTCTGCCACGTCGCCCCTCGTACATACAACAACCACGACCCTCCCGTATCTGACCTCTATTCATCTCGCAAAGTGTCTCCTCTCCTCACAGGTTTATCGATCTATTTGACTACATGTCTGTGTGAAGCCAGCCCCCCTTCAGGATGGGACGGGTTTATTTGGTGTTCCTAGGACGACCCTATTTGCCTGGCTGGTGTCGTTTACCTGTCATTACTCGGGCATCTGGGGGCTGTTTATCGATCACTCGGGTCTCGCAAAATCGTCGAAAACGCTCCTCGTACGCCGGACATCGAAACCCAGACTGATATCACTAACGAAACTACCAACACGATCTTGCCAAACTAATGTTGACGACGAGAAACAAGCAAAGGAGTCGGGCATTTGCTACCCACTCTTTTATATAGCCTTTGCCGGGCGCAGGTTTTCAGGTATTTGCTACCTAGCCTGGGCGAAGGTCCGCGGGTTTCTCGTCGTCCCAAAACTTTCGTTACAGCACCTCGAAATCTATCATCATCCTCGACGACGTCCTTAACAACTCATCACGATTCTCCGGCCTCGACTTTCGCTGATCGACGGACGAGCCCACGGAAACAACCTCGAAAAAGCAGTAAGAAGTTCCCGTCTCGTCGTGGTCTTTCCTCTCATCGTGGTCTTTTTTCGAATCGAGCTGTTCGGAAACTGTCACTGACATCCTATTGACCTCTCGTGTGCCCAGGTTGCTCACCTTTATTCCCTCCCAAACCTCGTCCGGTCTCAACTCCACCTCGGACTCACCTCCGTCACCTCTATCGTCATCCAGTCTCATCTCCTTAACAACCCCGTTCGCTCCATCACCTCGCCGCACCTTACAAACACGGAAATCGGGGATGATAGGGAAAGGCGTTTGAGCGACATTTATGATCGAAAAAGGGGGGAGGTTATGCCAAATTTTATTTTGGAGCGGACCCGGAGGTGAGTCGTTTCGAGTTCGAGATCAAGTCCTGCCAGTGTATTACGTCGGAAGCCGTCATGTCGGACGATACAATACGAATCAAATCCCTTATCATGGCTCGTTACGGGTGTCGTCATACGTCGTTCTGCGGTCGTTGTCCTACTCGATCATTTCCTCCTCCTCCTCCTCTTCCTCCTCTTGTTCCGCTTCTGCTCGCCGTTGCTCCTCTTCCATCTCTCGCTTCTGTCGTTCAATCTCATTCTCTGCCGAAATGACCAGCCGGGCGAGACGAACGAACGCCGGGACGGCTCCATCGCCAGCGGGTTGCCAATCCTCGAGCGTGCGAACGCCTATTCCTAAAATCGCATCGACCGTGTTGGATCCTGTCGACGTTCGGGTCAGCGTAGTTTGGTATCGTGGCGTGGTGGGAAGACCAACCTAGTCGAGTGTATTGTTTTGCGCTGCCGAGAAGCGGGCGCGTCCTGCCTGCCCGCCGACACGAACCAATCAAATCTCGGTCCTTGATGCATGCGGCCAGGGTTTCAAAGAAGCTGTATCGCAAAAAAGGACACGTCGAGCGTTCGCGAAAGTCCACGTCCCATGCGTTTACAACTCACAATCGATCGGTCGCTGGGGTCGATCCATGGAGGCTTCTCGCCTGCGCGGCGTCGAGCAAGCGAGAGATCAGTTCCTCGGGCCTGGGCAGATCCGAGGGCTCGTCTTGCGCAACATCTGCGAGGTGTTGAACCTGTACGGCCCCGTGAACATAGTCCTCGTAATCCTGAGCGTAGTCCTGGGCAATGGATTCGTCGATACTCGCAGGGGCAGGGGCGGCAGGGGCGGCCGGAGGGGGAGCGGGAACGGGAGCCGGAAGGGGACGATCGACGTGAGCTTTCGCCAACTCGGTCTTCAGCATCTGAATGTGATTGTCCCGGAGCCGTAGTTGTAGATCATGTACGGATATCCTCTTGTCCTTGGTCGACAGTTCCAGACGAAGCTCGAGCAGTTCAACTTTGTTGGCGTTTTTCATACTCTCGAGCGCGTTGTTCATACTCTCGAGCTCGAGCTTGTGAGCTTTGTCCTTGTTCGCGAGGGCGGTTTCTTTTGCCGTGATTTCTTGGTTCTTGGCCGTGATGTCCTTCTCCTTTGCAGCAAGTTCGAGCTTGTGAGCGTTGTCCTTGTTCGCGAGGACGGTTTCTTTTGCCTTGACCGGTCCGAAACGATGCGGATGCGATCGAGGTCCTGAGCGGTAAGGTTGGGGTCGCGGTCCATATCGGTGCGGCAGCTGTCGAGGACCATTTTGATGGGGTGATGGCTGAGCTGCCGACGTGAGGTCACAGGCTGAAGTGGTCCACGACGGCGAGGCTGAGGCAGAGGTCGTCGACTCGGGTCGAGTGGAGTCCTGAGCGGGTCTGGAGAGTTCGAGCCTGAGCTGCTGGAGGGCAATTGTCTTGTCTCGGTCGGCGAGATCGATCTTAGCCTGAAGTAATGCGATCTGGCTCTCCTTTTCCGCCTTGTAGGCCGCCGCCTCGCTCTCCAAGCCCTGAATTCGTTTCGCCTGTTCCTCCCTTTCCGTTCGGTACGCCGTAGCCTCCTTTTGCAGTTTTTGAATTTGTCTCACCTGCTCTTCTCTCTCCGTTTTGTGGGTTGCAGCGGTCTTTTCCAGGTCTTTGTTCCGTTTCTCTTGCTTCCCTCTTTCCGTCCTGTTCGTCACAGCCTCCTTTTCCAGTTTCTTGATCTTCTCCTCATCCTGTTCCATCTGCTTCTTGTGCCTCGTCAGATCCGCTTCCATCGACTTCAACCGGTCCTGCAAGTTGCGTTCTGCCCGTTTTAGTAGAATGATCTCTACTGCAGACTGACTGCAGTGGGCACACGTATGATCCGTATATATAGGCGACGTGGTAGCCGCGTTGACGGGAAAGGGACCGGACGACGACGGAGCTGAACACATCTGGAGAGCGGTATTGTGCCTACTGGCATTATTCGGATTGTTGACAGCCGGAATAGTACGATCCGTTGAAGGAAAAAGCGTCGCTATGATCAATGAGTGGACATGCACGACAAGATTGTCAGTACCTGGCATTCCGAACGGCGAGATTCGACCTCACCAACAGCCCGCGAGAAAAACCCGAATGCATGGTCAACTGCGTTTGACGCCTGAGAGACCGAAGACGATTGAGAGGACGAGGACGGGACGAGACCATTGGCTGGAGGCGCTGGACCCGCTGGAGGACTCGAGCATCTGCTGGCCTGTCTTCGTCGCTCCTCGATCGTAACAAAGTCTCTCGAGATCTCAATGTCGACGATATCCACCGTCAAAGAGTTTCTAAGCGTAGTAATGAATTCGTCCTGAGTTGTTGTAATAAGAGCGAGCTGAGTGTCGCCGTCGTCGTCGTCATCAGCCCGGCCAACGGTCCAACTCACCCTCGTCGGCCAGTGACTACTTTCGTGCTGCGTCTCTCGGTAAAACTCGCTCTCTTGTAGCGACCAAAGAGGGAATTCCATACTGTTGTCCTCGTCAATAATCTCCCATCGTGTCTAGGTTCATCATAGCGATCCGAATCGTCTGAGCGTGACTGCAAATACGACGTGCTCTAGCTGCAAGCTCACCGCATCGAGATCATCCAACTTGATGTACGAATACCCATCCTTGTACCACTGTAGCCTGAATTTGACCTCTTCCGGGGGCGGCATCCAGCGTTCCGAATGGCGATCGGCTCTGTAGAGAGACGAGGCCGATGACGACGTGTTGATCAGCAAATGATCTGCATGCCGGGCGATTCCCTTTTCAACTCACGCCTCGCTCAACGGATGCCATAATCCGCACACCTGGCAATACGGCACTCCATCCCCCTTCAAATTCCTCATCATCAACCGGTTGAGATCTTCATGTTCTGGCAGTGGTTCGAGCAGCGGAGGACGACCGGGTTTGCGGTTCTGGAACGCTGTCGTATAGGTCGAATCGCTACGTCGATACGCAGCCGACGGTGCTGGGACCAGGTCTCCTGGGCGAGGTGGTGAAGACGGCATGGCGAGGAGGCATAGGTCTTGTACTTGAGGCTCGAGCTATCGTGAAAGGATGAGGAGACCGGTGTTGATAGCAATGTCGATAACAAAGCGATGCCGATGTCAACCCCTCGCGGTTGTCAATCTCGAAACGCGAGTTTGCAAGCGGCAAGCGGACTTTTATTTCTGACAAACCGTGCGATCGATCGTAACTTGACATCGAGATATCGTCAGGGTAGGACCCGACTCCGTTACATGATTATGAAGAGTTTCGTAAGTTGACGTGATAGAGGGATCGTCTGACCCGGCGTAAAATTCCAGAAAAGCAAACCCCGTAAATTCGAAAAAGCGAACCCGCCTCAAAGCGCTTCCTCGACACCCTGTTCCTCGCCTTCTCCTGACCTCGAGCCTTCCTGCCTCTGCTCATTTCCATCGATATTCGACTCTCTCGGACCTCCTCCTTCTCCCTCCTCTGCCTCTTCCGGACCCCTGACTCGCTTGTCTGGACGGCCCACTTGTTCTCCGTCTTCCGACTCGTCCTCCCTAGCTCGCTTCCCGCCGGCTGTGTCTTCGGTAACCTGCTCGGCTCTTGACATCTTTCCCAATCGTTTCTTGGCGAGCTTTTTGAGCTGTTCTAGCGGATGTGTATCGATGGTTTCAGACGAGGTGGTGAAACTCTCGACGAGTTGACGAAGTTTCGGGTGGACTAGGCCGTGCTTTTGTGCAAACGTCGAGTCCGAAAAGAGAGCGAGCACCATCAAGCAGAGGTAGATCTGGAAAGAAATGAAACGGTGATTAGATCAACTTCGACGTCACGTGGCGAGAACCACCAGGACATACCTTGGTAAGATCATCCTCCGCCGCTTTCACCAATCCCGAATCGATCCAGTCGTAACGTAAAAAGCTACGTTGATGCTGTTGAATCATAATCTCGACGATTCTCAGTGCTCTGGTAGGCCGTGCTTTTCCAGGACAAGCCTACCTGAATGCTTGGCTCGACCGAATAGTAGCTGTACGAGATACCCGGACGGAGTATGCTAGAATCGCCGTCGATTCAACAAAAATCAGCATCGACGTCGCATCCCAAAATCACCACCAAAACCCCAACTCACAGTACATCTCCCTGCCTCAAGATGACCATAGCCTCGCCTCCAATGAACCACAACTGGATACCAACATGTAGCACGACTTCCAACCCCATCGATTCAAGCTCAGATTTGACGAGCTTGCCCGCTGTCGAAACCACGATCGATCCTTCCGAAGCGATGATCTTGCTGTAGGCCTGAGCGTCGTCGGCCTGAGTGTCGATTGCGGCTGCCCAAAACCTAGCTTCCGAGTTCTGCTCTGGCGGTTCTTTGCCGTGAGGGAAAGGAAACGAGGTCGAGGTGACGGTCTTTTGTTCAGGTCCTGTCGAGAAGCAAGGCCGGTCGATCGTCTGAGCTCATTCGTCTACAATGGAAAAGAAAACGCCGGCCACACACTCACCTGCAACGCACTCTGCCAAAACCTCTTGCAATCCGGGAGTACCATGACAGTATTGCAACCACGCTGTCTGGAATTGCAACTTTGGGTCTGTTGCCGCAGGGTCCTGATGAGCAGCCGCGGTTGTAGGATGGGTAGAAATCCACTTGCTATGACGACGGTTCAATCCTCCTGATTGCACGGACAAGACGAGGCAAAGCGGAATTTGTGACTGACCACATCGCCTCTCTCGTGCCCTTCTTGAACACCTTGACCGAACTGCCCGAATCCGAGTCCGAGCCAGCTTTCGATTGCCGGGATTGTCGTATGAGCTTGTCAAGCTCGTAGCCTCGTTCTTCCATCTCGGGGACCTACAAGAAAGAGACGTGTCCAGTGTCAACCCACTAGGCTTCAACTCTTGAACACCGACTCGTACCTTTCTCGAATCCGGAAGAACGATGTGTAAACCTGACTGCACCTTGATCTGCCTGCCTAGTATCTTCTCCGCATCTTCCCCAACGACATAAAGAGACCCAGACCACGCTGTTGAAGGGCTTCTTTGCTTTGCTTTCCTGAGATTGGCCTTGTTATGAGTACCGATATGGAAGAGGCAGTATTTCGACAAGTCCTTGCGCCCTCTTTTCGACTTTTCGATCGTGCCCTCTCCAGCTACCCTGTCCGTACATGCTCCTCCACCGTCCAGTTTGTAGTTACACTGATCACTGATGAGTGTCGCAAAGTCTGTAGGTTTCCTTCCCTTCAAGGCTGGAGTCCATGATGTGAGGGGCTTTGACCGGTTTGAGGTCGTTGCCGGGATTCTCGCAAAAGTTGCATGTTTCGGTCGTTGTTGAAGTCGTCATGATGGGCAGATGTTGATGGTACAGGAGTTTGAACAAAGGACCCAGTTGGAAGGGAGTTTATGGGCTCTTCCACAGATCCTCAATAGCTACTAACGACGAGATTAGCTCGAAAGCGAGCGATTTGATCTTTCCCACACTTCGACTCACCAAACGGCCTAGATGCACGCTGATGCCATCCTTTCCCCGACCTTTTCGACCACCGAGAAGCCAGACCCGGTTCCAATACGCTTGTTTAGATGTCTGGTATCGACTGGCAGAGTTACGGCAGTGTGGAGAGAATGGTCGATGGTTCGTGGTCGACATGATGAGATTCGAGATCAACATCGATCGTCCAACGACAAACAAGGTCGAATATGCTCAAGTCCAAATGATTACGTCACCCTGCCGGATCTCCAAGCACGATCATTGACGGGCAAGCAGCAACGTAGCAACAACCTGTACTCACTACTGTATCCCGACGTAAAAGTGCTCATCCTGGTCACGCCAATACACGCAACCTCGGACGGGACCCGCTCGCTTTGGCTTTTCACAAGCGTCATCATCGATATCATCGTCTTCATGCTTCGTAATTCAGAGTTCGTAATAAATCGCTTTCACCTTCCCAACCTTCCGGTGCCACCTCCATCAAAATTCGTCAATCGTACCCCCTCAATCTGCACCTGCCTCCGCGTTCAAAATTATTCGCATACTGGTCTCTCACTCCTCCTTCCCCACGCTCGTCCAATCAATCCCTTTCCCCTCCCCATACGTCTCTTCCAGCCAGTCGTTACATTTCTTGAAATGCCCATTGCCCATAAAACCGCGCGCGGCCGAGAGTGGGGAAGGATGAGCCGAGGTGAGGATGTGGTGAGCGCGCTATTGAAGGCGATGTAGGGTGGGTCGGCGGAGGACGAGGTGCGATTTGGACGGAGACGAGGCGGGAAGATGAGAAGGCAGGTTCGAAGTAAGCATTCTTTCCTTCTTCTTCCATCTCCGGCTGATGTGTCGCGACCTGGCCTAGTCGACTCACCGGACTGATCCCCTTGACCAACTTTCCCGCCCCAGCTCCCCAAGCCAAGAAACACACCCCCTTCGCCCCGGCCTCGCCTCCGCTCTTGCTCAGACGATCGACGACGAGCTTGATCACCCGTTCCGTGAACTGTTCCCACCCGCGCTTGCTATGCGAATTGGCTTCGTGCGCTCGGACGGTGAGCGAGGTGTTAAGTAGGAGTACGCCTTGGCGAGCCCAGCTGGATAGGTCGCTAGAGGGAGATCCATCGGAGATAGTAGGCAAATCAGATTCGCCGCCTTTCGTATCGTATCCCCATGTTCCGGCCGCGTCGCACTCACCCGTGTTTAGGAGCCTTGAACTCGCCAGGATACTCGTTCTCCAATTCCTTATACATGTTACGCAACGAAGGAGGCACGGCGACGCCCTTTTTCACCGAGAAAGCTAGGCCCTGCGAGGGTACGAACACGAAAAGATAGTCGGAAGTCGGTACTCGAACGTGAGGTGGCAAAACCACGGCAGGCGGGAAAAGAGGACGATGGGACTTACGTGTGCCTGCCCGTCATTCTGTTATCGTGCCAACGCCAGAATCATCTTCGTCAGCTTATATCGACCAGACGACTTGGAGAATACGCATCGGTAGAGCACTCACGTGGTACGGATCTTGTCCTGCTCCATCCGAATGACCAGTCCAGAACAGTACCCATCCATACGAGTCCATAGCAGATCACAGGCGACAGAAAGCCAAGAGCCACCGAGAGCGCGATCGAAAGGAAGACCCAGATATTGGAATTGATCAACTCGTCTGCTCTTCGCCGTCGTTCCCAAAGACACCTGCAGCGGAGCGCGATGTGAAGGTGATGAATGGACGGCTTACCGATGATGACCACCCTGATCCCTGCCAATGGACAGAATCGGGTCCACGAATATACGTCATGAGCTGCGAGTGAGAACAAGAGCCAACGGGTAAGGCCAAGATCAGGGTAAGCTCGCTATGCATGACGGTGATACCGAGAAGAACCATGAAGAGGAGGAAGGGGTTAGAGTAGTCGGAGCGGAAGGTCCGGAGCGGATCGGCTCGATTTTGGGCACCACGGGGCGGGAAGGGAAGAAAAGGTTGGACGACTTGTGCAGCGACTCACCTGGCGGGAAAACCTTGTTCTTCGTCTGTTCTTGGATGACGAACCGCTTGAGCTGAACGACCACCACAGCGTTTCAAACCGAGATCCACGAGATCGAGAGAGATTGAAAATGACATAGAGAAGAAGGAGCGTACCAAACAGTCAGCTGACGGTTCATTCCTCCACAGCCTCCAAAGACACGCAAACACTTCCCAAGACCCGCCACTCACCTCGAGGAAATAAGGCTTAACGAACTCCCCCCTCAACCCAACAAACCAATCATCCCCCATACTATCCACCTCCATGCCCAAAAGCTCCTTCTGTTCCTCCGTCAAAAGCTCGAGGAAATCGGACTTGAGTTTCCTGAGGTGGGCGATATGCGCTGAGAGCTCCGAGGGGGTGTGGTCAGGGTCGAGGGAGGGGATGGGGAGGGCTAGGTGGGTCTTCATCGGGGTTGTATTCGGCGAGGAGGTTAGGGAGGAGGAGAGGAGGGGGTGAGGAGGAGGAGCTAGGGCGGCAACGTCGTGACGGGTTGTGGTGTGATCAGATGTGGTAAAACAAAGCAGTCATATCAATCATATCCTTAGAATCACAAATTCCGAAACAACACGACTAGCACCCACCTCCAGAGCCACCCATACTCGAGCCCGAACCTCCCGCAACACCTTTCTTCCCTACACCCGCACCCGCACCCGACCCCGAACCCGCACCCGACCCCAAACTCGAACTCATCGTCGTCTTCCCTCCTCCAACCTTCCCAAAAGCCAACCTGGTCTGCCCCCCACTCCCCGCTCCACCGGGAACCAACGCCGGGTGGATCTTTGGTTTCTTCGCTGGAGGCTCCGCGGCTTTATCTTCGGGTTGCTCTATTTTCGCTTTGGAAGATGATGATGATGATGATGATGATGATGATGATGGCGGTATTGTGGGAGAGAGTAGAGTTGCATCCGTAGGTTTGGTATCATCTTCATCTTCCTCATTAAGGTGAACGTCGGCTTGAGGTCTAGGTTTCTGCGGAGAGATGATCTGAACCGAAGAGGAGGACGAATCCCGGGTCGCCGGAGCTGGACGTTTGAGCGGGTTCGACATGGCTTTGGCTGAGACTTGTGATAATCGTGATAGGCGAAAAGTATGGCGGGTAATATAGAGCCTTTTGAGGAGCATGTAATGTACGAGGTCGAGTGTTGGACGACTTGATGTATCGACCGTCGCCAGAGTGAGTAGACGAGTCGATAGTTTGATCGATAGCTTGATCGTATCGGCGAGGTCGCGAGGTCGATCGTCATATCGTCATCGCTTACGGGGACTTCGCTTCAAATACCCTAAGACCTGTCCAAACCGCGCCCACACAGCAATGACCACTATCTCAACAACGAGCACGGGTACCCCCATTTTAGACCCCTAGAACGTATTAAGGGGGTCAAAATGAACATTTTGTTGCATTTCCGGTTTTTGCAAAAGTTGTCTCTGCAGAGTTATAGCCACCTGAAATTTTCAAGTCTGTTTCTAGGGAGCCACACTGCAATTGGTGAAACCGGAAACGCAACAAAACGTTCCTTTTAACTACCTTACCGACCCTATGACAAGAAAAAAGGGGGTATCCGTGCTTGTTGTTGAGATAATGGCCATCTTCTGCTCATATCCAGCCAAAATCTGACCTCTTCCCGACGTCGAGGATGACGAACCGCGAATTGAGCCTTCGGAAGCTGATGACGGCATATCGGAAGTATATAAGGCGGATCCGAGAGCTGTTTGATTACCTAATCGACTTGCTCGGGGACCTCGGGACCTTCCACCTCATCAATGACATGCATGGGCAACGACCTATTGTCGACCTCGTACACCTCACTCAACAGAACCTGCACCATCGGGCCAGAGACCATATAGACGCAACGACATAAAAAACGAACCCCTGCCGAAGATGGCCTTCTTCAACCAACAACCCGCCCCGATGATGTCGCCTTACGACCCCACCCACCCCTCACTCCAATTCTACGGTCAAGGTCAACCAGCTTCAACCTCCGCCTCTGTGGGGGGTCCTTCGTCCGCCTACCCCGGGTCGGGAGGATACGGCGGTGGCTCGTATGGAATGGGAATGGATGCCGGTATCGATGGGAACTTGAATTTGGGCAGGATGGGATCTATGGGGGGCGCGGCTTGGGCAGGAGGAGAGGGGGGGAGGTGGTGGCATGCCTTTGGGACGGGAGGGTTGGAGGGTGAACCGAGTTTGATGGAAGGTGAGTTTGAGTTTCACAGTAAACCGGAACGAGCTCTTAAGAAGTATCGTGTTGAAGGTGGTACTGATATTCATTCGGATCGGTTTCGTGCTTGATTAACTCTTGTCGTCTTTTTCTTTCGGTTCATCTTTTCGCTTTCTCTTTCCCTTTACCTGCTCTCCTCCTCCATCCCGAATCCATCTCCACCTACTCCCCTCCCTCTCACCCACCATCCTACCCCATACCCCATCGCTACACCCTCAGAAATCGGCATCAACCCATCCCACATCCTCGCCAAATCCCTAACGGTCCTCAACCCGCTACGTCGCCCGGCCCCGGATATCATGGACGATGCGGACCTGGCAGGGCCGTTCGTGTTTTGTTTCGGGTTCGCTTTGGTTTTGTTGTTGGTGCGTATACTCTCTCTGGATCATATTTTTGGTACTGTTGTTGGTTGATGATTCTGCGGGATGGATGCTGATCGTTGTCTATTCTCTGCTTTGTCTATTTGCGTGCGCTGTACTGCGTTATGTCGGGATCGTTGTGATACGTCGACCAACCCGCCTCCCCGGATCTCTACCTCTATTACGGCGACCTCCTTTCTATCTATCTTTTTCAATCGGCGGGATGACAACTACGGTCCTCACGCCTCGACATCATTTCGATGTTCCTCCGATTACGAACCCATCTCCCACCTCCTTCACCCCGTCGACCCAGTCCGGCAAACCCCAATTCTCATACATCTACGGCGTAGCCCTCCTAGGCACGACGGCCATCTACCTCCTCCTGAACCTGATGAGCGACCGCGGGATCGACGCTTATCGGACGGCGAGCGTGTTGGGGTATTGCTTGTTACCGATGGTAGGGTTGGGTGGGGTTGGGATGGGCGTGGGGATCGAGTGAGTTCATGGCGCGAAGAGATGGGGTTTTGAGATGGGGTTTTGAGAGGATCGAGAGGTATTTGAGGAGGAGCTGACGAAATGCTCCAACTTCTCTTCTCCACCATCTCCTTCTTTCTCTCCCTTCCCCTCTCCGCCAAAACCTCTCCAGCCACCCACTAGGCTACCTCCTCTCCTCCCTATCCATCATCTGGTGCACCTACTCGGCCTCGGGGATATTCACCACGATCCTCCGGATGGAGCATCAACGCTTCTTGGTCGCTTACCCTGTGGGGCTGCTTTATGGGGTGTTTGCGCTTTTGAGCGTGTTTGGGGTGAAGTGAAGAAGTAGAAGTAGAAGTGAGGAAGAAGTGAGGGAGTGAGGGAGTGAGGGAGTGAGGGAGGAGACGAAATGCGAATACGAATGCGAATTTTTTAGGGGAAAGGGACGGGAGGGGGGCTTGGAGGGCAGGACGGGGGTGGGAGGGATACTGTAGGTCTTGGTCTTGGGCAAGGTCAAGGTCAAAACCGGCGTCGGCTTTGGGATCTTAATCGGGGAACTTGATCAATAATGTTACGCGGGATATGCGACTCGGTGAAAGCGGAAAGAGATCCCGAGGCAGAACTCGTGGACGATATATGTTGAAGAATAGAGCGACGAAGCTGTACTCATAGATGCAGAACCTTTCTATGATCTATGATCTATGAAGAATAGGGGGTCATTTTACGGCTATTTATGAATTACGTCAGATCAGATGGTGCATCCGTGAACATCGGATTCGGTGCAGGTACAAGTCCTCATCCGCAATCTAGGTTTCAGGACAGACCGAGAGACCTGAGAGAGCGAGAGATACCTGATCGTGGGCAGATGCAAGATGTAAGGTGCGGGTACGCCAATGGTACCCCGTCAATACTCGTCGACATGTCGAATACGATCGGAGCGATTTCGAAAGCGCCTGATCAAAACGTCATACAGAAGAAAGCGTCGGGGTTCCAGCTGGATATGACCGTGTGAGTTTCAGCTTGCACTCGTCCTCGTGATCTACCGGGCTACTAGATCCGGCGAGCCTACTAGCTTCCCCGGGGTTTGTGAACCAGCATTTCCTCGTTCGTTGCATCTGGTCGGGGAGAGCGGAGGGGAGGGGGGAATGACGAAGGCTGCCGGGAAATATTAAATTCGATCTATTCTTAGTGGATTGATGATGTATTTGCCTCCGTTCGATGATGATGATGACGTTGTTACCCGAGCTGGGGAAAAGTTGATGATGAACATGTTGCATGTGCTTGTGGGCTGACGACGATATATACAACGACCTCGTTCATTCGTTCGTCTGACATCCACCTCTTTCGCCTTCTCGAGCAGCACTTTCCAACTAGTAACAAATCACATCGCCTGGCAACTCGCAACCCGCGACCATGATTCACTACCCAGAGAAACACCACGACAACGGGTACAAACCCCAAGCCCCGCCACCTCGACATGTCACCTCGATCCTCTCCCCGCAAGAGACCTGCGAGGCCTTGGTAGAATCGGCCGTGGCGAGGCATCATCAGAGGATAGACATCTTGTTCCTAAAGGTCAGTTCTGGTTCTCTTTGCTTTTTTCGCGGTCCGTGCTCGTTTTTCCCTGAGGGGGTGGGAATAGGGGTAGATCAATCGAGCTGACGTGAGACCATCACTTTCTTTGATCGCTATTCGCATCTCGTCCAATTCTATCCTATCCTATTGTACTCCGCGCCGATCCGATCCAACTTGACTCGACTCGTACAACTCGATCCAACCCCCACCCGACCCGACCTCGATCTCGAATGACGAACCCGCAACCCCGCAGGCAGTCTGGGGCGGAATCCTACTCTCATACGGCGGTTTCCTCCAATCCGTCGTCGGCGGTTCACCCAGCGCCAATGAGAACAACGTGAGTTTCTCTTCACTCTTCCCTCTTCACTCTTCCCTCTTCACTCTTCAATCTTCACTCTTCAATCTTCCCGCTTCCCGCTTTTTGCTTCACTTTTTCCTCTTCCCGCTTGTCCCGCCTGTTTCTACTATATGTGGACTTTTGATGGGGTGGGGTAGGGGATTGAGTTTGATCTTCTGGCTGACGCACTATTCTTTGCTTTTTCTGTTCTTCGTGTGCTTCTCTATTTCTCTGTTCTTGGTGATTGTCGTGGCTTGTTCTATTCTCGACGTGAAAAATCTTTCCATCCACAGCCCGGCCTGTTGAGGCTGGTCGAAGGTCTAGTCTTCCCCGTCGGTCTTAGCTTGTAAGTCCTTCCGATCCCCGCTCCCCTAATCACATCCCGTTGTTTTCTCTTGGTACGGGGCTGACCGTGATGCGATCAAACGTCGCTTTCCTTGATTATCGCTCGCTTCATCAATCGACGCCCCCGGTTCCGATTTGCCCGTGCTCGCTTCCTCCATCTGCTCGTTCTCGCTGCCTCCCTCCGCCCGCCCGCTCGCTCGCTCGCTTACGCTCGCGCAGGATCGTCCTGATCGGAGCGGAACTCTTGACCTCGGACATGATGATCATGCTCCTCGGCGTCGTCAAGGGCCGGATCCCTTGGTGGGGGTTGCCTTACAACTATTTCGTCGTCTGTAAGTACTTCCTCCTCTTCTCTTGTTTTCGGATGGCGTGATATATAAACCGCTCAAGAGATATCAAAGAGTCGCTGACTGAATGTCTACCTTACCGACGCGGATGTGAATATGGACGTGGATGTGTATATGTTCGCTCCGCACGACACGCAGTCTGGGGAAACTTGGCAGGCTCCCTGTTCTTCGGCGCCATCTTCATCCGGTACTCTGGACTCGCCACCGGCCCCGTAGAGACGTTTATCACCAACACCGCCGCCACGCGAGGATCCCTGGAATGGCACCAAGTCTTCCTCAGAGGAATCGGGTGTAACATCATGGTCTGCCTCGCCGTGTTCGTCGCCCAGATGAGCAGTGACCTCGTAGGAAAGGTCTTTGGGATCTATTTCGTCTTGTCCGCTTTCGGTGAGTCCCCTCGATGTCTTTTTGAGAAGGGCACATGAGATCGGGTGAGAGCAGGTTCAGCTGACACTTTGTTTCTGATGGGCCGGGCGGTAGTCGTCTCCCAATTCGAGCACGTCGTCGCCGACATGTTCGTCATCCCTCTGGGTATGATGTTGAACAAGAGTCCTTCGGTGGCCGTGTACATCTGGAAGTGAGTGCCCCGGCGTCTAACGTTGTCCGATCTTCGAGGTCCAGGGGCTGATCGAGTTGTTAATTTTTTTCGCTGTGTAGGGACATCCTGGGAGCCTTGATCGGGAACATCGTCGGTGGATGGTTGATCGGAGTCTCGCTCTACTGGTTCTATTTGCACCACGTGAGTCCGCTTTTCTTTTTTTTTTTTCGTAGCCAGGTAAAAATCTGACCTGAGGCCCTGTTTTATGTGTGCGACATTGGTAGTCCCCCCAACCCGCCAAGATCACCGACAACGAGCGCGGACCGGACGTCGATTCGAACAGCACGATCGCAGGGGAACACGGCGGGAACCCCAACGGACGAGGCAGTCACTTCTAGGCGTGTAGCTGGAGGAGGGTATTTTCCCTGAACAAGGGCAGATGCTTTGGTCGTGCGTATCGAGGAGGTCGTACTTACTACTGTATCAAGAACGCTTGTTAGGCTAGGCTGGTGCATGCTATTCGAACTCTATAATCATCTTCGTATAATCATTTTTGCTGCCTGCTTTTTCAGATCGCTGTCATGCCGATGATCAGAGCACGAGTTTCTGGCCGGGCGCGAGCGTAGAAGCCATCGCCCGTGACTCGCCATTTAGCATCTAGACGGCCTTACTAGGCCCGATCTCCTATTTTCTCATTTGTAGGATGCCGCGTCACCATCATCTGTCCCGTCGTCGCAGCGCGGTCTCGTGGAACATGCCTTGCTGATCGCCGTCCAGCGCCACGTCCGTCCGCGTTTCACGATTAAGATTCGTTTCAGGTCTTGCCTAGCGCGTTGATAACCGGATGGCGATAACGCGGAGCAACGGAAGGTATGTCGGTCTTGAGGAAACACGTCCTCCTTCAAAGGTCAGATCGCTAGAGCGTGGTCAATTCATCGATCGTCTTGGCTAGACCAATGATGCCACAGATCAGCTTACCATCGCACTGTCCTGGACAGGCAGTTTGTCGATCAGCTGAGATCCGACCTGCCTTTCGAACGACTGTTCAGCGAACCCGTCGGGCTGGTGAATTCAAGGGGTGTGATCACAAAGGAGAGCCCTTCCCTGATGAGGATATATAGGCTCAAGCAAGGCATCGATCAAAAGGGAATGGAAAAGCATTCCACCATAAACAACACTCTCGAGCTGCCTCGACTCGATCCGATCCGATCCGATCCGATCCGATCCGGTAACAGACCTACCTGCCTACGCATTCCCTGCCCAATTGTGATTATGGGATCGATCAACACTGCGTTCGCCACTTCGATCCGGTCCCGGATTCGGTCCTTCTCGACAGATTGGCGTGAGAGTTTACTTTCTCGGCTCAAGTCCTTCTCATCTCGCTCTCATGAGCCTGGGCCGCCCTCAATTGAGTACCAGCCTAACGGATCCATATCACCTCCCGAGCAGCAACCGAGGGCTCCTTGTGGGTCTTTCGATCCCCGTTACCAGAAGGCTTTGATGATCCGGTGGGGGCTCAGCAAAACGGCGCTTGAGCGCGAACGCCTTGCGATTGAGGGGTACCGGGTTTTCTTCACGCTGCAACAGCAGGACGAGCTACATCAGCTGGACGGGCTATGCCGTGGCATCGAGGAGATGCTCAAGAGATACGCAGAAAGTCAGGACCTAAAAGAGGGATGGGAGTCTTACATCGAATTTCTGGACGTGGTCAGGGTGGGTCCGCCGCCGAAGGGGTCAAGACCTCTGACGGATAGGAAACGGGCAGATCCTCTCTGTCCTTGTTGTTACTGCTTTGACGGCCGGCATGCATATGTATCACCTTGTAGTCAACATTGATGACATGGCGCATTTGACCACTGAAGCAACTAGGTGAGGCCGAAAGAATGCTCAGACGATAATGTCATTGCGCAGGGATGTTTTGCACGTTGGCAATCGAATTGCTTTGCATTCCACCAGCCCGACCATGTCTACATACATCTTCGAACCAGATAGATGGTACCGTGATCCATTGTTCCTGCCATCGATTCCGATTCGGTGTATGCCGTTCTCTCGTGAACTGACGCTATTGTATTTTAGCACGGCTAGAGCCAGAGCAGGAATGAGATTGTCTTTGTCCATGTCAGTGATCAGCAGACTGTCAAGCTGCTCTTGAGGCGACTGCCAGTCAACTGATCCAAAGGCTTACGAGAGGCAACAGCGAGTGGCGGCAAGAGACGAGAGTGGCGAGAACCAAGGGGTAGCCACAAAGGAGGGACTTATTGCGCCTTGTGTATGATGTGTTGCTACAATTGAGATATATATGTGGACGATCCAAGGGAAGGGGGAGGGGGGGAGGGGGGAGGTCGTTGATTCGCATCACTCCACCTCAACACCATTCCGCGAGCCCCATCCTCGACACCTGCTCATACACCATCATGTTGATCTCAAGCGAGACTGCCAAGGACGACTATAGTCTCTTGGCTAGCTTTGAAGACCTCGAATCCATCAAGAGCTACATTAGTGACCTTGGGCAAGAATTATCCCAACTACGACTGTCCAAGGAGCAGAAGGAATCGATTGTTGCAGCTCTCCAGTCGACCCTGTTCAGCGGCCGATTGAAACCGGCGGCGGAGGATGATGTTTACCAGAATGAATTCCAGGATGGAGAATTCGAGAAAGGCTATGAAGAACAGTTGTATCGTCGTTGGATGAGCAGCAAGTCTGTCGAGGAACGCAAACAGCTAGCGTTGGAAGGATACAGAACCTTGATCGGATTGGAGCCAGGAGCAGAACTTAAGATGCGAGACAAAGATGTCATCAAAGACCTCAGCGATAGCGCAGCGAAAGATGATTTAAAGGCAGGATGGTCGGAGTACCTTCAGAAACTGGCCTGGCAGAAATTGCAAGCTAGATTCTGGAGATGAATATAGACCTATTGCGACCGCTCCCCGAATTGTCCTTGATAGTTGGAACCGTATTGTACTGCAGCATATTTCGATGGTTTAGAAGATATCAGTGCTACATTATCCTGTATATCGGTATGACTCTAACGAATATTTCATCCGGTCGATGCGGCCGATGCGGATATCTCGTGGTCATACAGGCCAAGTAATACGCGAACGTACCTATTGTGCTTACGGAACGCTGGTCAGCAGACAACAATCACTGGTGAGAACCAATTGGAAGGTCACAAAGGATGGGCGCAACGCATTCTTGCTAGTCTTACGCCTTGAGCCCTATATATGGGTTCGGACACCGGGGTCGTTTAAGCGATTGCATCCCTCAGAACGGATCAAACTCGTCTGAACCCGACTCGACTTGCATCCTACTCCAACTCAGGACCTCGAGAACAATTCTTCGCTATGAGCTCGATTGTGACCGCAAGCAATGAGGGTCCGAAACCAGGCTCTCAAGGTTCAGTTCTTTCCTTTGAGGAATTGTTGTCGGATGTTGAGAGGATAGGATCCTCTCTTGCCGCGCTCTCAGAAACGGAGCAGCATGAGCTCTACCATAAGATCCTGTCGATGTTGCCAGCCGTAAAGCAGTCAAAGCTTCTCGGCAAGGGCACGCTGGATGAGTCCGGCTTTGTTGATGATGCCGCCGATGACGACGACAACTATCCCGTATTTCGCGAACCGAAGTATCAGAGGGACTTGAAGGAGCGCTGGATGAGCAGCAAAACTCCCGAGGAGCGCAAGAACCTTGCGCTTGAGGGGTATCGAACTTACTGCAACCTGAGAGATTCGATTGCCTTGCCCGATGCTGTCATCAAGAACCTCACCGCTTGCGGAAAGCAGGTCACCGCAAGATCGGGGTGGCTAAACTACCTCCAGATGCTAGATTGCCTGCCCAAGGCCTAAAATCGCACTCTAGGAGCAGTTGAGCACCTCCGCTGGTTCTGTATATGCGCTTCCTGTATACGATAACTTGAGGATGGACTTGTAATATGCAGAATAGCAATTAGCGAGAGACTGACTCCATTATCTGCGATACCGTGTCAGCCAGCATGTTTGCCACTTTCGGGAATGGCCAGCGCATTCGAACAGTCATCAGACTGCTGGCCTGGAGACTTGATTCCGAGGAATGTTGCTGTTAATGATCAGCTGACCTATTCCGTGTTCCATCACGCCAACCAGCTGAAGATCACGCCGTATTGGGCACGAATGACAAGCCGGATCTGGACGCGTGCCCTCAAGGAGAATCAAGGACAGAGTCACAAAGGAAGATGTCTCTAGCGTTGTGTCTAGGTGGGGAAAAGGAGGGGAAAGATACATATATATGCATTCGGACAAGAGAGCAGCCAGAGCGACTTGTATGGGCACACGAAGCGACTGAACCTGAATCCAACACAACTCATCGCCATCGAGCCGAAATCAACACGCCTACTGTACACACTTCCGAGTCAACTTGTCGCTATGAGCTCCGTCAAAAGTACTGGTACTATCACAAGTTCTGAACCAGCTTCTCAACCGCCGTCTCAGTCACACTCCTCCAAGCCTGCTTCTGAAGCTTCCTCATGCGACGACGATGAAGCCTTTCACCGGTTTTTGCAACATCACATTGCGTGGAAGGAAGAATGGAAGCAGTTGCCGACTGGTAATGAGCGCAAGAAACTTGGAAACAATTGGTACCAAGACTTGCTTGACATGGCAGAGACACCCCGTGATGTCCGCAGGGATATCCACCGCTATGCCAATGACAAGGGCTCAGACCAGGATGCTGTCTGGCGGGAGGTCATGAGAATTTTATATTGGCAGAAAAAGATTGCCGACGCAAAGAAGCAACCCATGACCCCATCCGGTTCTTCCTGAATTTGTGAACGAGCAGTAATGCCACATACTTACTGTATCTAAGCCTGGTCAGAAACGACATGACGAGATTCCTCTTAGCGTGATGGTGGAATCGGCCGAAGAATGGGCTGTTGATCAATCAGATGTCATCCGTATGGCCGATCCGAAATGACGGTGACATTTGGGTAACGTCGTGTGCGAAAGCGAGGGAGATAAGGTAATACAATCAGCATATTTGAATTGTGCACAGGATCACCATTCGAGGTCGACTTGCGGTTTTTGTAGGCCTTGATGCTCCTGATCCAGCGCGACGTTTGTTCTGGTGGTTTGTAAATTTGACAGACCCATCTTGCGATCAACAGGACGACTCCAGTACCTGGCGCGATTTCGCAAGGGCTTGAGACAATGGACGTGTCGGTAACGCCACTACCCCAGGGTTTGTGCAGGGATGATCAGTATTGATTCGATACGTGCTTCCCGTTTCCTCCGCGCCATGGATCGTCAGTCATGCATCGTCACGCATCCGATGAAACGCTTCTAGGTCTTGTTGCTCATGAGACGAGTCTCCTTTTCTGAAAGACCTGATATTTAGACGACTTTGTGCGCGCTTGTAGAGGATGGATCAGGCGCGGACAGCAGGGCAATCGCTTTACCATCCTACGTCGTTGCCGATACGCTGGACTCTGCGAATCTCTACTACATAAAAAGACATAGCGGCCTTGGGCTTTTCCGGGCAAATGAAACGCGAAAATGCACGAGTACAGTCGGGACTCGTCAGCATCCGCAGTTTGGTCTGCACACGCTCAGTCTTCCCAGTGATGCCTATGGCCTACGAATGACTTGTTCCGCTTCAGCAATGATATTCACCTGAGCAACTAAGCCCCATCGCTTATGACGAGCGACGCATCAGGCGGCTGTCCTCGTGGCTCGAACGAAACGACTACAACAAGAACCCTTTCACACGCGCTCAGACGACACTTCAGATCGCCAACATCTCCTCGCAATCCACCTGTTGACCGGTGCCAAACGACTGATTCGCCGCCAACCCGACAGCCAACGCATAAGCCCCATCCATCTCGTTGGCGGCCATGTTGCTGGTAGAGTCTTCCTCCAGCGTATCCCCATCGGCCGCGCCAAAGATCGAGTTGAGGAGACGACGATCACCACCCCCATGTCCGGCGTGGTCGACCTTCATCGGGATCTCGTATGGCTTCTTCCAAAGAGGGTGGATGGAGATCTTGGCCCCGCCGGCGTTGGGCGTGCTGAGGAGAGGACCGACCGACCGTCGACCGTCAGCTGCCTGCCATTCCAGACCTGAACCAAAGACGCTTCACTCACGACTGAGTCCCATGGATCGACCCTGGTCCGACCGTCTGCGCATCGGCGATCTCCCTAAACTGGGTCTCCACGACCTCCAGTTCGAGCCTTCCCTTGTCTCCGTTGAACCTGCGGGGTCGACGTTGGGGGGAACGTCAGTTTCGGACGCACGTGGTAGGACGTTGAATAGGGACTCACATGACCCTGTATCCTTCCCAAGGCGAATAAGCCGTGAGGTGGTACGTCATCGTGACGCCGTTCTTGTACTGTACCAAGACGGACATGTCGTCCTCGATCGCTACGAAGCGACGTATAACCACCCTATCAGCCATCGCCAGCCTGAACCCGAGATCAATTCCACGCCCCCAAATTCGGACTCACTGATCCCCGGCGCAAAAACGTTCTGATCCCTCTGATACCCATCCCACTGTTCATTATCCACATACAACTCTTTCATCACCGGATCCTTGTCGATATGGAGCGCAAACGGATCCCCTTCGGCCTCTTTACTACCCATGGCCCGGTCGTAGTCTTTCGCCCATCCGGATTTTTGGCCGTTGGATTGGCCGTAGAAACCTAGGCGGCCCATCCCGAAGACCCGTTTAGGGGTGGATTGGAGCCACCAGTTGACCTGCGCAGCCGAGCCAGCGGCGAAGTTTGTAATCAGCATGCCACCCCTTCACACTAACATCCGAACCCGAAGGTCCATCCCAAACCCCCCCTCATCCCGCCTTGCCCCACCTCCGAACTAGAACTAGGAACCGGGACTCACCAGATCGAAATGATGCCCCGACTTGTGTACCATCAACCCCCCACTCTTATCCTTCAACCTATGCCACCTCCTAAAATAATCCGCCCCATGTACAGTATCTAATAACCATTCAAAGTGTACGCTGATGGGTTTGCCGATGACACCGGAGGCGAGCTGTTTGTAGACTTGTTCGTGGACGGGGTTGAAGCGGTAGTTCTACGTAACGTGCGAGAGAGTTTGAGAGAAGGTTTGAGGAGGTGGGAGGACCGGGGAGCGAGGAAGAGGGCAACGGTAGTCAGTTGTTTGATCCTTTGTGACGCTATCAATTCTATCAAATAGCAGAGAAGAGATCGTGTATCCGTACTCACAAACGTCACCGTCAACCGATTCCCAGTCTCCCTAACCGCCCTCAAGATCGCTTTACTCTTCTCGATATCCGTCGTCATAGGTTTCTCCGTCAAGACCCTGATCCCCCTTTGAAGAGCTGGGATGATGTATCGATCGTGTGTCGCGTCTACGGTGGTGACTACTAAGACTTCGACTTGTTCGTTGGTGAGCATCTGGGTGAAGGCGTCGAAGGTGTATTCGGCGGCGGGCTATAGTACAGTGGAAGGTGGAGATGAAGATGAAGATGATTCCGAGCGAGGATCATCAGCTTCCAGGCCAGAAGAAATAGAAGAAGAACAAAACGAAACAAGTCGACCGAAACCCGGAATAAAGCAAAAGGGGGAAGAAACGTGTTTGTGTGCGGACTTACCGGCTGTCCGAGCTCCTGCAACAACCTATTATAATAGCCCACCCTTCCCTTGTTGATATCACAGAAAGCGACGACCTTGTTCGCAGGGTTGTTCTTTATCCTGTCGACGACCCCCCTGAGGAAGAGCTGGCCACGGGAGCCGCATCCGACCTGGTTTTGCCACAAATGACATTCAGATGCAGGTCAGGTCAGTGGATGTAGATAGCAAGATGTAGATGATACGTCGTAGTGTAGTACCCAGTGATGGTGATGAGGATACGTTGATCAACAACAAGGATGGGGGAGAAAGATGTGACATGACGTACGATAGCGGTCCGGCCACCCAACTTCTTTGTAGGCGCAGTAGACATGATAAAATGATTTCGAGCTTTGCGTTTTTCCTTGATTCGATCCGGTGAAGAACGTAAAGACGTAACGTCACTCAGAGTAGGCTCTAGACTCTACATCTTGCATCTTGAAGTACTCTCTGGCTATCTCGAGATATATAACAAGAGCATATGATCCACATCATCAACCACCACCACCACCATTCCCCACCCTCGTCCCCGGACCGGGGTTCGCGCCCGTCGGTCCATCATCATCCCGCAAAGGGTTTCGCCGAGATCCAACCCAACGCACCCTGGCATGTGGGGAATATGGCGAAGATTGGCTATCCTGATTCCATAATCCATATCCCAGTCAAAAGCAAGTACAAGTAAAAGGTAATACGAAACACCGAGAGTTCTCTAGTCTAAAAATAAGTAAGAATCGCCCTGAGCCTGATCCGGCTCGTCCTTTGGCTCGAACGCCGTCGTACCGCGTCGTGTAGGACCGTATGACGATCATGCGACACGATGGAATGCGATGCGATATGCCAACTTGATTCAAGCGCGTTCAAGAGAGAAGAAAGCGAGTTCAGGGGGGATTTCAAGACCAGCCCGGCATAGATCGATCGTGTTTGATCAAGATCGAATCCTTGTCGTACGTCGTCGGGAGCTGCACAAAGGTAAAACAATCACGAAAAGTCGAATTTGTCGGGTTCATCAGCTATTCTGTGGAAACGGGTTGAGCAACTGCGCTTTGAGGGAGGGGACGTACCTGTTCTTCCCAAATCGGGTCGACTATCAATTCACAAATGAAACAAACCACAAAAAGAGGCCGGGTTTCGATATCGGTTTTTCGTATTACGATTGTGTGCGACGCGGGTGAGACTTACCATCGGGCCCATCGAGATCACCCGCTCCGTCCCAACCCCAACACCAGACTGTCGTACGAGAACCCAAATTGAGTCAGCCCCCGTCTCGTCCCGCATCCTATTCCTGACAAGCCCTCGGTGACTCACCATACTTCGGCCCAGGCTGGAAATTCAACACCTCGTCCTCTTCGGGTACGAACAACCGATCGTGAGGACCGTACCAGTTCTTATCCTGTGGGTCCGTATGCGGGTCGTCAGGCAAGCCTCCGAGGCGTTTGTAGCCCCGGATGGCGGTCAGGTTGCGGCGGACGGGGTGGATGATGTCGTAGACTCGCTGCCGAGTGAGCGTCAAGGCCAAAGTCGTGAGCGTGAGCAGGTGATTCAAGCAGCGAGGAGTGTTTTGCGGGCGCAATTAAGGCTCACCTTGTCGTAAGCCAACTTGACACGGGGGACCATGATGATCCGTCCGTACCCAGAATTCCAGTAGTCGTCTAATTCCGACACAAGACCCCGATCATCAGTCTCGAAGAGAACAATCTCAAACAATCCTTTGAGGTTAGGGTCGTTACGCACTGCAGATCAGACCACACTCTGAAGCCGAACATTCCCCCTCGGACAGTTTAGCCATCCTGAACCTGACGTGAGGCGGGTTGTAGAAAGGCGCCGGGTCCAAGACGGCGATCCCGTTCCAGCATGATTGAACTAGAGATCACGCGACACAAAAGCAAACCCGATGTTGCGATCAGCCTCGTCGTCTAGGTCGAAAATCTCCATTGGCAGGGAGATGGTCGGGACGGCTCGGCGGGACTCGAACTCACCTTGAACGGGCAAGTGATGCATGAACCGTTTCTCGCTCTCGGTATGGTGGAAGATCTGCTCAAACGGCGCGTTCTCCAGGGCGGTCCCGTTGATATCCCTCGCCACCCAGTTGTCGTAGAAAACCGGGGCTCCCTGCGCGGCAAAAGCACGAGGTAAGAATTCACAAAGACACGAATCAGCTCAACGGCGAACTGGTATCATTGTTGCTAGCGCGCGACAACGCACGATATCGTCGTGAAACATGTAATCCGCCGCACACGTGATCCCGGCGTTCTGCCTCCTGCTCTGCCAGATCAACTCGAGCACGTCGTCCACGCAAGGCAAGATGTCGTTCATGAAGATCACCGTATCAAAAATCTCGCCCTCGGTATCCCTCAGTTCGTGCAGGGGTACCATGGCCGCGTTCCTGACCTCGGCGAGGTATTCGATCCGATGGTTGAACGCGCCTCGGGTTCGCATCGAGGTACGGATGATGATCCTCATCCCGACGACTCTCGCGAGCGCGTCAAAGATCCTGAGGAGCGCCTTGGTCTGGTCGTTGGACCCGTTCTCGTAGATCGAGACGAAGACGTTGTGGTACCCGAGCACTCCGGCCGTCCTGAACATGGTCGCGAACAGGTCCGGGATGACGTCAAACGAGTTGTAAAGGTTGATGGCGAAAAAGTACTTGTGCTGCTTGGAAACCAAGTCGCGCTTCTTGTGTTCGTTCCACCCGTCCGCTCCCAACGGGTCCGCGTCTCGTTTATTCAAGTTGGATCGCTTGGCGTCCATCAGATCGGGCGTATGCGTATCCGGGACCACTCCCCCGCCTCCGAGTCCGAACCACCCCTTGCCGGTGTAGTAAGACTTGTGACCGACGAGCGGTTCATAGCGTTTGTGCACCTGCTGTGCGTACTGCTCTTGAGGCTGTCGGAGGCATTCCTTGGTATGGTGCGCGGAGAGCGAGGCGATGATCTCGAGCACTCGATAACGCTGGGTGAGAGTCCTGTCCGGCGTCGATCACGTCGTCCTCGTCAGCTCGTCGAGCCGCGAAGATGTCGCGAAGATGTTGCGACGACCCGGTCGACTCACGGCAAGGGTGTACTCCGGCTCAACCTCGAATGTACAGGGTTCCCACGTAGAGGCGTCGAATGGCTCCTGCGCCGCGAATATACGTAAGAGTCCACATCAACTCTTGCCCCCGGCTGTTTTCGGCTGATCCCCCGAGCAGGACTTAAGACTTACCCTGACCATGCCGTCGATTGCTACAAAAATTCGATATCAAACGGAAGCACATAGGTCATTTCAGCGCTTTGTCCTCAGGCTCAAAGAGAGACAAAGAGAAAGATCGAGATAGAAAGGAGAACGAGACTCACACTGGGCGAACTCGTAAACAGCTATCGACCCCAACCCCCCAGGTTTCCCAGCAAATTTGTGTTTGATGTTATGATGGTGGTGATAGTATGATGCGATGCGATGCGATGGCGGAGGAGCATGCCCGGACGAGATCATCGAAGAAAAGAAAAGAGAGAGAGGATGGGTGTATCCAAGAGGTAGAAACCGAGAGACAAGTCGATTTACGACGAGTCGAAAAGTCGAGCATGAAGCGAAAAAGGTATTTATTTCCAGAAGAGAAATCAGCTCTCACTGCCCCGACATCACCGCAGCTCAAACCCAATCCACCGCCTCGCTAAGCGAGTATTTCTGCCCAGAGTATAAGGTAGAGTGGGGTGAATAGACTTGCCTTGGTGATGATCAGCCCGATCACTAAGGTCCCCCACCGTCGACCGTCGATCATGAATTATTGCATGATCATGGATTATCGCATGTTATCGTTCGTCGGGTCGGTTGCAGTTGCAGTTGCAATTGAAGGTGTAGGTGTAGGTGTAGGTGTAGGTGTAGGTGTAGGTTTGATAGTCGGTAAAGTGAAAGTGAAAGTAGAGTAGGTCGTGGTAGGTCGTGATATCATAAAAAGAATGTTGAGATCAAATCAAGGGAACAGGGGATGTTCCAGAGATTATCGTCGTTTTCGTTGTTTGAGTTTGACCAAGATCCGGAAAATGGAAGTGAAAAAGAGAGATAGAGATGCAGATCGAGATCAGTACTCAAGTAACAAGTAAATCCCTATGCGCCGTATCAATATAAAGGCAACTCGAGTTTCAAGAGAAAGAAGAGGAGAGCGGTGCAGGTGAACTGATAAAAGGATGATGAGAAGAGATAGAGGGACTTACCGATACCCAAGAACAACTACCCGTTCGAATCCCCACCAAGATCCGTCGAACCGCCGCAACCAGAATCAGGACCAAAAACGAAACCCCAAGACCCGAGACCAAATTTGGATTTTCGCGTCAGTCTCCTTCTTCTCGATCTTCTTCTCCAGATCTATGGAGATGATGATGATGGGGGGACTCACCGTCCCAGCCTGTAAATAACCACGAACAACAACAACAACACGATCAGCTCAACGAGTTAGACGGAGAGTGCACAGAATAAAGTAAAGCACATCGCGTAATTCAGGTCATGAGGAGATGGAGGACTTACCGTCGGCATCCGTCTCGCCAACGCGGACACGTTGACGGGTTTGACCATTGTTTATCGTGTCCTGCTATTACTATGGTGTGTGTGTACTCAGGTGAGCTTGTTAGTGTGGTCGCTAGATGGTATTACTTGTCATCTCGCTATTCGATCGAATAGGTCGAGGTAACTGGGGGTTGAGATTGCTGGAAGCGAAAGAGCGCAGGGGACAGGCACGAGGGGGGAGAGAGAAAGGGGGCTTACGGCATCAACGACACGATGTGATTAGGTAATCAAAGAGGACTAGAGGTTCTCGGATCCGGAACAAAGGGTTCGAGGTGTTGGCTAAGGGCAGGGCCGGCAGGGGTCGTCATCATCCATACAAACCTCCTCCTTCGATAACAAGAAGTACGCCTCGGGACATCCGGCCATACATTCTGCATATCTTGACTATCCACCCCTTCTTCAACATGTCGAATCCCAACAACAATAACGCATCGACATCGCGCTCGAAACACTCACAATCTCGGCGTAAACAACTCCCACCTCATTTCCCTGACACCATGACGACCGCAACATCGAGTACTATACCAACACCTGTACCTGTAACAGCGACAGCGATACCATCAACATCAACTTCAACATCAGCATCAGCATCAGCATCTACGTCTGTGAAACCAGCGAACAGCTCCAGGAATAAACCTTCTAGGAAACCTCATCCTTATGACAATAATAACAACCTGAACGCACCGCTAGAACCCAGCATGACAACAACAACACCAACAGCGACGAACCAAAGATCCGTCCCGACCCCGATGATGGAAATCTGGATGAAAGAAGCCGGGTTGGAAGAAGTCTTGGAAGATCTGTCTAGGTGAATCTTTCGTGCTCGTTTTGGGTTGGGTCGTCTTTTCCTCTTCTCTCCTCTACCGTCTTCATTCTCCCCTTCTCTTCCTTTCCGTGTTCCTTTTTCCCTCTGTTATCCTATCCTTCTACCTTCATCTTCCTCTTCTTCCCTTCCTCTTCTTCCTGTTCTCGTTCTCGTACCGTATTCCCTTTCCTACCTTGACATCACACAACGAATCCCACGCTCTGCTCGTTATCGAGGTTCGAGCACAGCAAACCCCGAAAAGACGATACAAACAACACACACACAACTTGTAAAAAGAGCTGCATTGCATACCCCAAAGAATGGAATATCGAATGATCGAATATTGAGATGCAGTATGCTGAAACCTACTTGTTTATCATTTCGTTTCTTCCTTTTCATCGTTTTCTTGGCTGCTATAAACATATCCGGACTTTTATCCTTACTGGGCCCTCCTCTCGCTCGCTTTTTTTCTTTGGATCTTTTTCGATACGAAATCTGGCTCGAATCGGCCATACCATACCACGTCGATTCGGCATGACCTGATCGATATGGTCTTTGGCATGGTATATGTTACTGGTCCCGAATGCGCACCACAACGTGTACCTCGAAATCCAATCCGGTCCTGGTCTGGACCTACTCGGACGTGGAATCCGAAATCCGAAATCCGAAATACCAACACGCCCGGCCGGGATCCGGAATTGCGATTGGGGCCGAATGAAACAGCCGGTTCATCTTGAACTTGCCTGAAGAGGAATTGGCTAGCCCGGAGAGGATCTGTTTTCAGGTCGAACAGGCGTGAGTAGCGAGGCTTTCCTTGTTCTGCTGTGCTCGTTCGAAGTGTTTGCTAATCCGTACTGTATTGTATCTCTTTTCGGTCTTTCCATTGACCTGGCGATCTCGTTGCGGCTCGAACCTATAGACACTGGTTCTACGAAGATTTCATCCGGACGGACCGCCCCAACCTCCCCTCGTTCAACCTGAAATCATTCTCGTCCCTATTCTTCCTCTCCTGCCCGCTCCTCTCTCACTGGCTCAACCCCGGCTCCTCGGACGATGGCGATGGCGATAATGGGTACAACTACGAACGTCTCTGGGAACGGTTTATGAAATACAAGAACCGGGTGCCCGTCTGCGGCGGCATCTTACTTGATTCGGCGTGTGAGATGTGTGTTTTGGTAAAAGGGTGGAAGAGCGGGGCTTCTTGGGGGTTCCCTAAAGGGAAGATTAATGATGAAGAGGAGAGGTGGGGGTGTGCTGTGAGGGAGGTGAGTCGAGATTGAGGTTGAGGTGCTGCAATTTTCAGCTTTCGATGCGGGAAACTAAATCGAAACCTCGAAACCCTATACGTTACATTGCTTCTATTCGCTTGCGGCATGTCTACATCACATCACATCACATCACTTCACATCGTGTTTTTCGCCCTTTTCGCAGGTCCACGAAGAGATCGGGTACGACATCACCCCTTTACTCAACCTGGACGACTTTATCGAGGTGACGATGAACGACCAGAAGATGACGCTGTTCATCGTGTGCGACGTACCGAGGGATGCCAAGTTTGAGACGTTGACGAGGAAGGAGATTAGCGTGAGTCCATAGTGGGGGAGGGAGAAAGAGGTTGGCATTGAAACAGGAAAGATGCTGAGATGGACGAATACGGGTTTACGGATTTCGTACTTGTAGGCGATCGAATGGGTGAAATTGTCCGACTTGCCGACGTGGAGACGTCAGAAACGTAAAGTCCCGGGGAAGAAGTTTTATTCGGTCGCCCCTTTCGTTGCGTGAGTCGCTGCTCAATAGAAATATCAGACGGAAGGTTGCGATACTCAACTCCCCCTGATGGCACATCCTGGTAGCCCGCTGAAACAATGGATCAAGCTGCATCGACAACAGTCCTCGCACCCGAACGTGGCTCAAGGGGAAGTGACAGCCGACTTGGACGAAGAGTCCGAGGGATACACTCCGGTACCTACCGCCGCCGAACCTGTTGCTATCGACACCCAAGTCCGGACTGACGGGACGACGGCGACGCGCAAGGTAGAGATCGAGCTCGGAGACCCGGCGGTCGCCACCCACATCTCGGCCGCAGCGGGAGAAGCCAAGAAGAACGATCGGGGCGAGACGTTGGACGCCTTGTTTTCCCGGTTCTTGGGCGAGTCGTCTGCGGGTCGAGGGATGTCGACATCGACGGCGCCGGTACGGACCGATGGGCCGGCGACTCCTTCTCAGATCGCCAGTCAAGAGGCGCAAGAGACCAGCCAGGGAAATGCCATGCAGGCGTTGTTGGCCAAGTTGGCTTCGCCAGCCGTCACCAACGCGTCTGTCATCCCGACTTACGCCTCGCCCGCTCCGCCTTCGTTCCCTACCGCCGCATATGCGATGCCTCCCGTTCAGCCACACGCTCCTCCAGGACAAGTACACGCTAGGAACCTCTTGTCCATGCTCTCGCCCAAGGCCCCTCCGGCTGCTGTGAATTCGCCTACCAATGCACCTCTCGTCAACTATGCTTCTCATCCTCCTCCCGCCTTGATTGCTTCGGCTCGACCCCCGGATGACAAGGAGATCCGCCGTAAAGCCCTATTGGACAACATGATGGCCGGCCTCGGCGGACCCACTTCCCAACAACCGAATCACATGACCGGCGGATCTCCAGGCGTTCATTACATGTCGTCCTCGCATCAGCACCCGCAACCTTCGTTCCCGCCCATTCAGGGTCTACCTCGTCACGTCCCGCCACCTCAGCTCGGTCCCGCTAGTTTCTCGTCGTATCCCGTCCCGCCGCATTTGGCCGGACCCCATCAGATGCCACCTCCCGGTCCTCCCGCTTGGAGCGGCAACGTAGGAGGTCCTCCTCCACCCATGCACCTCGGTTTCAACGGCCACATCACAGGTCCTCCTCCCGCTCCGGGTCCGCAATACCCTCAAGCGCAACACCCCCAAGGAATGCCGCAAATGCCGGCTCATCCACCTCCGATGTCGCCCACCAAACAAAGGGATGCAGGTGATCTCTTGAACGCTCTCCTAGGTCCCCGACCTCCGGGTTGAGAGCCCTGCTTGCATATTTACTTGTGGGATCATGGCGTATGAGGAATTGCACAACATCAACTGTTCGACATGGAATGCGCATGACTCCCGAAAGAAACGTAGCTCCCGCTTTTTCCCGCTGTTCAGATCAACCACCCGTGATATTCCCCAAGGTCCGTCTTTTTGGCCTTGCCCTCAGGCGGAGTCTCCCCCGACCTCGAATTCCACGTAGGCGCACATCTGTCGACCTCGTCCCACTGAACGACAAACTTGTCTACGACGCGCTTGAGAATTTTGCCGCTTAGAGAGAGCGATTTGACCCGTGCCCAAGATTCGACGTAGACCACTCGAGGTGAAAACAGACCGAGGAACTTTGTAGGTGTCGTGGCAAGTCAGCTTCGGTAAACTGGAGCGGGCAGCCAGGTGTAGCGACTCACTCTGGGTAACATCACCGCGATCGCCGCGACCACGCAAGTCCCCGGTCCGTTGACGAGCATCAAGTCCCAGGACTCCCGACCACCATTCCTCAACGGCTCGAGCGTCAACAACCGAAAGGCGGTCCTGAACGACAAGACCGTCGTCCAGACGGACGAGACGTAAGACTGCCCGACCCTCCTCGCTCTGGGCAACTCGATGAACCTGTAGTTTTTCCCTTCAGCCTGACCGGTGTTCAGGCTCTTTTCGAACGCCACGGCCTTTTCCACGCTCATCGAATCTCCACTGGAGATGATATAGGTCCTTGGGGTATACATTTGCATGTCCAGAGCAGAGAGCAACTGTAAAGCCTCGCTCGTATGCCCGCCTGTACAAGGATGAACCGTTCATGAGGACCTATAAGTACAATGCAGGACAACGTGACAAGGGACATCCGGCGGCCAAGGGGGCTAGGCCGGGCCTATCGCACGAGCGCCTGACGCACCAGATCCGAGAAAGACTGCCGTAGGTCGTTTCCCATCCCTCGTGAGAGGACTCTTTGGTCCCAAAGTCACGAACCTCAACCCGATCTTCCATAGACCAACTCCGAGAGCGAGCCAAAAGACTCTGGGCGTACCGACCCAGCCTTTCAACCAAGAGTAGATGTAGAACAGCATGGCTGCCCCGAAGACGCATGCGGCGAGCGTCGCAGGAACCACGTTGAGCTTTTCCGCCGTCAGAGTGAACGAGATGATGGCGTCCCGGATCCGTGTGCCCAGCCTGTCGAACAACAGAAATACATGGCGTCAGGATTCGTTTACTCGATTGAAGACCCGAATCATTGTAAATGCGACTCGCGCCATGGCAAAGGCCCCTCTTTCGCCAAGCCGTTTATACGCTTCAGCCTTGTTCAGCTCGTTGTCCGGTCGATCGATGAGCTTCAGGCCGTCACTCGAGGAAATGTATACCGGCGCATTCCTATGCGTACCATAGTACGAGTAATCCGTTAGCAACCGACCCTGTACACAATCACACATCGAGTCACCGAGCTGAAGACTAACTGTTCGACGGACGGCAACGGTCGATCATGTTGCCTATCCAGAACCTCATGGAAATCCTTGACAAGACCTAACGCATGAACGAATCGCAAGATTAGCCTCAGCGCGTTCTACACTGGCTTTTGGGTGTGCGACTTCGTGCTCACGCTGAATGTTCACAACATCATCCACAGACTCCGGTTCTTCGGGACAAAGCGTCCACAACCTGACCGCCCAACAACCTCAGCTCCCCAATATCTCTCTTCGTATAGCGCCGGGACCACCTAAAAGATATTCAACACGACTCACTTGAACCCGTCCAGAGTAGCTTGTCCTGCTACACTCCTAGTGATCCCAAGAATACTATTCGCTATGGTCGTAACAACAGAAAAGCGGAGAGCGGGACATAAAGAAGAATGCGTTAGCGTTAGCAAAAGTCAGACCCCGACCCCCAGGCTCTGGTTCTCAACCCTGAAAGTTGAACTTCCCTTCCAGGGGGATACGTGACGCTCAGGACTCACCTGATGCCGCATCCACAGGATCTAGGACCGTATTCCTCGAGACCGCTAATCAATTCAATAATCAGATAATCGTCAAAATCAAGAACCCGAGCGCTCATAAGCAACTCCCGCTCTATTCTCCTTAAATTTGACCCTTCAATTTCAATTCAATTCTCGGACTCACGTGAAGGCACGACCAACCCGACCTCTCCCCTCCCCAACTCTCCTTCACCTCCTAGTCCTCCACGGACTCGGACGATCGGACGTCCATCATACCGGAACTCAAAAGCTGCGAGCTTGATTACCCATGCGACGAGCTTGGGGAGTGGGGGGGGTTGGGTGTTGTTGTCTTTTACTAGGGGGCCTGAGAGGGGGGGGAGTGTTGGGTTGGGTTGGGGGTTGGAGGCGTGCAGAGGAGGATGGAGTAGGTGATGTTGTGGATGTTGGGATTGAAGGCGGTGAAGGGTTGGGATGAGAACGTAGATCAAGCAAGCAGTCGAAAGGGAAACAAGATTCAAGTTCGAGGAGCATACAAAAAAAGTTATGCAGACGAAAAGAAGATCAAGATCAGCCAACCATCCTCACAAACACACACATACTACCAACATGCACCTCCCAAACCCAGTCTTCCCTGACCCCTAAATTTCAATGAATGGACTTACCGCCAACCCCCCCAGGAACCCACAAGACGACCCTATCCACATATCCTTCCCTCTTACGTGTCTTTTGGAAAGCTTTGACTAGGGTGTCGTACGAGTCTAGGTGGAAGTGGAAGGTCTCTCTGTGCTGCGGTTCTTTGTTGGTAATAGTAGCGGTGGGGGTTTGGGATGGGCTTGCTGAGGAGGAGAAGGAGGAGGAGGGGGAGGGGAAGATCGCAACGGTCACCCGGCAACTACATTCAAAGAACGAAATCCCACCTCATCCTCATTAGCCCTTTTTTTATTCAAGAACAACGCCAACGCCAGACGTCTCTATCCACTTACCCAGCTAAAGATAGAGTCTCCGCGATCTGGTCCACCTCTCCATCTTTACCTATATCATTTCCCAAGTAGAGGGTTAGCAAAAGAGGTCCTTTGATCCAGACTTCGAAGTAGCCGGGATGAGGGGTTCTGACTTGCCGATGAGTAGCACGGATTTCCCCGTCCACGATGAAGAGTGGGAAGGTGACATGGTCGCCCTGGCTATCTGTATTTCTACGTGGGTAGTGCGATGAATAGAGGTACTAGTGGGTATGTAGGTGTATAGGTGTAGTAAAGTACTTGTCGACCCTGATCGTGTCCCCTCGGTCGTCTCCGCTCGAAGAAGCGCCGGCCGGCTCATGGCTCATGGTTCTACATCGCATGTCACCCATCCTCATACATCATACATCATACACCTCTCTTGACATACAATCCAGGCCTCCAGGTCAGCCCTGAGATTCATCCTGTACGCTATCTGGAAAGAGCGGAAAACAGCTCCCAAACCAGCCAAATATCGGTCGCACTCGTCGTCGATTGTGAGTCGAGGTTGAACCCTTTTCCGCGATGCGTCATCAACAATCCGATGATGTAGGATGATCAATCCATATATCACTGACATGATGATACTGTATCTGAACTCTTTGACTTGCAGTCGCTACTACTGCCTTCTGAGTGGCTACTTGCGTAGGATAACAAGCCCAGAGAAATATTCCCGAGATCGATTTGGACAAACCCGCCGGACTGGAGCATCCCAAACAATCATCAGCACCAGCACAGGAACACCCTCGCACGAGTCGACCATCAAGAAGAAAAGGGTCTTACCCCAACGCTTTCTCTAAATTAACCCGACTACCCGTCATACTTGAACTCGAGTGAAATTCCGACGTTGACCACCATGTCAGCCGCCAAAGCTCGTCAAGAACGGATGTTAGAAGAGGTCCTGAGATTGCCGGGGAACAGTACGTCTTTGTCTTTGTCCTTGTTCCCCGTTCGTTCCCCCCTTTCGCCTTCATCTCTCCCCGGATACCGAGCGATATGATATCCTACTCTACTCTCCTTCACTCTTCGCTCTCTCAACGAAGATGGACGAGTCGGAACTCCACGAGCTGATCATAATTCATCGTCATGTCATGGATATACAGATAGATGTGCGGATTGCAAGGCTCCTTCGCCTAGGTGGGCTAGTATCAGTCTCGGTAAGTCGAAAAGCCATTCTCCTCCAACAGTTTCCATTGTTGCGTCCGTCGTTTGGTCCTGTCGCTCTGATTCGAAACTTACCACACCACCCAATTATACTCGTATTATTACTTACGGCCACATCACGCATGACGCTTTCAACCCAACTCGACCTCCATCCCCCCATCCTTCCTGTCCCCATCCCCCATCCCCCGTCCCTCCATCCCCCGCATCTCCATCCATCTGGCCCTCTGAAACCTAATCGGATACCTCACCTCTTCCCGACAGGCGTCTTTCTCTGCGTACAATGCGCTTCCGTGCACCGCAAGTTGGGCACGCATAATTCTAGGGTGTGAGTCCGAGTCAAGAGTTCGGGGTCCGAGGGTTGGTTTGTGTTTCGGTGTTTGTGTTTGTGTTTGTGTGTTTGTGTGTTTGTGTTTGGGAAAGTGTTTGGGAAAGTGTTTGGGAAAAGTGTTTTGGCTTGGGCGGGACGGGGCGGATGTTTGGACGAGGAGGGGAGGAGGGGTCGTTGGATGTTGGGTGTGGGGTCGTATTTGGGGATGAGATGGACGTTGAGGTTGAGGTTGAGATGGAGGTTGAAGTTGAGGTTAAAGTGAGATTGAGGCTGAGGCTGAGGCTGATCTGAGTTCTACTTTGTTTTCTTGCGGATTTGTCGGGGATACAGGAAGAGCGTGACTATGGAGTGAGTCAACATGTCCTATGTTGCGATTAGGCTGGGAAAAGGAGCTGTGTAAGGCTGATCGCACCTGATCTGTTGACGCTTATAGTGACTGGTCAAAGGATATGATCGAGGTGAGCATGACACCCCGAGCTGGCATTCTGTCTCTGGTCAAACCTCTAGGCTCACCTCGTCATCCGGGCTCGCTCAGAACATGCGCAACATGGGCAACACCAAGGCCAACTCGATCTACAACCCGGACGAATCCCGCCACCCGCCTCCTACCAACACGTCCGAGTTCAACGACAGGGATAGCGAGCTGGAAAAATTCATTCGTCGGAAATACGTCGAAGGTCGGTTCAAGCCCTCTGCAGCTGGGTACGCCGAAGAGGTTTCCCGACCCAGGGCGAGCTCGATTCGAGCCAATGGGACGGGCACGTCGTCGACAGGGTCGTTCCAACGTCAAAGTCCCAATCCCGAGTTGAACGATATCGTCGTCCCGCGGACCCGAACGCCTGGAGTGGGATCTGCAGAGGAGACGCGCCCTCCGATCTTTGCGACGCGTTCTTCCGGAACCGGGGTCGGTGTGAGAGACTCTCCTGGACGATCTCGACCTCGTCCGACCCATTCGGCGACTCTAGAGATCCCGGTCTTGTCCCACGAAGAATCTTCCGCCTATTCCCTCAACAACCCTTCAGGCTCGGGTAGACCGGGATCGTCTTCCGGGTCCCGACCCGGGTCGTTCCTCTCTACGGCAGGTAGAGGGGCGACGAAGAACATGGTACAGGACAATTGGAACGACCTGATGATGGCTTCTTCGGCGGACGAGACGCAGACGGGTCCGGGAGGGAGGAGGTCGCCGAACCCTTTTGCCAGGGCTAGTTCGGCAAATGCAGGCAGGTCGACGGCGGTACGTCCAGAGTCGAGCCGACAGGCGGTCGCACCGGCTTTGGAGGCGCGGTATGGGGAGCACAAGGCGCAGGGGGCGAGCGGAGGAGCGTTCGGAGATCTGTTGGGGATAGGAGCTGGGTCGACATCGGGTTCGAACGGTTCGGGCCACACTGGTCAGTCGACGTCCACACCATCGTATGTTGGCCATCACCATCAGCAGCCACAGCAGCCGACGATGCAACAGGGTTATGCGACACCCATAAGTCAACCCTTTACGGGCGGGATGGTCAACGGTTCCACGTCTACACAGTTCTCATCAAACGGGATGAACGGGAATATCGGAATGGGTATGGGGATGGGCATGCCGACACACAATAACATGCAATTTTCCAACGGCATGCAGATGAACCCGAACATGAATCAGGGCATTAGCATGGGAATGGGTCTGACATCGCCGTTCCCGCTCGCAGCGACTAGCCCGTATTCGAGCTTCTCGAACGGGAACGGAGGGTACTTTCCTCAACAACCACAATCACAAGGACAAGCGCAGATGCAGCAGCAACAATTACAACCGCAATATGCGCCTCCCGGGCAGCTGTACCAACAGCCGCAGTCCCAATTCCCACAGCAAGGGTACCCGCATATGCAGATCCCAATGCAGATGCAAATGCAAGGATACGGACAAGCTCAGGGGCAATCGATGTCGATGCAGGGGAACCAGATGGGGATGATGATTCCTCCCGGTTGGGGTGGCGCAGCGGCTTCTCGATGAGATGGACGGCGCGCCTTTTGCTGTGGTCATCACTGGCCCGCTGTTGCACTGTGGTCGAGTTTGGAGGCTCTTGTCGTTGTAGCGTAATGCTAGAAGCGACATGTCGGATGATGAATCATCGAGTTTCTTTCGTAGATAATCTGACATGACGCCATGTTAGTTAGCTAAGCAAGGTCCGACGTTCGACGGTGTGGAAAGGACCCCGACATCCTGAGCTCCTCGCGCTCTTGCTCGTGACTGTCTTGGCCCGTGACAGACTGAGCCTCTGAGGCTTTGAGACCAGTCTACAGATGAAAAGTCGCCTAAAGCTTCTCCAGGGGTTGAAACGCCATCCTTTACACCACCCCTTTCCACTTAAAGTCAAATCGATTCGAGCTCCTTCTTGCGCTCTGCGCCTGCCTGTTCTGCGGTTCACTTATAATTATAGGTAGTATTGTTTGAGGGTTGAGACTCCGTAACTCCGTTCTTATATCGAATGAAGCTGACAGAGGTCTAGAAGGAGAGCCAGAGGATGGGTTGATGGGCTATGAGAGGGAGTTCGTTCTCCTTACGTCGTACCCTGGGCAGGATCGAACAGGGGAGACGTTCATCTAATCACTGTCCATGGAGAACGCAGTGTCAGGTACTCATACAACGCAAAGGCAACAAGATCTTTCATCATCACTGAGAAGTGAGGAAGTGCAAGAATTACGAGCGATTGACGAGCAGCAAGCCAAGGAGAACGTGTGTGGAGCTTTCCGACTACGACCTACAACTCCGCTCGTCAGATTCGCCTTGAGCTTCGACTCGACGTTGCAAGGTAGACCTGCTTCGACCAACGATCGTCTGTCTTACCAACTCAGCACTTCGACAGTTCAAATTCTGTGTGTGCATCGATCGAATAGGGTCCCGGAAGGAAGACGGTAGTTGTATAGAAGAGGTGTTGGCCGGCTGCTTGCTTGCGCTTTCACGGGTTCAACAGAGTCCTCTCCGCTCCGAGGGCGTCCGGGTCAATTGCTGCTGCTTGTAATCGTGATATCGTCACATTCGACCCCGTCGATAACCCTAGACCACACTCTGTACTGCTCTGGGATCAGCTAGCTATAATACAGAACGAGCCAGAGAATAGCCATCGTTTCTCGCCGTTGTCGCCGTTCAAATCGACCCGCAAACCATCGAATACCAGCGAGCAAGCGGCCCACCCCAGCCCTTTCCACCCAACAGCCACTCCCCCAAGACCACCACGCATTCAAACTACCATCGACCTACATATCGACCTTAGATTCGATCCTCTCCGACCCTGCCTATCCACGGCTCGCCGTGTCATTCGAACCAGTACGACTGACCTTTATGGATTTCGCTGCTGCCGATCCGTATCGCTACAATCAACAGCTCGCTACACGGAGAGACAGTCGAATCTCGCTCGGCGGCGGTCCACCAGGTGGTGGTCAAATCAATCATCCTGCATCCAGTCCGTTGTCTTTACCACCTCCACCACCTTCAGCAGGGTCTTCACATCATCAGTATCAACTCCAGCATTCCGGTAGTTATCAATCGCAGCCGAACAACAACCAGCAGACGTCGGCCTACAATTACGAGCCAGCGAGTTACGGATACGAGGACGAGTACGACGTATCCATTCCACCGCCGAGTGCTGGCGGTCTAGACAGCTTCCCCGTTCCTACCGCAACCTCGTCGTCGTCGCATTACCTGCCATCGACCTCGAGGCAGGACTATTACGGACCTCCTTCAGGTATCCGACCAGATTCGGGCGTCTACTCTCAGCCTTCACACCAGCAGAGTCACCATCAGCACGTCGTCGCTGGTCCTTCCTCCGGCAACCTTCCCCTGACCGGAGAGTTGTCGCCTGCACCGGGCTATCGACTGTTACATCCTCGAACGAACACCGGAGGTGAAATCGGAACTAGCAATCGCAATAGTAACGGTCCTACCGGCAACGACTTGCGCAATCAATCCGGTGGACAGGGTCGCGAACTGGTCGAGACCGATTCGAGAACGTTCAATAGATACCTCCCCCCGCTCGACGTTCCTCGTCAGCCAGACGGATTCGACTCGAATTTGCGACGTAATTCGACGGCGGTCTCTCCGAACCAGTACCTTCCACCACCTTTGACGGCCGGGATCATCCTCCCTGGACCGTACCCCGCCTACCAACAACACCAGGATAGGTACCTCCCCCCACCTCCTCCTCATCAACACGCGCCGTATCAACACCACTCGAACGGTCCTCACTCGTCTCCGTTCGGTTTGGAAGAACCTCGACATCATTCCCTAGGCTCCCGTGCTCTTGCCGGTAGACCTACACCGGGGTATCCTTCCACCTCGAACACCTCTTCGGCACCTCTCGATCCGCTCCGAGACCGGTTCCCCACGCCCGCACTGAAATACCTCCTCCCCCCTGGTACGGCACCGGAAGACATCCCTTCGACCGACTACGCCTATTCTCTGATCGCTACCGAAGAAGCCAAGTACCGACGAGCTCGACAAGCAGCAGCAAGGACGGGTAGGGAGATCGTCTTTGAGCCACTAGATCCGATCGTCTACGTGGATCCTGTCGTCGGGTCACATTATACGGTCCCGCCGTCAGCAAGCAATAACTCTAACCCTATTGGAGGTCCAGTCACCCGAGCGGCTCACGTTAGGAGGAGGGAACTCGAAGAAGGATCTTCGGCGAGCTCGTACGGTTATCATAACCAGAGTCAGAATCAAGCTTATCCGCCTTATCGGGCCGACGAGTATCCTTTCCCAACTCATCAGCAACTTCAACAACAACAACAACCGTACCCGGATCACATGCCACCCCGACGTGCACCGACAACAGGATCCCGGGTTGGTCTCGTCTCCGGGAGTGTACACGCCCCTAGCGTAGGCGTCGGAGGAGGATACGCGGATTCACCCGGGACGGGGTCTAGACGATCTACGATGGGCAATAACCACAGTACGAGCCATAATAATAATACCAACATGTCCGACCTGCCCATCGTCCGGAGCACAAGGGCGAAAGTTTATCGGAAAGACCTCGTCACCGTCGATGGGAGGCAACATAGCGTGACGATCGTGGATGATGATGAGAGCGGGGATGATGGGACCGGAACGGGGCAGAAGAGAAAAGTTGGAGGTGGTGCGGCGGGTGGGTCGGCAGCGGCGGCGGCGAAGAAGAGGAAGGTGAATGGGGATGTCGAGTCGGCGCCAAGACGGATAGCGGGGAGAGCGTTGGAAAAGCTAGATGTGAGTCGGACTTGCTTTTTGGTCGTGATAAGTTTGACATTTACTGACTATCTCGTTCTCGTCTATACCTCTAGACATCCATGTCGACGGCCACACAATCGACGGTAGCGACGACGGGTGGTAACAACCAGTACCCATATCCGCCTACGAGCAATAACCACAATCCGAAATACATGCCTTATGCCAACGGTAATGGCAAACACGCTCCAGCTCAACAGGGGTATTACCCGCCAGTCGCACCGCCCATAGCGAAGCCGTATGCGGGTCTACCAAAGTCGACGGTACCGCCCCCGGCACCGGGTGATGCTCCGCCACCGTGGGATGATGCCGATGGACACTATGTCATCGTCCAGGGGAACACCATGGGAGAGAACGACAAGTGTGAGTGACAGATGAATAATTGCGATACGATGTGTGCTGACTGACACGATTGCTCGTCCTGTGGTTTTTACAGACAAGATCGTCAAGCTCTTGGGACAAGGTACTTTCGGCAAGGTCGTCGAGGCGCAAGCGGCGAGAGCGTTCAACAGGGTGGCCATCAAGATCATTCGAGCGGTGCCAAAGTATAGGGAAGCGAGCGCGATTGAGATCCGGGTGCTAAAAGCGCTCAAGGAGAACGATCCTAGTAATCGATTGTGCGTATGCTACCGGGTTATACGACGTGGCGGTTGACGTGGATGCTAACGGCGACGGCCCTCTCGTATTTGTAGCAAATGCATCTCTCTCTTGGAATATTTCGATTTCCGAAATCACATCTGCTTGGTCACGCCTCTCCTCGGTCAGAGCGTCTTTGATTTCCTCAAGGGGAACAGCTTTCAGCCATTTCCAGAGGCGCATATCCAGAGTTTCGCCAAGGACCTCTTGACGAGTCTCAGTTGTAAGTCGTGCGAACAAGGGAACTCGACGAGAACGTGTGCTGATGGATGAGCTGTTTCTACAGTCGTACATTCATTGAACCTGATTCATACGGATCTCAAACCCGAGAACATTCTGCTCGTCGAAAACGGAGCCTACACCCTGGGACCAAGAGTGAGTTCTGCTGCCGTGATGGATGGATCCGAGCGTATCAGGCTGAAAACGATTGTCGCGGCGATCCTAGGTAAAGGGGGCCAAACAGAAACACATCCTGAGAAACGTAGACATCCGATTGATCGATTTTGGGAGCGCGACTTTCGACAACGAGTTCCACTCGTCGGTCGTCAGCACACGCCATTATCGTGCTCCCGAGATTATTCTCGGTAGGTCTTTCCTTCTCTGTCACGCCCCGGAAACTTGAGAAGGTCAAGCGAGCTGACCCCATTCGCTGGATCTTGACAGGCCTCGGATGGAGCTTCCCTTGCGACATGTTCTCGGTCGGATGCATCCTTGTGGAATTCTTCACGGGAGACGCCCTTTTCCAGACGCACGACAACCTGGAACATCTCGCCATGATGGACGTGGTGATGGGCAAGATGCCCGTGGGGATTGTCAGGAAAGCCAAGTGAGTCTGCATCGCGTCGATTGTCTGAATATTATTCCACCCATATACTGACGGGGGTCGTCAATATCGTCTTCGACTCGGTTAGAGCCCAGAAGGGAGAGTTTTTCAAGGGGATGACGATCGATTTCCCCAACTCGTCGACTACCAAGAATAGCAAGAATTACGTCAAGAAGATGAAGAGGCTCGAGGTGAGTAAAACCGGCCGTTATCTCGTGGTTATCTCATCCGACTTGTAGTTAATTCGAACGCTCGCTCGATACCCTTAGGACATTATCCGGCCAGATACGGACCACACTCGAGCTTTCTGTGATCTGATCAAGAAGCTCCTGGCTTGGGACCCGGCCAAGCGGATATCAGTCAACACGGCGTTGAAACATCCTTACTTCAAGACGGTCGCATCACCACCACCACCTGAACCCCGAACTCGCTAGACATAGCCCTCCTCCCCGTTGACGGACTTGGCCACCCCTTTCCCCCCTCGCCACTCAGCTACGACTCGGCACGACCCAGCATGATTCCGGGTTCATGATGTTTTTTTCGCATTCCCTTCTGATGTCTCCAGCAATGTTCGACCGACAAATCTGGACCTCGGTCATCTCTCTCTCGAATTACCGTTCAGCCAATGAGCCCGGTACCGGGTCTAGGCATATCGACCTCGAACTCTCGAAACCTTGAAACCTCGCAGCCGGCCCTCGAAGCGCTAGACGGCTGGACGACGGATGTCTCCCTTCTCCCTTTTCATTCTCGGGTCTTCCTTTGCACTTTGGGACCATTATGTGTCCACGTATTCCGAACTGGTTGTAAACGAATTAGAATCGATCTTCGATGACAGAATAGAAATGTACGTGGGGTCACGGTTTCACCACACCACGAGAGGTTGTGAGGTGGGGAAACGCGTGAGAAAGCGAGTTTTTGAGAGCGCGAGAGACCGGGCTCCGAGTGTCCTCCCCCACCACTTCGTACGCAACTCGATCTGTACTTCACACACATACATTCCATCGACCACTATCCTCTGATCTACATCGACACAGCATACAATCAGCTCATACCCACACACACACAGCATACAGCACTCAACGAAATCTACAATGTCCGACGGTACGTCTTCAGCAGCACACGCCCATTCCGGCATCGCATCGCGTCTCCCCTCCGTCTCAGCACATATATCGTCACTCGCCCGGCAAACGAAACACATTACAAAGTTCCAGCCTAGCCCGTCTTTGATCGACATGATATGAGCAAAAGCGGCGAGTCAGCATACGCAACGCCAATCGTGGGCATTGATCAGTTGAACAGGAATAGGAAGTGAAGAAGAGGTCGATGATACGATACGAGAACTAGACTCAGAGAGGACGGGATGTGATACGATATACAAGGGCGACCGTGGCATTCCGAACTCCAACCCTTCGATCTCGATTCGCTCCAAAAACGTCTCCTGTTATGGTCTCTCCCTACCAGTCCGACCCCGTCTTACCCTCCGACCCGACTGACGCCTGCAACGACAAACCCGCATCCCGACAACTGACACCATCGCTACCTTCCCCCCCTCTTGCGCCCCTAACCTAAACAAACCGAACTATCGCCTGTCTCTGTCTCACTACTACCTTCATCGACATCGACATCGATATCGAATCGCGTTCCCTTCCCTTCCAGCAGAATACCGAGGTGAACGTGACCGATACGAAGATGGCCCTATTAGCCGTCGCTCGCAATCCCCCACCGCCGCTGCTCCCGCTGACGAGGTCAAGGAAGAGCGAGAGGAGAGGAACGGCGATAGGGATGGAGATAGGGATAGGAACGACCGGGGTGGTGGTGGGGATCGTGGCAGGTAAGTCTTGTCCGACTTCCGTAGTTTCCGCTCTCGATTTGCTTACATGGATTTGTTGATGTGTGGTTGATGCGCTTGATGTTCGTACTCGTGATACTGGTTCGGCACGGCACGGTACAATAGGGATAACAGGGGAGGTAACGAGGCTTCCAACCCTGGGATGAACTTGCACGTCTCCGGTCTCTCTCGGGATGTCGGCGCTGACGACTTGAACAAGCGTTTCGGCGAGGTCGGCACTGTGAGTCGACGCACCGGTTTTTGAGATTGCCAGCTCCGCACACCACACTGTACACCGCTAACACTCGTCTTGTCTCGATGAATCTGGTATACTGTAGGTCGACAAGGCCTCGGTCATGTACGACCCTCATACCAAGGAATCCCGTGGATTCGGGTTCGTCATGATGGTCGACGCCGACGGTGCCGCTCGAGCCATCGCCGAGTTGAACGGCAAGGAGTTTATGGGCAAGGTCATGACTGTCGCTCACGTACGTTCAGGCCATCCAACATCTCATCATATACGTCCCGATTCCCAGACAAATGACTGACCTCGTCCCGAATACATCATCTCATACTCCCACAGGCCCGTCGAGCTCGAGCCAGGACCCCGACTCCGGGAAGGTACTTCGGGCCTCCCAAGACTGGTGATTACGCCTCCAGTGGCCGCGGTAAGTTTACACTGAAATTCATTATCCAAAACCCCGTCCGGAACGAATAGAGTTTGACGCAACTGCCAACGCCAAACCCAAAGACCGTTACTACGAGCCTCGATCTTGTGAGTCTATACAGCCTCGTGTTTGTTTCTTTTCTCGAGGTGTACTTGGTGAAAGGTTGCTGACGAATTTGGTTGTTCGGAATGGCAGACGACAACCGTTACGGCGGAAGTCGAGGTGGGTATGATGACAGGGACAGGTACGAGCGACCCTCTCGATGTAAGTCTGTCCTCCTTGCGCTTGTAGCATTCTGAATGCTTATGAGGCTTTTTATCTACTTTCTTCGCTTCTTGCAGACGACGACCGCCGTGAATCTCGTTACGACGACCGACGTGGAGGTGGATACGACCGTGGTTACGACCGAGGCGGTTACGACTACCGAAGCGGCGGTGGTGATTACAGGGGCGGTGCAGGTGATTACAGGGGAGGTGGCGGAAGCGGTGGCGGTTACCGAGAGGAGCGCAGCTACGACCCCAGGTCTAGGTACTGAGCGGGCTCGTCGTCACAAGACCTCGATTGTCCTCGACGGTACGGTAGCCCCCGAAGAGGGAACTGACAGAGAAAAGAAAAGAAAAAAGTTTGGTCTCCCTCAAATCAAACATCCTACTCGTCTTTGCTTCCTCGCTCGTTTTCATGACTGGATGTGATCTGAAAATGCGCCACGGTCTCGACTTGTAAAAAAAGACCTTGCGTCGAGAGTCGGGACGGGACTTGGGGTTCGTGTTCATCGAACCTTGTTCTGCGCTCGTTGTTGTTTCGGTACTGTGTATTCCAGTCTATGTCGTGAAATAACATTGAATCGCTTGTTTTCCACACGATGCATTCATAAGGAATTTTGGAAGAAGTCGTATTTGTGGTGTTTCATCGTCGGGCGTTTTGGAAGTGGTGGATCCACGTGACCGCGACATCTCGAAAGAACGTGTGACAACACATGCACTCGACACCCATGAACTGTGTCAAAATGGAGGCTTCCATGTACCCCACCATCTGACTTGTGATCTTGAGATGCGCCAAGGGCCAAGCGATCGGATGCGCATCTCGACTTGTGCCCTGACTGGCTACGTGGCACTGAAACAATTCCCTATCTACCCCTGCTATGATGTGTGGGACATGAAAGGTACTCTCTCTAGTCGGTGATACCCCTGAAAGATGTGGTACTGGTGAAACAAAGGGTTGCTAGCGAGGATCGGTGACAAAGGGCGTTGTTTCACTATCGATCGCGCGCGCATAAAGGCTTGGATGCCGTGCGCCCGAATCGAAAACAAACCCTCTTTACGCAACTGAAAATTGGACACGAACCGCCTATCAAGCCTACAAATGACACGATTCGCCAGCTCACTATTTCTAAGTCTCGTCATGGGATCCGCCTTGCTGAGCATGGTTGCTGCCTATCAAAGAGAAGGGAAGGATTGGAGGTTTATCGAGGAATGGCTCGAGGATGACAAGCAGAAGCGTAAAAGCGAGGACAGGAAAGACTTCGCGGCATCGGTCGATGCTCGGAAGAAGGGTACGTTCTGGAATGTCAGAAAAGCCAAAGGATTGAAGAAAAAGGCTCCCATCCAAGCCTGGAAGGATCAGAACAAGAAGGAACACATGCGTTGTGGTATCGTCTTTTACTACCCCAACATCTGGGATGCATTGGGCCGGAAAAACGGCCGGCAAGTTCATCTGGAGGGTTGCTATACGATGGTGATACGCACCTAGCATTTGAGAGACCCTTGGCAATGTCGCCATGGTGTACTCCTGAGCCATCCGAGGATTGGGAGAAGAACAAACCCGAGATGATTGTATTTCACAACTACTGGGCGGATCTGGACACCTGCATGAAAGACAGATATCTGTTCATTGAGTAAGTGTGTTGAGAAAGCTTTTCCGCGGTCAAGCTGATGACCTATGCTTTTCCGACTCTAGGGAAGAATTCGGGGATCCACACCTGGACGAAAAAGCCAAAACAGATGTGTTACCGATCGAGAGTTTCACTACACGTACCTTTTACAACGCCACCGGTATTAAGGAGGATCACAACCCTTCTATTTTCAAGTAGGTTCAGACGACAATGGAGTACGCTGAACGATGAGATTCTTACCGAACGCTCCCAATCTTTAGCAAACCAGCCGACGCAGGATACGTTTTCGGTCTGCTCAAGGAGTATGCTGACGCCAATCGTAATGGGACGGTTCCTAATCCGTGGAAATATGGTATTGGTGAGAAATCTCAGGTCGTACCTATCTGAAGCTCTCTTGCTGATCCCAGGCTGTCCTTGGCTCAGCTGCGAGGGAGTGGATGGACTGGACCGATGTCGGAAACTTCTGGGGATACAATTACCAAGACGGCAGTCGTCTTCCACCGCCAGAGAACGGTTACCCCAATTGCCCCGAGGACTTCGATGCAAAGGACAAAAGAATCTGTTGAGGTACCGTCAGCCGGAACTTATGCGAGTATATCGCATCTTGTATATCATAAGCATAAGACCCCACGCCAAATCCAACACCACCGGATTTTTCTGCCTGCTGCAACTCAGTTTTTAACAATAGTTTGCGGATGACCATTCATTTACGGAAAACGACTTTGCCAGGCCAGACTCACCACAATGAGTTCTTGTCCGCCATCATCATTGAACATAAGAGACGTGGAAGACAGTGTGATTTCCGCTATCAACCAGCTGTGATATCGGCCGTCATCTAAGGTACATTCACCGTTCGCGCCCTTCGTCACTGCGCGCCTGTCCTCACCTTGATGGCCAACACGAAATACAGAGGGAGTCTCACTCTGATCACCTTCCAGGCCACACCTGAGACGGCAGGAACTTATGTCTGGCCTTATTACTGGTTGCCTGTTGATCTGATGAACATAAAGTATCCCGTTGCCGGTCAGCAGCAGAGTTTCACCATCTCTGTCAACACAGGCACCTTCTCAACCTTGAGACCTCTGTCGTCTATTATAAAGAACGCTCTGGTAGATCTGTCGAGGATGGCGTATGCATCGGGCCGGTTAGGAATAGAACAACTCTCTTTACAACTAGTTAAGGGATTCAGCGACGTTCCCGCTAAGATTTATTGGATTGAACAGCAGAAGATGGAGTTCAAAGGGGACGCTTGGTTTGAGGCCTTTGTTGCAGTCAATCATCCTCTCCAGATGGTGACTATGGCAACCTTCCTCGTAGTGATAAACCCGCTAGCGCTGTTGCTCCACCTGATCCATTCCCGAAGCTTTTATCAATAGTACTGGCCGTACCCTGGAGGAAATTGGTCATCTGTTAGTAGGAGGCTCAAGATTCAGCTTTGATCAAGAGAGAACCGGAGGTTGCGGACTACCATGTTGGTATCGTTTGGACACCCCCTATATTTGAAGGTCTTTTTCAGTCATCATACACTTGAAGGTCTCTTGCAGTCTTTTCAACCCACTCATACTTTCTTTGGGATATGCTGTGGCTGCTCAGAACGAGTCCGTGTGATGATTATTGTATGTCACCAGTGGCTGTTGTAGTGAGGCTGGATTATTGGCCACATCTTCTTCTGCATTTGGGATCAGTGAGCTATATGCAGGAAGTTCCCACCCAGACAGGTATGAGTATCCTGTTTCAGAAAGCCTACATTCCCCATGTGGCCCCATGGCATGCCAAGACAAGGGTTGTTCTGTCCAAAAAGATGTGTTTGTTGAATAATCTTGATACAAGCCTGGATGGCCCGGGATGTCGAGAAGGGGATCCCACAGGTGGGGGGCCGGTTGTAGCGCTTCATCGGTACTTGAGCAATACTGATCCAGAACAGGAATCGCAGGTATCTCTGTGTGGTTGAACCACTCAGTCCATCCTTCTGGTACTAGCATACCTGCAGGAGCATCATGTAGAGGACTTGTGCGCATAAATCCAGACTGATCTGTGGCAGATAAGGGGCCAATTGAGTATTGTGGAGTAGGGGCATCAAGCTGGGATTGAGGAGTAGTTGACGGCGTTTGAATTGATGCAAGATCTGGGATTTGTGGTGCCATTCCCAAATATGTCTGATATGGATAAGCACGTCATCACCACTTTTTAAGACAGGGACATACCTGTGTCTTCATTCTCATGTTGCTGATGTGACATACCAGTTGATCTGCTGGTAACCAATGTATGGCCCAGCAGAGACATGGTCTCAGCAGGACCTGATGGAGTTTCAAGGGTCCTGGTATGGATTTTCCGCTTGCTTGCCTCACTGTTGCATGCATGATATCGGTTAACATGTTTCAGCCTGAGTCTCCCTTCCATCTCTTTCAATTCCTTTGAACATGTGGCTGTGAACAATAGAGGTTCAGTTCAGCATTCTATTGCTGAATCCTATCTTGAATCCTGGACTCTGTACATCACCTTCTTTCTCCCATGACTGACAACCATATGAGATCCAGGCACTGTACATCCAATCCTCATAAGGCTTCCGATGTGAGATCACCTTGTCCATCTGTTCCTCCAACAAGCCACCCAATATTTTGTGCCTGAACAGTCTTATGGGATCTTTGCAATCCTTTCCTGGTCTGCCCACATAGTTCTGGTGGCAAGAATAGCACACACTGCCCCATACTCTAACACCTTTTGCCGTCCAAATGCGCCGCCAGTTGAATTTTTTTGTCTCTCCCTGAGCTGGTCTACTCAGGAGCTTCTTAACATCCGCCTCCAACACAATATCTTCTTGCAGGAGCTGACGGGAATGGACCGATGCATCTGTACCGTTGTGTCCCGAATGTTGAGAACTGAGGGTGGATCCTTCCGTCAGACCTGTTACACCATGAGTGATTATTTTACAGTTTAATATCAAGCATGAAATGCCTCTACCCGGATAGGGTATCATCGCTTGATCAAGCTTAGACATGTATTGATGAGTGGCTTACCACGTGTTGAAAATATTTCAGAAGCTGTTCCTGGTGTTAGCTCATCCATCTCATCAACATATTCATTCTGCAACTTTTGGGCGGCTTTCCTGTATTTCTCATTGCCCTTCCTTGTAGTAACTACACCCTTTGACGAGCGCTTGTATGTGTAATTTCCTAACCTGTGTTGCCATGTCAATCTCCAAGCCTTGTCAATGAGTTGTATACTCTCCTTGTCTGTGACTACGTTACGATGGACCTTTCTCAGCCAAGTACCTCTAGGCAATTGCGATTTGGACTGACCTCGACCTCTCCAGGATTTGCCACCCTCATGGATCCAGGCATCGAACATCCAGTCCCTGAGGGGTGTGTCCCCAGACAGACTTTTTTCGATATCACCTTTCAATAAACTGCTCAGTGTTTCATGCCGAAGTATGTTTACTGGAAGCTTGCAACGTGCTGCAGGCGGGGTAAACCAAGTACGATGACAGTGGTCGCATCTTGTATTGCGCATTCCTTTTCCTTTGGTTATCCAGAGACGTATCCAATAAAGGTGGTCTTCTTTGGGCCCTGCCAGCTGTTTCAAAAGGTTTGCCACATGAGGCTCTATCTCCATTTTCTCTGGGACACAGAGTCAGTAGGGTCTCTAATCTAGCTTAGATGAAACGAATCCTGCCGCGACTATGCCCATATTTCAAGCTTACCTTTTCCGGCTGTTACTTTCCTACCATCAACTCTGCTTCCACCTAAATGCACATCTCGATCGTCATCTCGTTCGTCCATCTGCGATTGCTCGCGATATGTCTGTAGCTTACCTGAAAACACTGTTGATGTCGACGTTTGGCTGATCAGTGACATATCTTGTTGCAGCTGGTTGGTGTTATGCAAAGCAAAGTCGCGACAGTGTCGAAAGCGTCGTAGTTGTGAGGAGATCAAGCGAATTGCGATAGGTTTGCAAAGCCCTTGAAGGCTGCCCCTTGGGCTTATATCATTGCCCCTAGCCAGCTTCTCCCTGGGCCATATGGAAAACTCCTCCTTTCATCATGTAGTGTATCGAGAATCTGAGCCGCCAACGCAGGATGACCACCTGCAGCTCTCGCGCCTGTCAACGACGTACTGTTTCAGCCCCCTGCTTCTCCATCCAAGCCACGTGTTCATAGCCATTTGTTGTCGACCAACGGCAAACGCAAGCGGGCCATGCTTCTTTATCTACACCATTCCGAAGCGTGCATGCAGCGGAAATCATGGCATACACAGCCCCTATATCGTCCTTGCTTTGTTCTGGACCATTATCAGATGGGTGCACAGGACACACGGTAACTAGCGCTAGGCGGCACGGCAGTGAAACCCGAGTTATCTGAACCGTAATCTCTATCCCTGATGATGAAGCTCTGCATTGAAAAACAAGGATCGATCGATTGTACCGGTTGCCATCCTTCAACCAACACGGGCCGGATACAGCAGAGTTACCAATACAATTGCGTCTCCGGTGCGTACTTGAGATGAGGAAAGGAAAACAAAGTGAATTACAGGCCTGGACCGTCCAAATACTGAACATGGCTGAATACAGTAGTTACACCGCTTTTGTCTTCTATAGGTGCATAGTCATGCCCAGTGACCATCTAGCCGCAAAGCCCAGCCAATATGTCTCATGGTACATTTCCCAGATCAATGCTGCTAACAAAGCGGGGAGCGAGTCGGACGGTGAGACTCAGGATTCGGAATTTACGATGCACCGTTACGCGACCGGAAGATCATGCCTGCTCCGAAGAAAGAAGCGACAGCTATGAGCATAAAGAAGCTATGGCGAACAATCCTTGAGATGGACAGCTGCATCATTCTGGATCTGCACATGATTTCTGCCAAATATAATCTCGGAGTGATCGCTTTCGGTCGGATTAAGGATATAGTTAACAAGCCTGTGGTTATTGCGTCGCTTGTCTTGCATCGATACTCTCCCATTGTTTGTCATGCGCGGATGACCGGAGAATCATGTTCTTACCGTAGATACAGGAGAGCCAGGAGCGGAGACTTCTGATATTCCTCGGTGCGTCATACAAATGGCGGTCTATAACCGACGGTACTTGCAGGCGCCTCCGAAACTCGTCGACAGATCGTATCATATGAAACGGCATGGGTATGGATGAGACAAGGTTAACATGATGAGCGGTGATCAGTCCAAACCATACAACGATCCCTAATTCCTTCTTGATGCTCCGGCTGGCACAAGCCGAGCCATGTTACGACGTTCCCCGTACCGAGGCTAAACCTCGGTTCCCGACCATTTGCTCCTCTCGTTCTCGTCTAAGACTTCGTTGTAGGTCCAATCCCACAAGTCCTTCTGAAGCTTCTTATCCTGAGTTTGCTCGCCGGAAGGCATCTCCTTGGCTCCATCGGCAACGTAATACTTGCCGCTCTTCTCGACGTGGGAGAACTCTTCCGAGTCGACCAACCTCAACACGGTGTTGGCGGTGAACTCGACCGTGTACAGGTCGGGCATCTGTTTCGCCGCATCCGAACGGATGAAGGCGTCCATCTCCTTGCCCGCATCGGTACCCTCTCGGTACAATCCCGTGGCCATACAGCCGGGGTCGAGCACCAGCGAGATCCATCCCTTGTTTGTTCGTCGAGCGTGATCATGTAGACCGTAGCCGAACAACACGTTGGCGAGCTTGGACAGGCCATAGCGATTCAGACCGCCCGTCTTGTGATCGGCACCTCCAGCGGGGTTACGAGCGCAATCTTCGGCGCTGATGTAATGCGGAGAGCATCGGCCCTGCTTGGGATCGTGTGCGGAGGAGCTGATCAAGACGATTCGACAGTCGTCCTTTAGTTTGTCTCCCAGGAGCGCGAGCAAGAGGGCCTGGTTGACGTGGTTGACCGCGAACATGGCCTCGATCCCGTCGTCCGTCTTGACCTCGTTCAGCACCTGCATCCCGGCGTTGAGCACAAGGGCGGAGATGGGAGCGAGATCCTTGGCGAGTAACTCGGATGCGGCTTTGCGGACATGCGCTTGAGTGCTCAAATCGACGTGGTGAAACATGACGTTCGAGACGTCTTTGGGAATGGCATCGGATGGGAGATGTCGACCGGTGATGACGACCTGCGCCTCTGGATGGGCTTCGGCGCCAAGGAGGGCCGTGGCTAGACCAAGACCCGACGTTCCTCCGGTAACGATGATAGTAGAGCTGTAAGTCATAAAGAATGAAAATTTGAGCTGGTGAGGTCCGCATCTCCATCGAGCGATGCCAACAGACGATCCTATCCATACGAGATCGAGTCTCGCCGCTTTATATGTCTTGCCTTCGTTCCTCGAATCGACGTCAGGCAAGGTGGTAGGTACATCGCGCGGCTTGGCTGTCCTCGTACTGGCGGCCGGGTCGATCCGTCACATTTATTACTAAGAAGTCATCCTCGCCGTTTAAGGGAGCCGGTCGCTTCCGGGACGCGATCTCGTTTCTCATAGCTGCCGACTCGAATCTCACTGGCCGGACTGACTCCTTCAGGACCTTTGGCAGTGAGTACCATTCGAAATGAGGAACGTAGGATCTAGTCGCCAGTCGTCCCCACTAGACTGCCTCCGCGATGCGCGCCAAGGGATGCGCGTCAGGTTGATGAGGCGGATCGGATATTGAAACCGACTTCTTCGTCTTGATGGCGAATGACAACTGGTTTTTCTCTTCAGCACTTTATAATGGCCTTGTAGGTGGTCCGAGTCTATCAAACTCTAGTATATGTTACAACAAGCGTCAGAAACCCCTTTCCGAAAACAGAGGATTTGCCAATCCGGCTTACTATATCACTACAGCAAAACTTGGGAATTCTGGAAGCTGGAAACCGTGGGGGCGATCCAATGTTATAGTGCTATCGCTAGATGGTTCGTATGAACTAGTGGTAGTCGAGACCTGGATGTTGCTTTTCAAAAGAAGTGTGTGAACCGATCATGGTCTCCAGGATTTCTAACGATGGAGACGGGTCCATATGATCTCCGCCAGTGCCAACCTGATCTTGGGTTCTCTGAGGTTTACTTCCACAAATCCTCCGAGTAGCTATGGCTGGACGATGGACGATAGTCTAATACAAAGAGCCACCTAGCTCGTCTATCTGAGATTCGCTTATCAATCTTTGTATCACACCGCTACTCACCCCGAAAATACAACAAGAGGATCAGCGCTTCGATCGAGAAGCGTGGCCTTTGAGAATCAAGACAGACGACTATCTCGGCCAATAATGTCCGGTACATACGTCGGCTCCCTTGTCGTCGATACGTAGCGAAGGTAAATTGCACCGGCTTACGATCTGATAGTACATATACACTGTCGGAACGCCTGATGTAAATCGAGATGGTTGTGATGATTTGATAATCCATTGACATACCCCTGCCAGTAGCCAGTGGCCAGTGCTTGCAGATCGTAGACACATGATCTAAAAATCGATTTGAATGCAGACTGTATCGTCGCAGCACGAACGTCGTTGTATCACCCGAGCACCTCATTCCGAATGTTCTAGCGCTGTCGTTGTGACAACAGTCTGAGACAATAGAAAAGCTTCCAGACCCTCCTTTATCGACGATGACCGTCGTCGTATCCACTTGATCGGGTAGATAGAAGGCGCAGATCGGCGCGATAGAGTTCCAAGCTAAACGGTGGGTCAGAGCGGAAGGAAGGCTCGGACCTGACGACAGTAGGAACCTTGTATGTCGGGGGTTAGGGAATCGCCGGGAATTGTCATCAGGTTAATCGAATCAGTTGCGTTAGTAATTTCGCGCGCCTGGATCTTAGATCTTAGAGGACATCGTATATATCGTAAACCATCAGAAACAAGCAGTATTGGCTAACAAACAAGCATAAGGGAGAATCACGGCGAGAATATGGGGATGGGAGAATCTACGTATGGGAGGCTCTTATAACAGGCCTAAGGAAGGTCCGCTTAGACGGCAACGGGAGCGAGGGTGACTGAACATTTCTGCTCGATACCTGCAGATCCTTGGAACCCGAATCCAAGGCATTGGAAGACTACCCTGGGCGGTCCGGTCGGGATGTTTGGAGGAACGGAAGCCGGATCGGAGGCAGAAGGAATGTCGATGATAGGGTTGTCTTCAGTATCCGGGGATCGGTTGTTGGCATCCTGCATGGCGGCAGGGTCGAAGGGAGCATTCTCGGCGGCGTAAATGATCTGGACGTTTTTGCCTTCTTTGCCGAGGGAAAATTGGATCTCGACAGCCATAGCGATGATTTCTTCAAACATTTCCGCTGCCTGCGGTTTTTATGTGTTAGCGAGCCTTCATATCAATTAGAAGCAGAGTTCCTTACGGAGGGGGAAAAGATCCTTGTGTTATCGCCCAAGATGCGAACAATTCTTTGGGTAGTCCAATGAACCATATCAGACATCGTGTAGCGGTTTGATACGCTGGAGAATGTCATAGAAACCCAAAGCGTTCGTTCTGTTAAAGGCCGCAATGAGCTTATATCCTTCAGCATGAGATCCAGTGAAAGAACACTCACGAGTAGGCTCCAGCAAACGCGCGATCGTGCCCATAAAGTCCTGCTCTTCCGTCGAGAGGAAACCGAGCAGACGATCAAAGACGTCACACCACAAGACCCGATGGATGAAACTCTGGAGATCTACTCGCTGCTCCTTTCGAGTCCCCTCGAAGAGTCCACTGGTCGCCGGGTCGCGAGTCATGTGGTTTGCGAGATCTTTGACCTTCTGATTGAGGCTACTGATATCACGGAAGTACTCCTCTTCAGTCTTCGAGCTAGCCGGAGCCAGAGAAGCTTGAGCGCTCCTTTCCTGACGGAGGCGATTGACTTCGGACTCGGTGGCAGCAAGAGCGGCCTCAAGATCGTTCTTTGTCTGTTTATGTTGCGCTTGGATGCGGTCAACATGTTTCGACAGGTCGTCGGCGTGATTGATTTGAACAGCGAGTTGTTTCCTGAGATCGGTTCTCTCGCGGCTCGCTTCATTAAACTTTGTAACAGCGGCTCTTCCGGCTTGCTTCATCTCATCCTTCTCCTTCTCGTTGCGATTGACATCTGTCTGCAGTCGCTCGATCTTATCATTCGCAGCCTTGACGCGTTGCTGCAGTTTCGAGACCTGGCCTTGCAAGTCACGGACTGCTTCCTTTTCTTTTTGAATCGCGGCTTCCGCGACCTTTTTTAGTACGGTACCTGAAGTACCCTCTCGAGATCCGAGGTTCGCTTGAGAACCGGCTGCTACCGCGGAGTACGGCTTTCGGACCGGAGTAGAAAGGTCGATGAGGTCGCCAGGGTTCGCAGCTGACATTTTTGCGGCGGAGACTGATCTCGTCACAATCGGACCAGATCGGGCGATAACGTTCACCGTGGTGGCGTTTGGATGCAGAGCTGGTGGAGGATGGGGCTGTAGCTCTATAAGCACAATCATCCGCTCAGGTAAATTAGCAGTGCAAGTTACGCCGCAGAATAGTGAACTAACCGTTCGCCGCGGAAGAGAGTTGTTTTTTGTCCCGTGTATTCGAGGGAGACTTCTGGCTAGGATCCTTATTGTTGTCGTCTGTGAATTTTCGTTTCGGGATAAATGAGCGATGGAAGTACACGACTCGAAGAGTCTTGAACTGACCGTTGAGCTTAGAACGATTGGGAGAGAAAGTCATACTGGCCATTTGCATGGTAGTCGCCCATATGCCCATAGTGAAGACGAAGCACAAGGTCTGTATCATACACGTACTTTGTCAATACCTCGAAACATAAGCTCACAAGTGAGTACTGGCGACTTACTGAAAGTCTTTCTATGAAAGATAAACAGGTGCAAGCGAGAACGACAGGGTTCATCAAGGCGGCCTATTCAGAGAGTTACACAAGCCTTTTGACAATGGGTGCAGGCATATTCAACGAGAAGCGATAAAGGACTGAGTACAGAGTACATAATACTACTATATACCATCTGCAGCCCGTCCTACGTCCTAACCTGCTTGCCGCTCGATCACAGCTTTGTCAAGGAAAATTGAATCACATCAACAAAAAGAAACTCCCCGAACCGAGATGTTCTAGCGCTATCGTCCTGACGACAGAGTGAGACACGGAAAAGGTCCCGTTCGCGCGTCTTTGACGACGGTGGTCGTCGTATCCACTTGTAAAAGAATGTCAGGCGCAAGAGCAGCGGAAGCCAGGTTTCGACGACCGATGGATCAGCGAATCGAGGGTTCAGCGCGACTGACGACGACAGATGCGCGGTTGATCAACGATCAGTCGATCAGTCGGTCAGTCGATCAGTCGATCAGTCGATCACTCGATCAGTCGATCAGTCGTCAGTATCAGTCTGATCAGTATCAGTGGATATGTGTTGGTCTTCGTTGTGCGACGCGCACAACGGCTGCGGAAAGCTTATTGCTGGCACTATCATGCTTCTCAGAAATGGAATATATATCACCCGGATCCTCAGGCTCGGGATGATTCTCAGCGCTCGAAAATTGAAACCTCCGCGCTCGACACAGGTCGAAAAGGGATATATACTCCGTCTATCGCTCATGATCCCCCTCAAGTCACTCGCCTCTGACTACTTTCTTCTTTCCTTTTTTTCTACCAAGCTAGACTATCCTCGATCTAGACACCTCAATCTTCCCGCCCCTCATCTCCTCTATCAAAACACACTCAACCCAAGAACAATATGTCTTCCCTCCGCGACCTTGTCAGTAAACTTTCCATCGGCGAAAGCGGCGAGTTGCTCGTCCTTAGCTTTGACATTGGCACTACGCAGTGTAAGTTCCAGCATCAAAGCTCCCGCATGGATCCTGCTGATCTTTCAACATGTTTTCAGCGGGTGCTGCTCTTGCTTATGTCGCGCCTGAAGCCAAGGGGTCGTAAGTCTGCAATCTACCTTGGCTCATGTTCCGGACCTATAGCTCAATCACCTTTGTGTTATGTAGTCGTGCACCTGCGGTCTTGGAAAAGCTGCCCGGTCAAACACCCGGCAAAGCCAAAATTCCCTCGGTCCTCATGTACGATAAGAAGTGAGTAACCCCCTCATTCATCTTGTTGGTCGCCACGTCTGATTCGCATTCACGGTATCGCGGTAGGGGGGTTTGCCACGAAAAATGGGGAAGCCAAGTCTATGATCTCGATCGCAAAGAAAAGGCAGCTTTGAAGAGCGGCGAACTCGTCAAATCTGAATGGTTCAAATGTAATTGTCCAGACATCATCGTCCGACATATATAGGCGTTACTCAAGATAAATTTCATCGCTTTCACAGTGTACATCGATCCCGAACGCCGAATCAACAAGAAGGCTTTCGTCTCCGACAAGTCGAAGGAGCTCCCTCCCGGCAAGACTGGCTTCGATTTATGGGGCGACTTCTTGGGCAAACTGACCGTCGCTGCGAAGCAAGCGGCCCGCGAGGAGTGGGCGATTACCTGGATTCCCGAACTCGAACAACGTCAAAAAGTCAAGTATATCATCACGATTCCGGTCGCCTGGCAGAAAGGTCTGTCCTACTTCTTGTCCCTATCGCTTATCGGTCTTATGCTGTGTGTTCCCGGTTGGGTAACTGAAATTTTTCTCATCTTTCTTCCACCGCCTTTCTATCTCGGTCTTGTGCTGGACTGCACTCGCGTAATCAGATCCGGCTACTATGATGGCTCTGCGCAAGCAAGCGCTCAGGGTCGGGTTGATTACTGAAGAGACTTCCTCCTGCTTGAGCTTCTGCTCGGAGAGTGAAGCTTCTGCACTGCACTGCGTGAGTTCGATGCTCGAAAGCCCTGAGAGAGTAGTTACCTAAGAAACCACCTCGATTTTGAATTGTAGTATGAACAAACCAAGCATCTGGACATGAAGGCGAGTAGTTCTCGAAACTTCTGAGCCTGGACAAGACGCTCATGACAATTTTCCTATAGCGTAATGATGTGTTCCTCGTGATCGATGCCGGAGGTGGTACCGTCGTAAGTCATGGTTCTGACCGCTTGCGTAACCGCGTTCTTATTGCGCTCTCCAACCGATCCAGGATTTTACCTCTTACAAGATCAGCAAGACTGAGCCTCTAGAGCTCGAGGAGATCGGCGCGGATTCCAAGGTTTGCCTTTACCACGGCTCAACCTACGTCGACGGGTCGTTTCAAGAGGTTCTCACCGCCCATTTGGAGCAAGAATACCCTCTCACCAAGGCGACCGAGAAGCACATCGAAGCGGCGAAACGTATGTTTTCCACCTTGCGCAAGCCCGAGTTCACCTTCAAGAAAAAGGTCACTGGTTTCTGGGACATTTCCGAGAACGAGGACGACTTCGATGATGGGGGCATTGAGGTTCCTTGGTAGGAATCGGCTAGCCGCCGGATTTGAACCGCAAGCTGACTGACGCCCTGCTTCTTTTGCCCGCCAAAAGGTCGCTTATGGAGGAGGCCTTCAAGCCTCACGTCGATCTGATTGTTGAGACCGCCTCGGCCATTACGCAGCAAGACTCGCCCAAGGTGAGATCCAGTATTAGTCGCGTGCTTTTGGATCTGCCTGACCCTGCCTCCGTTCTCGTAGTTCATCTTTTGCTCCGGGGGCTTCGGCGATAGTCCATACCTTCGTGAGCGACTGGAAGCCATCAAGGGGGTTCAGATCGTCCAGCCGGAACAGACCGCCTCTTCTTCGTAAGTCGGCAGTATAGACGAGCGGTTACTGTCTCATACTTACTCGAATGCTGCTGTTCACAGAGGATCGAAGGCTGTTACTCTCGGTGCCTGCTTATACGGCCTGAGATCCTGGGTACAGAAGAGAATCAGTAAGCTTCCTCGACCGGTCTCTGGAAATCGGTCAGCTGAACACCCGACCATCTAACTATCAGCATCGAAGTGCATTGGTTGCAATACTTATCACAAGATTCCTTCTTGGCACATGCCCGACCCGGAAGAAAGCAAGAACTTGGTCAGGAGGTATGGCAACAACTATGTCTACAATAATTTCACTCCGATCATCGAGCACGTAAGCCGCCTAATCTTCTGCCCTCTGAGAAGTATCTATCGCGATGGAAAGCTGATTCCTTTGCTTTGCCAGAACCAAACGGTCAATCGCAAGGATTACTATTCCAGTGCATTACAGAAAGAATTCCCTTATCCTTTCGACGGTCCTGGAAAGCAATGCACGTTCAAGGTACTTGAGTCCAACGCTACAGTCACCCCGAAATGGTGCGATGATAAAGGTGAGTCGGAGCCCGTCCATGTCACCATTCCATATATTGCTGACGATCGCGCTACTTCTTTGAAACGTTAGGGATCACGGAGCTTGGTAGTTTCGAATTCTTCATCCCGAAAGATGCGCCGCACGAGATCGAGGTTACTCCTGACGGCACCAGGCTGGTAAACTGTGCGTATCTTTCAATCAATATGCGCAGTCATGTTCTGACTTGCGCTGCTCTAGACAACTTCGAAATTCGCGTTTATAGCGGGGAAACCGAGTTGCGTGCCGCGATCTACAGCGATGGCGAGGTGAGCCGTCGGATATAATCCTCCAAGAAATCAAAACCGCCAACTGACAGACACCTGGACCGCAGATTCTCGGCAAGAGCGCCTACCTCGAAGGACCCGCCGACCTCATCGACGACTAGTCCAATCGACTTACGGTAGTACTCCGGACTACAAGCCTTATTTTCTCTTGACTGTTTCTCTTGATTCCGAACCTCTTCTGCCTTATGCTCTCTCTTTCCAAGACTTTTACGCGCCACCCTTACCTTACAGGCGATATACGATATTCCTGTAGCGACTCGATCTTGACCTATACGATGGCTCATACACGTGTCACTCAGCAGACAGAATCTCAGCCAAAAGATTCCACTGCCGATCTTTGCAAGTAAACCGACTGTCCAGAGCCCAAACATGAAACGCGCCTCAGCGGAATCCGCACCGAACTTGTTACGTAAGCTCGGGCACTGATTTATCTCCGATTCGGTATCAGATTACTCCCGACTGTTTATTTTTTGCCATGCCGACGACCGACCTCGCAACCTTCTTTTAGACGATAACCTGCGTCATCGATATCGAAGAAGGACGACGTCGTTCGTCTCCCCCACGATGAAGTGTTTTACCTTAACGACGTATCATGAAACAAGAGTAGAACTTCAACCAACCTCCTTTCCGGTTTCCAAAAGCTTGCAACCGACGGACTTTGAGCGTTATCGCTTCGACCCCAAAGATCAAAGGCATGTCGGCAGGGAAGACCCAGCTGCGGAAGATCTACCGATTGTTGTCATGACGTCGTGCGCCCAGAAATAGAAAGGAGGTCAGCTGTTAGCAGCAGCGACAACAGCAGCGACACTGAACCTTCCTTTCAGACATGTGACTCGTCGTTCCTTCCTTTCATATCGTCATCAACCAGCAATCGCACGGGTCGGGGAGGACAGCTGCGGGAATATGGACTTGGAAGGACGACCTGATCGCTTCGCGATACGCCGACGGCTCTTGACCCGTGATGGTCGTTCGGTTTCATCGTCCCAAGGAAAACTTTTTGTTGTTGTTAGTGTTGTTTACCTTTCAACCCTCCGACCCTCCTCCCTTTGATGAGAAGGTGCAAGGCGAGTTGGCTATAAGTTGTAACCAGGATAGTTGGTACGTCTCCCTCTTCTCCCTTTTTCTCGTCCGGGTCTTGCTTTTCCCCTCTCTTAAGTTTTTGCACGTTGAACCCTTTCGTCATATACTTCACTTCAACCAGACTTGACAAGGTTCTAGGTCTTCCACTCGTTAGCTTTCGCGATCAACAACATCAACATCAACGATGTCCGTCGTCGAACCCCACACCCACACCCATACCACGGCCACCCACTCCGCCCCGGTAACCACCGCCGCTACCACTACCGCTCCCATCACCAACGAGAAGAAATCGTTCTTCTCCCGTAAAAAGGTCCCTCACCAGACTCAGGGCGTACCCGTCGGTGTCAACGGTGCGAACGGCCACGGTGCCGGACTCGGGCATGGAGTTGGAAATGGACATGATGGTATGCACACTTACCCTCAAGCTCACGGTCAAGAGGGTTATGCGACGAACGGGCCGTATGGGAGGGGGTTCAAGTTTGGGTCTTGGTTCAAGTGAGTCTGAGTCGATCGCGGAGCTCGGATGTGGATCGTACATGGCTTTTTACTCACCTGACGTTCCTTTGTGGCTTGTTATTGTGTCTGTTCGATGAATATCTACCTTTATCGACGTTGTTCATAATCCTCTGACCCTTCCCTTCCTCCCAATCCTCTCTCCAAACCTCCATCACCTCCGCTTACATCTCACCTTCCCGCCTGCACCCTCGACCCCCGACTCCTGACTGCGACCGATAGGCTGAACATCCTCGACCTCCTCACCATGGCCGCCATGGGCGCCATCGGCCTAGGAGTATACGAGGCCGATCCGGCGCCGAGGAGACATTTTCCGGTCATCGTACCCGGGAGCAACGTGGGCACTGGGTTGGGGGAGGCTGTTTATCCAGAGTGAGTCTTTTTGGGACGTTCGGGCTTTGATATAACATGAGTGTAGTGGAGGGACGGCGGCTGATGGGAAATTCGATGGACTCGATTTTCGTTCGACAGGTTCGCTTACCCAGTAAGTCTCAAAATTCCAAATCACGTTCATTTTCAAAGCTCACATTTCGGATCGTTGCTCAACGGAACCACAACAGTACCGCAAGAACATCATCCCCATCTACGCCGCTGCCCTTATCGCCTTTTTCGTACCTTTCGTCTTCTTCGTGCTGTTCCAGATTAGGCACCGGTCCCCGGGCATGCTTCGTGAGTGGCATGTTACGCTTGTCGTGTCTACCAGAGCGAGTCAATGAGCTAAATATGCGGCGATTTTCTTTTTGGTTCTCAGTGGACTCGACGATGGGTTTGCTCGAAGGGTTGATGTAAGCCCCATTTAGCTCTTAATAATAACAAATCAAGACCCCCTTTGCTCATCATATAATCCGCCTCTCTCACGTACTGTAGCACCGCCGCCGTCTTCCAAGTCTTCCACAAATGGCTCATCGGCGGGCTCCGACCTCACTTTTTGGACGTCTGTCAGCCGGACCTGTCTAGGCAGCAAGGAGCAGGGTTCTTGGGGTACATGTACACGAGGGAGGTTTGTACGGGCGATGAGGGGAGGATCAACGATTCGTTGGAGAGTTGGATGTCGGGGCATTCTACTGCCGCTTTTGCGTGAGTAGAAGGTTGAATTGTGGGTCAATCGGAGGGATATGGACGCTGATGGTGGGGTTCTGCTTGCTCGGGATGGATGTTGACCATGTTTAGCGGTCTCGTGGTGAGTCTCATGATACTCGAAACCATGTTCAGAACGGCGCGCTGATGTTCTCTTTTGTTGCGCTGCAGTACCTCTTCCTCTACTTCAACGCTCAGCTCAAGGTCATGTCCGACCACCGACCTGCGTAAGTTCAAACTTAAGAGCCAGCCAGGGCGTTGAACGTACCGATCGCATACTCATCGCATTCATTCGCACATCGTAGATACTGGAAGATGATCTTGACGATCGCTCCGATCTTGGGAGCCAGTCTGATCGCCGCCTCCTTGACCGTCGACGAATACCACAATTGTAAGTCCTCGAATAAAAGGCCTTTGCGGGTTACGGAACGCTGATTCTGTCATACCGGTGATTGTTCAGGGTACGACTGCGTCGGGGGAGCTTTGACCGGGACTTTCTGCGCTTTCGTGAGTTCGATCCAAGGAACAATACTTTCAGGCGACGACTGACTTTGGCGTTTCCCGAGCAGATCGCCTACCGCAAGACCTTTGCCGCCGTCTGGGACTTTAGGTTCAACCATATCGTCACTCCTCGTACGTCGGCTTTGTTCGCGCTGTTGACGTTATGTCTCGGTCTGCTAATCCTGACGTCGTGTATATAGGTACCACCTCGTTATTCAGTCGACATGCTATCGCTGGACTTGCCCGCAAGTTTACTTACCAGCACCACGATGCCATGGCTCAGCGACCCGCTGCTAGCGAGGGTGAGTCATGTTTGCCAATGAGCGTTCCGAACTTGGATGCTAAGATTGCTTGCGACACCAGGCGGATGGAGGGAAGAATCCATCGGTGGAGCACCTGGCGATGCCATCGGTCACGCTTACCCTGCCGGTGGGAATGCTGGGCAGTTCGGCTCAACAGCCGGTCAGGCTGGACAGTATGGTGGAAACACCGGATACGCCGCGCATCCCGCCATCCAGGTTTAAACTCTGTGCACGTCCATCTTGTCGCTCTCTCGATACACGCTTTTGGGGTGGCCAGGTGCCTTTAGCTTTGCTTCGATAGACGTTTCTTCTTGTGTTCAGGTTTGATTCGCAATTTTGCTATCCGTGTCTATGTTGGTGATATATAATAATCGTTACACGGATTCGGCCACGAGCATATTTCAAGGGGAAGAAGCATTGAAGTGCGGTTTCAAGGAACTGTAGTACCTATGCAATACTACTTATTATCATCTCGCTAGCTCGCTATGATTATAACGCCAGAGTGTCATGTCCGTAGACCCGTTGGAACTTACGCGACTCGGTCGCCGAGGACCCCTTGAGTCGCGAGTCAGAAAGTCGAAATGGGTTAATGGCCCTACCTATTCCCTGTCCGATCTGCCCACACCTGTCGCAATCCGACATAACTTGCAGCTTGGACATTTGCACATCAAGTCCAGCAATTCATCATTTACTCTAGTTACTCTTAGCATTGAAAGACAGAAAAACCGGACCATCAAAAACAACCGACAAGCAGCTCAACATGGTGGACGTGACTGAGCTCAATATCGGTATCATCGGGATGGGAGAAGCGAGTCCGCCTGGGTCCCTCCTACCTGAGCTCCATTGAATATGTAAGGCTGATCAATTGTGGGACCTGTAGATGGGGAAGATGTACGCACGGCGATTCGCTGCGGGCGGAATGAAGAGGTGAGCATGGTTGAATTGGAGGCCGTTTCGGTTTTAGTTATTACGGGAAGGAGGTTCAACAGCTGATTGACGTTGTGGCTTGGCAGGATATACGTCTGTGATCGACCAGAACGGTTCGAGCAGGTCAAGGAAGAGATGTCGGGTGAGTCGAGCGGATACTTGATCCGGTCTTGAAGAGGGAGCTAACAGCCGACTTTGCAGGCGAACCTGCTATCATCGTCATGAAGGATGGGCATCACGTCTCCCGGATCTCAGACTTTATCATCTACTCGGTCGAAGCCGCATACATCAACGACGTTGTCAAAGAATACGGTCCATGTACGTCAACTTCCCCAACTACCAAGCAGCATATTGTCGATTGACGTACTGCAGAAGCTGATCGTCTGGTCTGACCTGTACCGTTCTCGTCAGCTACCAAGATGAACTCGATCGTCGCCGGACAGACCTCGGTCAAAGCTCCGGAGAAGGAAGCGTTCGAGAAGTACCTGCCAGCAGATGTGCACATCGTCTCCATCCACTCGTTACATGGACCAACGGTGACGACCGAGGGACAGCCATTAGTGACTATAATGTCTCGTCTCAAGGCATCGGAGCTTGGCTCAGCAGCTAATCTGAACAAATTGACTACCCCGATGTGTAGGTCATCATCAAGTACCGGGCGACGGATGCTCAAGTGGAGACGGTCGTCGAGATCTTCAAGTCATTCAAGAGCAACTATGTGCATTTGAGCTACGAGGAGCATGATCTGGTCACTGCCAACACTCAGGCTGTGACGCATGCTGCGTTCTTGAGGTAAGCACCACGGCCCTTCGCTGAAGTAGCGATGCCGCCAATGTGACTGACGATCTCGTTATTGACATTCATTTCCTGGATAATCTAGCATGGGTACGGCTTGGAAGGAGACCTCAGATTATCCTTGGGAGACGACCCGATACGTCGGAGGAATCGAGATCGTCAAGATCAACATCACCCTCCGTATCTACAGCAACAAGTGGCACGTCTACGCCGGGCTCGCCATCCTCAACCCTTCCGCACGAGAACAGATCGGCACCTACGCGGATAGCTCGACCCAGATCTTCAAGCTGATGATCGAGGAGAAGAAGGAAGAGCTGAGGGAGAGAATGTTTGCGGCCCGAGAAGGTGTGTTCGGATGGACGAGACAAGAGGGAAGCGAACAGAACGGGATCGCCAGTGGAAGCGGGAGCACACCCGACAAGGCTGTTCCAGCGGATGGCAAAGACCACTCCTCGTCGTCGTCAAAGCCCCGAACAGCGCGGAAACCCATCTTGCTATCAGATCGAATTCTCGATCAATTCTCGCTCGGCGTCAAGCCCGAACCAGGTCAAGGGGCAAGACCCAACTCGCATTTGAGCTTGATGGCGATGGTGGACTGTTGGCACCGACTGGGGATCAAGCCTTATGACCACTTGGACGTAGCTGGGACTCCTGTGTTTATGCTCTGGATCGGTAGGTCTCCAAGATTCTGCAAAGTGCTTGCCCAACCTGACTGACCAACCACGGTCTGTTCATGAACCAGGGGTCGCGGAGTACCTCTTCCGTTCACCTGAACGACTGGAAGCTGCCATCGAGGCCGCCATCTATGACAAGACACATCGATCCGACGACACCGAGTTTTGCATCGCCGCTCGAGGCTGGAGTCAGTGTGTCTCTTTCGGCAACTTTGATCTTTACCGAGATCGCTTCGAGCAGACGGCCAGTGCGTGCTTCGTTCTACATCAGCGGTTTATGATGCGGTGACTGACTTGTCGAATCGATTGTATCGTGTTACAGGTTTCTTTGCACCGCGATTCGAAGAAGCAGCAAAGGTCGGAGGCAAGATGATCAAGACTATCCAGGAGGAGAGCAAAAGGACGACGACGTAGGCTCGGTATATCGTAGCAGTATCTGTATCACGTGTCGAGCATCGTTCGTCTCCACTACAAGCATAGCATTAGATATCGTTTTGCATGGCTATGACGATCGCCTCGGCTTTCAACACTGTAGCTCTGGTATCGCCAAGAACCTTCCATTCGCGGCGATTCTTATAGTCGTAGATGATGGGCAGAATCTGAGACGCGACGTAATCATCTGCTGGGCGTAACTCGGGAGGTGCAGGCGGTGACTGTGGTGATGCCGGCGACGAGAGATTAGAAACGAAAATCAATGAACGATGACCGATCTGTCACTCACTTCGAGGTTGTACAGCACCATGTCCCAGAAGACCGCCAACGCCCAACCGGCATCCATCTCCAGAACCTTTTGTACCTCGTCGACCCATTCGACCTCCCAACAGAAAATGTCCTCGCGACTCTCCCCGTCGGTAAACGAGAAGGCCTTTTCGCTGCCTAGCCTTTGCTTCAGTAGAGGCAGGATATCGGCTATGCTCTCTTCGACCCGACACAGTGAAGCCAAAAGGTTATCATAAATGTTCCGGATGATATGAGAGTTTGCATAATTGTGGTTGATCGAGATGCACTGCAAAAAAACTCGGTTAATACGGACCGCCTTATCATCCTCGCCGATCGGAAGACTCACGAATTCCAGGTTCTCGACCTGATGGTACCAGCCTGAGGGTACGTGGATGGTTTCACCAGGCTGATGATCGTCTTGTTAGTACGCATGGCAGATTTGGTAAGCGTACTGTTGACTCACCGCTTGCTCAATGATCACTACGCCATCAAGCGCGTCTTGATCAGAAAGCTCACGCAGGTCGAAAAGCATCTCGGGCTCTCCGGGACCATGCGGACCGGCGTGCTTATGGAACCGATGTTTGATAGCAGGTGGTATGAGCCACCATCGCTTTCGCCCTATGATATTGCTGCTCCAGCTGTAGCTTCCATAGACATCCCGATGCAGCGGCGTGAAGGTTCCCTTTGGGCCCATGTACGTGAATCGATAATCGTTACGTGGGTCGAGCGATAGAGCGTGATGGGTCATCCAGTCGTCTGTGTATCCGTTATAGTAGGTGTTCAGCTAGGTATGCCTGTTAAGTCCTCTAGAACAGGATATTCGCCTTGAAATATTTCGGGAGTCTTGTAGAAATCCTCTTGCTTCCCACCTTCGTCTTCTAGCTGCAGCGCAAGGTGCCAATCTTTCACGTAGAGACCGTCGCCCTCGGCATCTCCTGCTACCCAAGAATCTATGACATCCTTCAGAGGCCTTTCCGTCCGCTCAAACTCGTTGAACTGCCGGCGTTTCGTATTGGCTACCTGTACCACGTGATGTCCGTAGTGTGATCGCAGGTGATTAAAATCCGGGCGAGTCGTCGATGTCGAGGAGCTGGACTCGATGATACGCCAATTTTCAAAGGCTGGCCAGTCTTCGATGAGTTCGGGACCGTATACTATAGGGTCTCTCGGGAGTTCCATCGCACAAGGCATACTTTTGGTATCTCTAGTTGGCAGGTAGACAAGCTTGTGGTCGAATTGATATGATCCGTAACAGAGAATGGAAAGGGAATGCCTGCGAAGGTTCAAAATGGGCGAGAACCGCAGAAGTGACGATGACCGATGTGCGGTGCGGAAGCAAACTTGATCCGGACCTCCCTCCGGTCGAGTCGCCCATCCCGTGTCAAAATCGTCAATCATGGGGATAACAATCAGGCAGCGCACGATCGAAGACCTTCTATACTCTGAGCGAGATTCATGCGTTTCTGTAGGTCTCTACTATCGTTTCCGATGGTGAAGTGCGGATCAGGCTACGTCCTTGCGGCGTAATCACTTGTCGTGAGAGGGTGTTGCGGTGAATAGGGTCAAGAGGTACGAGATCGGCACGCAGGCGATAGAGAAGTGGCTCGGCGTCCAACGTATCTATGGTCAGGGGTTTTGAACTGCACATACCAAGTCATTCTTGGGACCGGAAGAGTGCGATGAGAACGCCTAAGCATGTATACAGCGGGCTGAAGGGAAGTTAAGGTAAAAATTCCGTAGGAAGCATGAAATTATAGGTTTGACATTTATGTCTATACATGTTTTGTAGTCACTCCGCCAAAATATCCCTGCCTTCCTGGTGTAATGGCAACACAAGAGTCTCATAATCTCTCACTCCCAGTTCGATTCTGGGGGAGGGCAAGAAATTGTTAAATTTTTGCCTCTTCAAACGGATTTTTTCGCCTTCCACCACGCGATCATGTCGCTTCGCTGTATCACTGCTAATGCCGTCGGCCTAAATGGACTACGAACCTTTCCTCATCATCCCAGCAGCTGTCAACACTAACTTATGGGATTTGTAGATACGACATGTGTGTGTTCGTGGCCGTGATCGTTGCGATTGCCCCATTGCATTTTCGAGATCCGACGCACAACGCTAGCGCGCGCCTTCGGGGATGGCCCGTTTCACAATGGATTCGAGACGAGGCTGTTCAAGACGATGGTGCAGTTTCCCCTTGGTACATATACTATTGCCATAGTATCTAGTGCTCTCAGATGGAGGTTTTCGTATATCGTTTCTCCGTTTGGCTAGCAGGTTGCGACGACACGGTCGAGCGCGAGATGGGACGATTTGAAGGGACAACGCGGATGTTCAGCGGGCTCACTGGCGGGCTCAATGGAAGACGATGAGATGAAAGGTAAGCTGATGGATAGGTCATGCGATTGAAAGATCGGATGGAGGGATGATATTAGATGTACGTCGACTCCGGTTCTCTCTCTCTGTGCTTCCACTCGTTTATTCCAGCGCACGGATCATATCAGCAACACAAACCTCGTCTTTGTAGGCCTTCAAACCCTCACAGACAACCGGCTCAACACTACTACGTCCAATCAACATATCAGACAGGACGATAATACATCGGATTTTGTTCAAGTCCTAGTTGTTCCTGATCCATGCCTCCGGTGCAGCTGTCAGCGCAGGCACGACATATTCACAATCGACCTATCGAAGTGTGAAGCGCCGCACATTTGTCGGTTCATCTTCATTTCCGATTGGTCGATCGAGCCTGTGGAGTAAGGCATTTACTGTACTGACGTAGGATTTAACTCTGTTATTCAGATCCTCCGGTAGTATATTCCACAGCTTGGGCATGAACTGTATATCAACACGAGAGTGAGCTCGAATTGTTGCGACTCGAACGAGAGGAGTCACGACTCAAAAGAGAGAGATGTCCAGATCACACACACCTTCGCTGTAATCCTGATAGGTGCGAGCCCCCACCCTACAAGCTCCAAGTATTTGTAACTACCTGCACGAGTGCTCCTTGAGGTGATGGTAAAGCTCTTTGTCTATGTAATGAGGTTCGCGTTGAGACACATTTTAGCCGATTGCTATGAAAGAACCTCTGATAAAGCGTGGACCTACCTTTAGCATTGACACTGGCCCTCGGTACCTCGGTACCGTGACGCCGAGATTCGCTGCTTCTTCACGCCTTGCGTCGGCCTCGGCGTCCGAGGTAGCTCCAATCAGAAGGGTGGGTAGAAGGTAGGGAATCGCGATGGTACCTGCACACATGATACGAGAACTAGCATCAGCCATTATCGAGTTCGAGGCGAGGTCTCGTTGCCACAACGGGATGACTGTACACACCACTTTCGTAACCCCTTTTCGCTTGGCGACGGCCTCCCATCCCACCGCATCGTTCATAGCCAGATGATGTAGCTGGACGCCCGCAGCCTTTGGAACCTGATATGTCACATGTATTAGCTTTTACCATGTTGCCCGGTCTTTTCAGCCGGCCTACCTGCTTTTGAGGACTTGTAGTGCTACCGGATTGACCTAGACCGAGCGCGAGGTTCATAACGGCTTCCGCTAGTGATCGTAGTGCCGGATCTCCAGGACCTCTCATCATCACTCCAGCCGTTCCGTTCTTGATGATACACTCGCGATGTTACCTTTGATCTTTCCTGTTTTGGAGCCAGTATTGCCGTTCCCAACGCTTCCTAATGTCGACACTCTGTCCTCCGTATTGTTGACCGGTATTGGAGTCGGTCCACATGTAGAGGCCTGCATGATCGTGGTGTTTATCACCCTGCCCAAAGTGATATCGCTTGATCCAATCTTAGTACTCTATGCTGTCTAAATCCCCTTTGCCTTCGAGAAGAGAACACCACCAAGCGGACTGGAAAGTTCGGTAAGCTAGGTGAGAGATTGTTGTGGGGGTCACATGACTCATCCAAGAGGTCCAGCATCGTAACGGCCAATTCTTGAGCGTCTTTCTTCAATAGCTGACGAACATCTCTGCACATGGTGACGTCATCGAGACTTGCATACCCTTGTATCCTTCCGATCGCCATTCCCAGAGCCAAGAGTGTGGCGCTGTCGTGTTTGGAAAAGGTGGATCCGACCTGGTAAGGTTCGCCCTGATTTTGGTCTTCATATTCATCATCGACACATTCGTCGTCTTTGCATTTATCGTCTTCTTCACATCTGTCGTCTCTACGTTCGTCTGATTCGTCAGTGGGGTCGTCATGTTTGGAAAGGGTGGATCCGACCCGGAGAGGTTCGCCCTGATTTTGATCTTCATAATCGTCATCGACACATCCGTTGTCTTCGCATTCGTCGTCTTCTTCACATCCGTCGTCTCTACGTTCGTCTGATTTGTCAGTGGGGTTGTTGTGTTTGGAAAAGGTGGATCCGACCTGGAGAGGTTCGCCCTGATTTTGAGCTTCATATTCGTCATCGACACATCCGTCGTCTTTACGTTCGTCTTCTTCTTTATATCCGTCATCTCTACGTTTGTCTGATTCGTCAACGCCATCGTATTCCCTGTCGAACGAGAGTAAGCCGGTCTTGAGCTTTTCTGTATTGCGCGGGAATCGATAGAGCTGGCTGGGAAGCATGAAGTATGGTCCATTGGTCGGAGGTGGTGGTAGTTGAGAGCTATCGAGATCGGTAGCCTCCTGCAAACACAACACGATGGCTGCGATGCCTTCTTCCTTACCTAGTGTTGGCAGTTGTGAACGGCGACTAGTGTGAACGGTGACTAGTGGACCCGTCTTTTTTACGTAGACTTACCCAATTGACTAGGATTCCAAATCCAGTGATCGGTTTGATTCAAAAGCCAGGGCACAAATTCCAGCCGCATAAATATAAGCTCGAGCGGCCCGATGTCAAGCTCCTAGTCAAGACACTTACTAGGCCATTTTCTACGGTACCTCCCGAGTTGGACCTCTTGACAAAACGACTCAAATATTCACGCCGACCTTTGTTATCACCAAGGGTGAGTAACGTTCTCAGGACAGTCTTCCAGTCCTGATTCTTCAGGTCGACATATTTCTTTGCCTCCATGTAGATAGGAGCATCGCCTTCGCCAAGGCTTTTGCCCTCGCCGTGAGATCTTTTGGCGTCCTTGTGGAAAGAGAATTCATTCCCGTTATGACTAGTTTGACGGCAGCATGTGGATTGATTTAAAGGTAACCAATGTTCAAGTCATATCGCCGTACGGGTCTGGCTCAGTTCAAGCCAGTAGAATAGCAGCGTTCAAGATGAGCGTACCACGGAACCCTTGACGTGGAACGACCCTTTCCATACGGAGACGGTCGAGTGTACGGAATGCGTCAGAGGACTTCTTACGAACCTGTCACATCAGCCAGTAGGTAAGTTCAAACGCACGGCGAGTTTTATGAAATGGCGATAGGTACTGTACGGATTTCAGACCTCTGATGCAAGACTTTGATGGGAGCCGAACGCGAAAGTCTTTGTGTCGCTGGGATCAGCTTGCGCTATGAAGAACGATCTCTATGGCCTTCGACCTAGTGGGCCTTGATAGTCGTCAGCTTCAAGCTACTCGAAGTGCGCGACGACGGGCAAAAGTCCGAATTATGAAGAAGTATTTGTGTTTGATCAAAACAATGCAGCTAATCCATTCGTCCCTTCCCTCGATCAACCCAGGAGCTAGCTCTCTGCCTATCGCTACGGCTAGTGGCTGATCGATCGATCCGATCTCGACTGCAAATTAGCCGCCAACGATCCTTTCGCGTTTCAGAAAGGGACATATGCATGTCGTCATCGCCGGGAATCTGGTACGAATGACTCGCCATATGCTTCAACTGGTACTAAGCTCAGTCGATCATGAATCTCGGTCTCAGTATATTTGATCGCTGACTATCATTATCATATACAAGTCCTGAGATACTGTTCATCCGGCCACTGCAGTAGACATCATGCTTGTACCTCCTCTATCTTCGTGAACTTCATTATGATCATGCCGTCGTAAACAAGAAACAGCCTTCATCTCCATTTCAATGCTTTGAGCCACACATTACGTTCGTTGGAGGTCGTTGTCCGGAAGACAGTCGTGTTGGTCGTTGCTGCGATTGAGAACACGTTCGTGGTCTGCCATCATGAAAAGGATGAGCTAGTGAATCTAAATCATTGACAGTCGTGTCTGGCTCACCTCTAGAGCCAATTCTAGGTCCTTTGCCTCGTCAATCTGAGCATTCTCAAGCGATATAACAAGATCTTCTTGCCGCAGGTCATTCGACTCGAAAAGGCGGAGGTACGGTCTAATGAAGGAAACTCGAGCCAATCAGCGCTTACCTGAGGTTTGACACCTTTACTCGACACGCTGCTTACCTTGCTAGCCGAGCATATCGGCGGGTCCATTGTCCTTCTGCAGGAGATGTCAACACCTCCATCCACCCCTCCTTGTCAACTCGCGCTCTATGCAAGATATCCATATCAATGAGAATGAGGGCAGAGGATCGGTGACCTTCGGAGACGCACGAGATGAAGATTTCAGACACCTGCATCCGACCGTCCCTTGCTAAGCGGAGCGTCATGGATTTAGACAAGTCCTGTGGGAAACGCTAAGCACATACACAAGGGTTAGCGCTCGATATTATATTTGGGCAGAGCGCGACCTCCCTCACCCTTTGACAGAGAGTCGAACGCCAAGCTTCAACAGCCCTTGGTAGCAAATCTTCCTGCGCCTTGTTTGACGGAGGCGCTTCACCCACTGTATGAATACGCGCGGCCGCGGCTTGAACGTCTGCAACCAAGTGTTGTCGTTTTCGTTGTTCGAGGTAGGCCGCCAATATAGCCATTTGACTCGTGGTAAGCGAAGCCGATTCTTCCGACGGCGTTTGTACCTCGAATGTCCGGCTAGAATGAGCGGCAATTGCACTCGGACGTAGATAATCCATGATAAGGCTGCGCCTTCTCGTTTCACTCCCGGTAATGCGCAAACGGAGAGTCTGCACGAACAGAGCGGGAACCCGATGATTGGTAAACCCGACTTGAAACGATAGTTGACAGGTAATGTACTCGCCACTTGGCGTTTTCTTCTCCATCCCTGGCAAGTCTTCGAGCTTGCATGTAATGCCGAGTGTACCAGCTCCATCACCTCGGTATACTGGTTGTTCAGCTGATAACAGGTTGTCATCCTGGCTTGAGCCATCCTGTTCCATAGGAGATAGGCGAATGACCGCTTGTCTATCACCGTTCTGAGGCCCTCGAAGTGAGATGAAATTCACTTCATTCAGGTCTAAAGAGCGAGCCGAGTTGTGAATGATGTTGATGCGGATTTGACGCTGACGACCTTGTCGAAGCGTAAAGGTGTTTTCCTTGCCATCATAGTCCGTCGCAACGAACTTGCCCTGACTGTCCGGTTCGAGTATGGAAGTATGGACAGTAACCATATGTTTCGGTTTCGAGGCTTGCTCAGTGCGAGTCGGCGCGCCGGCGGCATCTAGCGTAGGCATATCAACTGGGATCCGGTCGCAGAGCCTTTGCAAGTACTGTTCAGTGACTTTGCCAAAGAAGTCAACCTGTATATACAGCGCCGGATCGTAGGCCGCAATATCGAGACTGAAAGTCTCCTTCAGTTTCACATGCGCCGTCGAAGCGTTTGTCAAGTCCACCACCTCGCTAGATCGCAAGTTTTCCCGTTTACCTCCGATTCCGAAAGTCGGTAAGCGTAGCTGCATGTGAACAGACGAAATCCCCTCGGCGAAGGCTCGCACGTTGTGCAAGGTGATGCTGGCCGACCTGGACCCGGAGGTCAGCGAGTCTGAGGACGAGTCCCAAGTGACATGGACGGTGACATTGCCGACAGCTTCCGCCGTTTCGAAGGACTGGATAGGCACCTGCATAGCGCCCTCGATTCGCGGATGGAGTGCAAACATGGCAGTTCCGAGGTGAGTCCATGTGGGACAAGGTATCGTCCTGAAAGTCGTCTCCGGGGGAGATCTGTGGGCCAAATCCAAGTCGGCGCCGTAACTTCGCATGGACGGCAGCTGTCTTTGCAGTTTCTCTATGGACCAGACGTATGCCACTTTCCTCCTTTTGTCGATCACGAGAATCGCCACATCCCCGGTACTACGCGTTACCGAGTGCGTAGCCTCCGCATCGAACAAGATGGACTCGACATGGGTTTCCATCGTAGACGCAGGCGATCCACGAGATGCTACCAATCGATAAGCTGTACCGATGTCATACCGATCAGCCAGACGATTGGCCTCTTCGACGCTCGTAGCTTGATCCCGCATAGCGTTCGCCATCGCTACCAACCGGACGCGACGCCACTGTCGGATTGCTTGTTGCGCCACCTCTTTCTCGCGGTCGAGTAGCACGCCGCTCAGTCGGGTGCTTAGCGATTCGAAGCGGTTCTGTAGCGCAACTTGACGAAGCAACCTGATCTCTTCAGCCATGCGGTCCATTTGTAGGTTACTTTCTGCTCTACTGGGTTGACGACGGGAACCCGCAACGTCCTCGTCCAACCCGGTTGCCGACGCCATCTCGGAATATGCCTGCAACTGTCGGGAGGCAGGATCGATCGCTGCCAGAGCCATCTGCACATCTCGGTCGGACAGATCATCATCCCAGGGGTTCTCCGCCACGCTCGTAGGTGTGGACCTCTCCGGTGAGCGTAGGCGGTCAATGTTCTGTACAGCACGCAGTCTACTTGGAGTTCCCGCCTGTGATTCAGGACGGCGTCGCGAGGTACGTGCCCTCGTGATATCTTGGAACAGGCCGTCCAACTCTTCGTCACCTAGCATGTCCAGATCATCGCCTGTCAATGTCAGCCGCGAAAGTGCTTCTTTCCGGGCAAAAGTCCAATCAACAATATTGTTAACTCCGCTGTCCTTCCCGTAATCGCTTGCATCGGTGCCTTCAGGTAACATGTCTGCTAGGGCATTCGAGAAACTTGCCGACTCTCGCATGCGCTGAGCTCTGACTGATTGAGGCGAGCTGAAACGAAAGACATGCCAGTCGATGATAATACGAAACCCAGATTCGAGAGGCATAGCAGCGCTGGTTGGAATAGGTTTCCCGTTCACCAAGATTGTAGCATGCTCCAGCGGCTCTATGGACACTTTTCCCTTTTCGTTGACGAGTGCGCAGTGTTCCTTCATAATTCTTGGGCTTGACAGCTTGATGGCTGCGGTCGACGATTCGATGTTTCCGACTATTGTCCTGCCTTCGGGAATCGAGTACAGAAGACATTCGTTTTGCAAAGGGTCCTGAGGCAGTGCAGTGTTAAGCGAGAACCCCTAAGTCACCAGGATTATGATCTCTTACCTCGTTCAGATTGACTAGATGGGGCCACTTTTTCGGAGCGTGCACCCCGACCAAGGCTCTGTCCTTGTCGAGACTGATTCCGAGCTCCTCCAAAGCTTGCTCTCGCGCAGTATGGATTTCCTGGGTTTTGGCCAGTTTATCTTCCCAGCTTTCGTTCAGCGAGGCCATCAACTTTTCGGAAGCTTCCAAGTTTTCCTGAAGTTCCAGCTCTATAATCAGAGATAAGATGAGTCTTGTCGGGACCAGGCGAGTAGCTGTCCTGCTGCTTACTTGTCACCGTCCGGATCTCCCCGTCCTTTGTTTTATATGTAACCATCTGCTTTTCTGGCGGGGTATTCTCATCGAATATCGCCTCGGAACTTCCTCCAACAGCTCGCTGACGCAGAACAGCCAACTCCTCCTTGAGTTCCCGAATCATCTTGGCATTCGGATCCTCGTTGACAACGGCGTTCGTCTTGATGCGCTTGGCTTGATCTGCATACCTAAGGGTAGACAACGTCTCTTCGTAGTCTGCAGGACTGATTGCCGCGATCATGCAAGTCCGCGAGTTACCACCGAGCGATTCTTTGAGTAGCCATGTCAAGACCTAACATTGCGAAGTCAGCACTAGCATCAACGCTGCACATCGATCTGACATACTGAATCTCGGTAGGGCACAAAGTCATCCTTCTTCTTCTTCTGTTTCGACTGTGTCGCTGTACTCGCCATGGCAAGCGCCTGGATGACCTTACCGAGCGTCGTCAAGGACCGATTGATATTCGCTCCTTCCTTCAATCTGGCGCCCTGCAAGTGCGAAGCTCAGTAAGTCCAGCGTATCGGCCAAGCATTCGAGTAGCTTACCGTCGCACCCGTGCTATTCGCCCTTTCAGATCCCGCTAGATCCACGAGCGAGACTTTGGAGACCTTTTCGCCTGCCATCTTGGTAGTCTCGTCGTGTCTCTTCTGGGTGAGGATCACGGTAAAAACAGCATGACTTCTCGAGCTCGTCTCATTCATCGCTGTTGATGCTACCGTCCGAGCTTTATTTCCTTCGTCCATTACGGTCATCATTTGACTGTATGATTCGACGACCAGTCGTGAGAGGTCCTCGACATAGGGTCCAGCGGACGGATGTTCCCGAACCCTCAAAACGCCCTTATTTTTGGGATTTAGCAGATCTCGTACTGTGAGGGTAATCGAACACAGTCAGAGTAGCCAAGAAGATCTTGATCTGAAGCGGCTTACCTTTCTCGTTGTAGATCTCCATGTACGAGACTTCAACCCTGAACTCGAGCTTCGGATCGCTGGCTGTCTTGCTTTCTATTCGGTTAAAGAGCTCCTCCGTCACGAGGGGAATGACACCCTTGTCCGAGCCGTCTGATCCAGAGAGTCAGGTATCGGATCAGCTCGTAATCAATTCCAATCAAAAGTCACGTGCAGACCCACATCCCATCATACTGTCTGCGCAAGAGCAGTCTCTCAGGTAAGCGATCATCGACTTGGATGCCAAGTCAATGTACGACTCACAGGACTTCCCGCTCCCTGTCTGTCCATATGCAAAGATACAGCAATTGTATCCCGCAAAACTGTGGTCCAAGAGTTCCAAGCCGACATCCTGAAAGAGAGTCTGCTGCGAGGCGTAATTTGGTTCATCCCGAGCTCCCGCTGACCAGTATGACTTGTCTGGAAGCGGTAGAAAGACAACCTCAGCCTGTAACAAATCTCCCTTGACTCTTGAACTCACCGAAACTAAAAGAGTGCTCTCGTCTCTCCCGTTCTCTGTCCTTTGCAGCTGTATCCTCGTTGCCCGGCGGTACGATCGTAGTCTGATTGCCCTCCATACGGACGAGGCACTTGGCGCCTCTTGCTTGTTCTGGACGGGGGATATCACATTACCAAGAATCTTCAATATAGGCATGGATTCCAGTTCCTCCATATTCTTGCCATTGGACTAACCTCGAGCGTTCAATGGCCGACATCTGCAACGGTCAAATGACGTTCGCTGTGTCAGCTAGAAGCTTCTTCCTGTCCGAGCCTGGCCAAGTTTACCTTACGACGACCTTGATGTTTCCACCTCCCGCAGTGTCGAATGAGTCGCTATGCCCGTTCATCTTGCCCAATATCTCCCACCTGATACAGATCGATCAAATTCCCGTTCGGGACCCCTTGATCGACCAGAAAAAGATGATGCTAGTTCGGTGCTGAACGCCTCCAGCAGTGCTCATTCCATATCTTTTGGCTTCACAATCGCTATCATCAGAATCGATATCGGAGCTGCAGCTAGGTGTTTCTATCACCAAGACATGTCATGCCGGTGGTTCGACTGATCGCACACCGGGTCACACACGCTCTCATGCTCATCACTCCTCACCGATCATGCTCACACCTGCCTTGTTTACTTTGTCACATTCCGGTTCACTGCTTTGTTCGTCATCATCAGATCTATCAGATGAATGGCCACGTAAAACGTCATGAAATAAATCGATAATACAGCAGATGAATATAGAGGTAGAAAAGAAGAAGTGATAGCGGTAGGACCACATCGTAAGGAGACAACAACGGTATGTGAAACAGGAGATCCGTTATGAGGCGTAAAGTAAAGGTCGCATTAGAAGGCAGCCGGGAGGAAGGCGGGGCTTGATGTGCCGTGATGTATAAGCGCCCCGCTCCTGGTCGAGAGTGTAAGGGAGGATGCTGAAGAAGAGTCTGTCTATGTTGTGTCGTCGCGCACGCCAGCGGCCCATGTGGGTTGCAGAGGACAACCATCCTGGTTGTCCACCGGAGGTCCTCGTAGGCTCCTGCCAATCTGATGAGCAGCCACTGTCGTTGCCCAGCCCCGTCCGTCGTGCTGCAATACCCTTCCCCTCAAGTAGCCGTGTATCCCCTCCAACTGCCACTTCCTCTCGTCTCGCCTGCTCGTGTCATCGCCATTCGAACCGTTCCCCGCTCAAAGCCCCATCAAACCGGTCATCATCAAGAGCCCCGCTCCGATCAACCCGGCAACAGCCTGGACACTCCCAACGCCTCGTTCTGAGATGGCTCCCGATCGTTTTTGGAGCTTCTCGACCTCTTCGTCCTCGTCCAACGAACGCTTGGACGCCTGACCCGTAGCCTGTCGTCGAGCACAAATCCTTCCTGTCAGTCACTGGCTTCTACCTAAGTGTCAGGCCAACACGTCGCAAACTCACGTTGACTCCGGTAAGGATGACGGTAGGCAACATGTTGGGCGGATTGGCAACCAAGTACAATGGCGGTAGAGGCTTCCCGTCAAAGGCGTTCAGCTGGAGCGCATACGAAGCCTTGATCGAGTCGACCTGGATACCCCAGTCTTGGAACATGACCTATGAGGGCGAAGAGGATGACTCTACATCAGCCTTGTCCTCCGGCCTTTGTCTAGGTTCAACTAGTCGCGCCGACAGACGACTCACCATCTGATCGTAGTAAGTGATCAAATTCGTAACGGCCGCACAAGGGTCCTGGACCTGAATCCTTCCATCAGCCGAGAACGGGAAGAGGGACAACGACCCGTTGTTGTTCAACTGGTATCGTCCGTGTTGCCAGAGGATGAAGGCCGTGATGCACCGGGGGTCGGCGGGGTTGGCATTGTATCGATATTGAGCCTCTTCGAAGTGCCCATCGTCGGTGCTGAAGGACGAGCGAGTCATTGATACTGATGAGCGAACCCATCCGCCATCGCATCCTTTCCAGTCGCAGAAGACTCACAAAGAATAACTGATCCCCGTAGTCGTCGGATAGGTGAACGAAAAGTTCTGGGGGTTACAGAAACTCTACACAGATTTGAGAGGAGAGGTTGGAAAAGGTCAGCATTCGTACTAGGGTTGGCTGTTCAAACGTTCGATTTCGTCCACATCGAAGTTTGGGTAGGTTGGGGGTAACATGAGGTTGGGCGGTGCGGGTTGTGTCCAAAGATATCAAGGTCACAAAGGTTTGTAAACCGAGGATGAAGAGTACGGAGAGGCGAGGGAATATATGCGCAGTGATCGAAGTCACGATGCAGATGGAATGTTGTCAAACTTGAAACGCGATCGGACCACCCCCTGGATGTCATCGTCATCGTCCGCTCGTGACCCGCGATCAGCCTCGGTCCTGTGTCGCAGTAAGGCTGTGACAGGTGTTGCAGGATTCGTCCTTGTCGTCGACTAGATGACGAAGTGGCGAAGGTTGACGATGCTCTGGGGGGGGGGGGGGGGGGGGTCGAGTCGTCGTCGATCCTCATTTCCGGATGCCCCATGTCCCCCAACCCAGCCCACGACAAAACAACAAACCGAACGACAGAGGACAAACGATACTCACTCCTCCGGTCTGTACCCCACCACTCCCACTACTCCAAGTTCCCGTCAACGAGGTGATGTTGTTCAATGCCGACAGATCTCCTTGAGCTTTGACGACCGACGTGAGGGTGGTGAGTGTCAAGAGGGAGGCGGTGAGGATGGTCTTGATCGGGCTAAACATCGCGATGGTCTCTGGTCCTGAACTCGAGTTCTTTATCCTAAAGATTGGCTGATTGCGACCGACGTCCGAGTGGGGTCGTAGAGAGAGATCTAAGGTCTAAAGTCAAGGAAAAGGCTAGGCTGAGGTCCAGTGGGAGGTTGAAAGTTGATGATAGTCTGAATCGAGTGAGGCGGAAGGGGGAAAGGAGATGAAAGGGTGTTTTCCGCGCGAGATGGGCGAAGACGGTAGAGGAGGGGTTTTTAAAAGGAGCGACGATTGGTTGTTTTGAAAGAAGAGGCGAGTTGCGGTTCGTGTGTATAGCAGGTAGATTACAGGAGATGATGAGAAGGTCAATGGATGTCCAGAGAGACGGTCGAGGTTGGAGGTTGACGTAGTAATGGGAGGATGATTTGAGAATATGCTGTGTCCTCGTCGTTTGCCTTGTTGGGTTGGGCGGGCTCTGCAGCGGAACGCGCGAAGGCGGGAGGCGGGGGTTATTACGAGCTAGGGCTAAAGAGCTGGTTTTCACAAACAACGCCAGCTACAACTTGCGTAACTTGAACGCAATTCGCTAGCAAGAACGTTTCAATCCAGGATACACTGTGCATATACGGTGAATGCACTGCCCGTCAAGAGCTGCAAAACTCTCTAGGTCGTCGAGCGTCATCGAGCCTGTCCCTGCTGGTTGCTTGCGCATGACACAGCCCTTGCAGCGCCTCCCATCGCTCGCTCTCTCTTTGTTTTGCTCTCTTGGCTCTTGGCCCGCGACGCCCATTACGTACATCGCGCCCTCTCCTAGCGCCTTCTCGGTAAAAATTGGCGAAGCCTCATCAAATCCCGTCGTTAATCCTCAAGCCGGTCTGGAGCCTGGGGAATAGTACCACCCGTCCCACTTCTACCGTGCGGGGGTCTCATCCAATCGAGCCGACCATATAATCGACCCTTTACGCGACCCAACAGTCTCGTAGTCTTGAACACGACCATTTAGAACACCCTCTCCCACCCGAACGCAATCACACAAATAACCAAGGAAGCATCAACATTCATCATGGTCAGTATCTCCGCGTCCAGCTTCGCATCCTCGTCTACGGACCGCGAAGCAAAAGCGATACAAGAATTCGGCTGACATCCTTGACTTCCTTACTTGCTTGCTTCCTGCACCCTCGCATCTTTTTGGATACACCGGAATAACCTGTAATCCCTACTGGATCACCCCTGTGTTCGGATACTGGTTGCAAATAACTACGATCCTGGCTGATGGAACGATATGATCCGATTGATTACTCGGTCGCGAACATGGATTTCAAACTGGCTATGAAACTCGATTCCGACACCCTTCCCTCTGGTTCGACCTCATGACGGGATCCTGGTGAATGGACGGGAAACAATGCTGGATATATGCTTCAACGCGACATCAAACGGAATCGCACCTGGATCATCATCATCCAACTTCGTCACCTCCCACTTCAATCTGAATTGTACGACTTGACGTCCGCTATCCGATGTCAATCCCAATTTTGACTGCGGTCCCACGACACCATTAAAACTCAAATCTTGTAACTCGGACGAACTCCCGGACTGAACTCTATCCGATCGAACCGAATGATGGACAATATGGATAACAGGGCGGCGGAGGACAATACCCTTTCCCTAAAGAAGTCTGGTCTCCCAGCGGTGAGTCATTCTGGTCACGAACCTTTGGATCTGGGAAGTTTGGGGAAGGACTTGGTTATTGAGGGGGGGCTAGAGATCCGGAAGCGGATGTAACGACATCGTTCATGGCCAGAGTCGGGATGGTAGCGATGGAAAGCAACCGAGGCGGGTTCCGGTGACCGCCGTCTGGCCTCGTGCTGGACATGAGGCCGAGGCCGGAAATGGACGAGCGAAATGTCGAATGCCTCATGTGCAAGAGTTCTGAGCATGATGTACCGAGACAGACGAAGAAGAGGCTAAAGCTGACTCTCTGTCGTCTCCTCTTCATCCTCGGTAATATCGCCGACCTTGTGCTATTTTCTCACAATACCGTTCAACGCGTTCGTCCTTCAGGTGGATGGTGGTCCAGACCTTCCAACTGGCGAGCCAACACCCTAATCGCTGCTGGTGGAATCGCCGTCGCGACATTGGGAGTCTGGAGGATCAGTGCCAGGAACGAGGTGCGTCTGCACGAGTGGTCGTCTGAAGAAGAGGCTTGACAATTGACAACCACAACCATCTTCTCCCGCGGCTTCAGATTCGACACACCCAACCGACAAAACCGATCCCATCAGCCAACGTGAGTCGGACGTCTCTAGCTTTACTGTGTTGCAGGACAGCTGAAATTCATTCCATCTGTGACGGTTGATAGTGGTCACCGCAAGCGAGGGAGATTGGGGTTCGGAAGGAATAGGCGGAAGAAGAAGATGAACGGAAGCGGACGCGCTAGATGATGATGTTTGTAACTTTGAGCTTGAGAGCTCGACATCGATGACGGACTGACCCGATGGATTGAGCGGTCGTGGCTTCCTATACTAGCTATACTACCTACTCGATATTGAGTGCGAGTGCGAGTGCGAGTATGTGTACGGGTAGACGTTCACATACCATTTACGTGTCAGGCTGCCTGGCATCTGGGGGACTCGGTGCGCGTCATCTCTCGCACCGGCGAGTTGATGGTGATGATGCAGATGAAGGTTGCTGCTGATGGAGGTCAATCGATATTACTGAGCTGAAGAGTCTTCTCATCGACCTGGAACTGCCGGTAAAGATAGTTAGAGCTCGTCAGAACATAGTCTCCACTCTACCTTTCCACCGATATCGCTCAATCCGCCAGATCATCAAGATGGCTACCGCAACACTCGCCATCCCTCCACCCATCTTCTCTCCCTTTCTCGATGACCAGTGCGGCAAGATCAATGCCAAGGGAGTATCATGGGAGGTAGGTCAATCATCGAAAAGTATTTTCGGGTATTGTATGTTTACAGAGCTATGATTTCGAACAGGGATACCAGCGAGCCAAGCTCGTATCAGCCGAGGAGGTAACCCTGCTAAAGAGCTTGGAGCGTCAGGTTAGCCTCAACCACCGATACTCCATTCGACCTATCGCTAACATAGCTTCACTCTTCACAGCCTCGATCCCAAAAGTCTGCTCTGTTTGCTCAACAAGGATCAACATATGCCAAACTATACATCGAGCTCTTGCGAAAACTGCAAAAGGTCGATACCGTTCAGGCTGTCCTCGTCGGGATCTCAAACATGCTCGGAGGTACATCATATCTAGGGGTCGCATAAGTTCCTCATACCGGATCACTGAATGTTTGTCACCTTGTTGATACTTACAGAACCCGACACATTGCCCTTGTTCCACAACCTGCGATCTTCAAGTGATTCCAAATCGGACGATCCTTACGGACCTTTGATCAAGTGTCTCTCGATGCAGGACGAGTTTGTCCTCCTGGAAAGCTTAAGGATCATGGCTCTTCTCATCTCGTGAGTACGACTATGCCGCTGTACGGAGCAGAGGTTTTCAGACTGATTCGTTACCTGTTTCGTAGTACCGATCCTCAACCTCTCCCTACAGAATCTACGACCCCCCTTCTCAACTCCCTCGCCAAGCTTACCAACTGTAAGCTGACCTGAAACAGCTCTAGGCCCCCACTGTTGCTGATTTCTTTCTTTTTCTAGCCAACCCGTCCCCTGCCCGTGATCTCGCTATCCAATGCCTTGGAGCTATCCTGAGCACGAGGAAGATTCGACATGCCGTTTGGGAACACGATTCGCTCTTGTCTGGGTGAGCTCGTTGTCTTCATTCAACCGATGTGGGTTAGCAGCGGCTGAATATGATCTCAATCGCCGTCGTATGGGATAGCTTGATCAAGGCTTTGAAGTCGAACCCGACACCTCAGCTGCAATACTGGATTATCGTCTGTTTCTGGGAGCTAAGCTACGAGGACGAGGTCGCAAAGGGCGCTGACAAGTGAGCTGAACAAATTCATCTGCCAGTAAACGCTAGCGCAAATGAAAACTGATACGACCAACGTCTACGATCTCATCTAGGCGATTCAACTTGATCCCGCTTTTGACGGAACAGGCTAAGCACGCTGCCAAGGAGAAGGTTACCCGTGTTATCATGGCTACCTTGAAGGTGAGTCTTCACGGATCCAGGATTTTCACAACATAACCTGACAGTGAATCCGGTCTTCTCGCAGAACCTCCTTCTTATCGCCCCCGAGGTAAATGTGCCTTCAATGATCGCTGCCAAGCTCCTCACATTGGTGACTTCGCTATCAACGAGGAAATGGTCTGATGACGATGTGATCGAGGATATTGGGCTCTTGAAGTCGGAGCTCAAGGACCGATTAGAGGGATTGACGTAGGTCTCAGTCGGCACTCGGTTGAACGCTTGATTGGTCACTGACTAGATCTTGGCTTAACAGTACTTACGATGAATACGTCTCGGAGGTGTCAAGCGGTCATTTGACTTGGTCAGCGGTGCACGAGTCGGAAGACTTCTGGAAGGAGAACGCTGAACGTCTCGGTACCGAGGGTGGTGGAAAGACTATCAAGTAAGCATTGGATTCGCTCGCTCATCTTGCAAGTCATTCGCTCACCTTGAACTTCTTCTCTTTCGCACAGACAACTAATCTCTCTGCTTAGCGGTACCCGTGAACCGCTCGTGCTGAGTGTCGGAGTGCACGATGTGGGCAAGTTTTTGCAATACGGCGGCGATCGCGCAAGAAAGTGAGTGTTGGAGTCGTTATACCTTTGGCCTCTCGACTCGCACGCTAACTCAGGCCGGATGGCAGGTTGGTGACGGATAACGGTGGCAAGGTCAAGGCTATGGAGCTCATGGCACATGACAGCCCTGACGTAAAATATCAGGCTCTTATCACCGTGAGTTCAGAGAGCGAAGTCTATCGATAGTACAGCCGTGCTAAAGTATCCTCTGTAATCGGTCGTTCAAACAGGTCCAAAGGCTCATGTCCCAAGCTTGGTCTACACCCTCTTAGAATGACCAATCTGCTCCGTTATATTTGTGTCCCTTTCTTGTATGAGACCGTTTGATCAAGATGACTATACCTCTGTCGACCCTCACAGACCTCAGGAAAGCAAACGCGTCACGTGATGACGTAAGCGATTATGGTCCAGATCAGTTGAGAGTCGGGCTTTGGCCGATCGTCCTTTGACCAGACTGGATCAAACCAGTCTTCCAGTCCGCTATTCCTTTAAGAGTCCTCTTGTTCCCCACTTGTTGCTATCTGAACACCACTCGTGAGCAAGGCCTTTTAAGCGTTCGCCATCATGACGGACACAGCCGACCTTCCGAAATGTGTACACGCAAACTCGATGGATCAAGGTGAGCTCCTGCATGCGATTCGTACGAAACCAGCGGGTTTGTAACAACCAGCATCACTATCACTTCAGAAACGTCACCCAGGCTTCCCACCGAGTTGTTCTGGCAAATAATGAGCTGGAGTGAGGCTAAAGATCTCTGGCGATACCTATTCATCAATCGGGACTTTGAGGCGTACATCTTCGCACATCGGGACTACGAGTTTCGTTGTGACGTACCCCTTACCAAAGACTTATTGGAGGAATGGCACGTTGATGTGAGCACTTAAGCATCCTTCAGCTTGTCTGTACGTTAGTTGACTAATGTTCTCAAATCCCGAAGGCGAAGCGGTCGGACCTGCTCAAACGTATCCAAACCCTCGCGATACAGGCAAAGGATCTGAAGATCGAGTTCAGGTTGCTACCTTGCTACATGCGCATTCTGGAGAGTGTCAAGATCATGTTTCCGTTGCACGGATTTCTTCTCACGATGAAGCATGTCCCCGGAAACTTTCGTTGGGGATTCGATGCCAGCATCACCTTTGAACCGCACTTTACTACGCGTATGGTATCTGCCTGGTCAGGAGATTACAGTTCGGACGAATCCTCAAATCATCAGAAATATAGGTCGGCTATGGAGAATGAGCGGGAACTCTACCGTATCGTCAATTCGCGCATATTTCAATGGCGAGGGATCACCCGGACCAACACAGACATTAACTGTATTCGCGGTCTGGACATCTTCCCGAGATCTTCCCGCGGCTATCCAGGCTTGACGGCATTGGATTCCGGAGCCGCAGACCTGGAGGGCACTAGTAGGAGTGATATCAGAAGATTTGATCGAGACGATCTGTCCCAGATCGAACGACTGGGCCTTAACATCGGTTCTCGGTGTAGATCGGATACAGGATACAACAATCGCGGCTTCAATACTTCGAAGACAGGATTTCTTTCGCGTCTCCGGGTTACCTTTCCAATGCTGGAGGAGCTTGATCTGGCTCCAACGCTGATCAGCTGGAAGAACACGACCTGGCTATCCCGATACGATTCCTGGCCGATCCTCGAGTTGGGACACCTGAAGGTGCTCAAGATAGCCGTAGACTTTGCCGGCATTGACGACTCAGCCAATTGGACTGCCGATTCTCGCCTAAAGCCCGATGTCGAACAAAGCGAGGTCGGCGGACCGAAACACCTCTACATCTACATCGATTTTCAACGACATGCCAAAATCAAGGACGGTGTTATCCAAACCCCCGGCTGCGATCCCGAACTGATCGTCAGGTGGATCATGCAGGTCGTACCTCGGAACAGCTATGTCGGCGTGCGCGACTTCAGGGGTCCAGAGAGCAAGTGGTTGTTACAGACGCGGGAGGCGTTGTACCAAGCCCGACGCAAGCGATGAGAGTCATACGCCGTAGGGTCATATGACGAGGGCATAGGAGACGAGGCGGGATGAAGTTTCCAATCCGGGTACTTTGGGCTGTCACGCATTTATCCGGCCGAATGGGGAAAGCGGGACAACAAGCCTGTCGGTCGGGATCGTCGCGTTCCCGAACGACACATTAAAGTAGCTTCGGAACTCAATTTACGCACAACATAAGCAGAGTATGGATCGTGTCTGTCAAGTTATGCAAGTTATAGATATTCGTGGTCGAGTGTTAACGCGCGCTTACTGTAGCATGGCGGCGGTGGCTTGAGCTGCCTCCACGCTACAGTAACAAGCTCTGCTGTAACGATTTACACGGTCGTAAAATCACGTCGCAACAGGCCTCAAAGGGGATGCATATACCTGGTCTTCGAGTATGGTAGCCGCCCTCAGATCGCGTGCTCATCTCCATATATCAATCGGATATATGCTGGAAGACAAGTAGCTTGGAAGAGCAGCGCATCTGAAATCAGCACAGCTCCGCAACACGGACATTACTCCGGGCTGAATAGCATATGGCCAATGTGAATGAAGTCGACTTTATTGGACCGAAGTGAATTTCACAGCCACATTCGTATGAGAATTACGTACAAAGGAAGCCTCGACTAGCTCCCTTGTATACAACAACGCTAGGCGTGTGAATGTCGGTCAGACCGCAGCGCAAGCCAGATAGAAGCATGGAAGGTGCAAAAGCTCGCTAATCGTATGACATGGCGTCCTCACTGAACACTGACATCATCACTCGCATCAGGTAGATGAGAAAGCCTGTGGAGTGGATCGGGAGCGATATTGACAAGCTACAAGTCGCGATCACTCAAATGCCATGATGCGATTCGAGTTCCATCAATCTGTTTCGCTCATCAATCATTTTTTACGCGACCCGATCCGACGCGTCGCCGTCAACACCTCAATCACTAGGATGTCGACACTGCAGGGACATCTCTTATCTGTCTACAAGTCTATATGACATCGAGATGTAGCATACCCTCTCCCCTCTGGCCTCTGGTCTACAAATCATCTTCAGTCCGACATCAGCCGCAAATTACCACATTAGAGCTATGAACGGCTCATCTGGTCAGACCTATCGCGGTCGCATTCCACCTGTGAGCCTTAGTTTAGAGATTGGTTGGTATAACTCAGCTCAGACCAGCGTTCGAGATTTCAGTTCCCTAGTATGATGCCTAGAAGTTGCCTGAACACGAAAACGCTGGAAGTCATCTGGGGAACCCCTAGTAGTAAGCATATGCTCTCTCCGAATCGAAAGAACGGGACTGACGAGCCGACGAGTATGCCGTCTGTTGTTCCATCGTTGTAGATATCTGGAAGTACTTTCCACACGATCTATTCGACAGTCTCTTCGCGCAATGTGACGTACAGACATTGAAGGACTGCAGGTTGCTCTCTAGAAGCGTGTCGGATGTTGCTGCGAAGCATCTCTTTTCGATCGTGTCCTGCTGTGACAGCGACATGTTCGACAGGGATGATCTTATGCTGGATCGGGTGCGTAAGTGTATGTTCCAAGTGATGACGAACCCATCTAACAGCTCAAAGCATTACAGCGTTCGCGGATTGTTTCATCCCGCTTCGGCAAGCATATTCGCTGCATATACTGCGACATGCGATCTGGAAGCTCGTGCCTTCGAGCGTGGGAGTTGGGACACCCTCACAGCAATCATATCAAAACCTTCATCCTCAGAGACTTTGGACCTCATACTGGAGGATACGCATACCTCCAAATCTCGAAACCACAGCAAGAAGAAAGTCGTTCCGTATACACAAGCGGGAAGTACATGTCCTGTAACATGCATCAGATCGTCTGCGAGGTTTATCTCAGCTCGGGCAATCTCGTATGCAAACAGCTGGAGTCAACTAGCCCCGTCACAGTCACCTACGTAGTTTCAGACATCATATTGCGACGGATGATTGAACCACATGTCAACGGCATTGACGGACTTTCGACCCTAGAGCGGATCGATATACCAGCCTGGACGATCGATGACTTAACTGAAGTCGATGTTAACGGCAAGAATATATTCCCGCAAATCCACCCCCACCTTACTTACCTCGGGATTAGCGACCCCGATCGTTACGCCGAATTACCTTCTATACCCTTGTGGTGTTTATCTCAGCCCTCCCTGCTCCGCCATTTGGACCATTACGATCGGCACAGGATTAGGGATCTCCGGATCTTGTTACTCTCGCTTCCTTCCATGGTGGAGCTCAACCTAAGGGAGTACGAGCCTTTCTGGTGGCCCGTACTCACATGGACCACCGATCGTCGATTCCCGACTCTTTTCCGCGGGCCTATCCAGGTTCTTCACATAGCCGTCGACTTTGATTACCTCGAACAAGCTAGTCAGTGGTGGGGAACGGAGATATATCGAGACGATATGGGAGCGGACGGTTCCGGGACTCTCAAGCGTCTCTACCTGTATGTCCGAGACTACGAGATGATCAGACGGAACGACCACAAGAAACCGCTCGACCCTGCTCTAATCCTAAAATGGGTCGAGCGAACTGTCCCGAGGGGATGTCGAGTATACTTCAGACTGAAGTACCCTGGTGGAATTGCCGCGACGCAATGCGCTGAGCTAGAAGAGGCTTTCAATGAGACCTTTCCCCGAGGCTGGCGTCACGTTGAACCCTCTGCTACTTCGTCGGATGCCGTCCTGTAGACGTCACCGCGGCCTTGTGCAGCTGATGGTCACGTACCATCATCTGTCCAGCACCCGGCACTATTCCACAACAATCCGAACAACTCCGCACCTATTCACAAACGATCTCCGGAAAGCCTGGACGCCAAGAAATGCTATGTCTTCTGCCTCAGCGTCCTTTCATCGACTGATTGATACACGACACGATTCTCGCTCGACATAAAAGCCACTTCACATCGAAGCGCCTTCGTTCCCGGCCTTTACAGTATTTGCACCTCAACAATAACAGCCCACCAACCTTTAATGATCTCGGACGGATCGAGGTCTCGCTTCAACCTACTTTCACCCCAGCTATCTATATATTAGATCGACCACCCTCCTGGCATCTTCGGACCTACCCATATCTTTCCTTCCACTCTTTTCTTACCTTAACCCGCAAAAAAAAACCACGAGATACGCGCTGTCCTTATGCGAACCCGATATAGCCCTTACACATATATAGCTCCTATCATCATATGTCAATTCCCGCCTGTAGGCTACAAGTTTGTACATCGATACAAGCTTTACAGGGATATCGACCATAGTAGTCGCCCGCTAATCGAGCCGGCCTGATCGTTCGTTATAGGTTCGTAATTTAGCTCGTCAGGCAGCTTAGATGGGGTACCTCGTCATCCCGCCCTTGACCAGGTCCACAATGCAGGTTCCGTTCAAAGGCGAATACTGCTTGGTGATGAGCTTGATCGCTTCCTGCGCTACGAGTCCGCCGACAAGGGCAGCTGTGGTGGGCAAGACCTTCATCCCGCCGCGACATCTAGCATGTTGACTTAGATTAGCATAAAAACTCGCTGCTATCGGGTCCAATCACTCACATCTCGCAAATGCTATCCTGCACGATCTTGGCCTTTCTCGTCTCCTCCCTCCGTTCCACATCCTCCTCCGTCTCCTCGTCCATATCATCCTCGTCTTGTTCAGGCCTGATGTATAACCTACCATCGTCGTCCCTGTCCACATTCGAGCCCAGTTCGGGCATCCCCAGGATCGCTTTGGCCTGGTCGAACATTTGCGCCTTTACTGTATGATATTCGTCTTCGACCGTTCCCGGCCAAGTGCCTGTTTTGAGGTGGTGTTTCTCGGCGAGGTGGAAAGCGATATTGAGCGCAACGCCATGAGTCAAGTCGAACGTCTCCATCACTATCGCGGCGGAGAAGAGAAGGTGACGAGTCAAGAGACGGTACTGAAACCCTCGACCGAGAAGGACACTCACGAAAATCATCCGCAACGTCCTCGGCCGTCAACTCCTCCTTGGGCTGACTCCCTCGTTCGCAAAGGAGCGTATGACAGTGCTTGACGAAGTCGTCCGCATCACCCTCCGAAATGGCCTCTCCATCCAGCCCGACCTCGCTCAAGACCTCTTTCAAGCAGCTCTTGAACAAGGTCGCGTCCGCCATAGCTTGCTTCTTGTACAGGTTCTGCAGATTGATATACGATGCCGTCGACGTGTGCATGTCCGGTAGAGATGCTGAAAGGGGGAGCAGGCCGGACTTGTTCTCCGGGTGGGCGACAAACGCTTTGAGCGCCTTGACGAGCAGCCAGAAGTCCTTAGACTGCGAACCAAGATGCAAGTCAGCGCCGTAGCCGTGATGCGAAGCAAGTCAAAGAACGATCACACTTACATCCTTTGACACCCCCTCACAAGATGGATCGTCCATCAAGCTCTTCACTCCCGCTGGCACCTTCCCCCAGAAGAACAACATCAGCCGCAGACCCGCATACGATCGCGTCGCGATCAAAATCCTAAGCCGACTCACCTCGCTGACTTGCGTAACCGCAAACACCTGCCCCTCAGCCTCGGCGAAATTCTCCTCATCCACAGCCTTGCGTTCGCGTGCCAAGACCTCTTTAAAGGCGTCCGTCGTATCATAAGTCGGTCGTTTCCCGTCATTTTCTTTCTGCGAGATGTAACGCGCCTCATGCGATAAGATAAGCCTTATACCGACACGCGGCTTGAGTTTGCAACAAGATTTGACCCACCTCGAAAGTCCTCAAAGCGCGGACCAGTAACAAGACGTATGGTACGTGCGAATGTTCCATCGAATCCATCGAATCCAGATCCAGACCGAGTGCGTAATCCTCCAACGCTTTGAACGGGGTGTCGATTCGGAGCGTGTGCGAATGATCCGGGTGAGTGTCGATTACTATACACGAGACCAGCCAGACCAAGGCGATTCAGCATCAAATTGCGTTTAGGCGGAGAGAAGGTACGGAGAGGTGGACTTACCGCAGTGTTCCCGGAACTGCGTCCTGACCTTGGCAACGAATCCAGACGTCCTCAGGGAGATCATCGGTGTGTCTTCCTGTCCACCTACAGCATAAGCAGGGTCAAATCCAAAGGAATCAGTCTACAATGCCCTTCTCCCGTACAGTCGTAGCTTCGGCTTTCAACCGATGACCTGAAGCTCACCTTCCCAAAGCGCCTTCCCTATCCTTCTCGTGACCTCGGCGCCTACGTCCGCATCCTCACCCGAACCGCAGACGATGACCAACCCGAACGACCTGAACCAAGCCGGATCCTCTTCGAGGACCTGTTCGGCGGATCGAGGGTCGGGGTGGCCTTGGACCGAGGGGTTGAGTTCCTTCAGCAGCCTGATCGTTTTCAATGAGTGAGCGCAGAGGTTGAGCACCAGCACCAAAGCTAATCTGTGAGGGGATCGAGACGTACCTAACAGCCTCCTCTGCCAGACTTCCCCCGAGACTTTCTGATAATAGGAAGAAGTTGGTAGAAATATCACCTGCTGTGACTTTGGATGCGGTGAGGATCGTGAACTGGGCAATTCCTGTAGCGTATTATGTATACATTCATTGTTTAGCGAAAATCCATGCAGAAGGTCGAGGACAGCGAAAGAACAAGGTGCGAGCTGATCAGCTTTCCGAGCCACAACTACCGAAATAAAAGGAGACGGAAAACGAGGAGAAGAGTAAAGCGGCATTTCTGAGAACTAACCAGGCAGGACCAGATTCTTCAAGGCCTGACAACCCGCCGCATCGCACCCGACCAGAAGAACGTTGGCTTCTTCGAGAGACTTTTGGCCAGAGGAAGCCCATAGTCTGCGGTAGCATAATTTCAGGGTGTGTAGAATCGATAGAAATGATGTCCGTTGAATACATATGCGCGAGGAGGTGTGTGAGAAGAATCAAAATAGGCTGGGTTGAGATTAGGCGATAGGGACAAGTCGGGATGATGCTCACCGGAGTTGACGGTCGTACCGCCTCGTCTTGGCATCCGGTCTATGACTGATCAACAGAAGCCGAGAATTCGATGTCAGCATGTATTGATTGTGAGCTTGATCACATTGCAGGTAGCTCAAACGGCAATACGAGCAGGGTATACCTGGAACGTAGGGTTGTGAACGCAACTTACCTGGCGATCGGCTGGATGTCCGTGGTAGCTTCTGCGAGGGTGACCGAGTCTTCCATGATACCTTTTCTCCTTGCGCTCCTTAAAGGTTAGCTATTGTTGATGGCGGATGGATTGGAGGTGGATCGCCAGGTTGTCCAGTAATTCCAGTAAGCAAGTGAGAAGCTGTGCCAACAGTGTAATCTGATGGATCGAGGTGGTTCACTCACTCGCTGCCCAGATTCGTCACCCAAGCCTCCCAACAGCCAAGTGATGACGGACATCGTGCAGGAGTGATGTCCGTCTCGTCTCGGAAGTATATTCGTGATCCGGAAGCATATCTGAAATGACGATTGGGATCTGCTGTGATACCAAGCAAATACCTTCAAAGAGCTAATCCGAGTTTACACTCGTGACAGTGTCACCAGAACACAGCAATCTCAAGCCCACTCGGATTAATACCGACAGACGTAATGCCGTTTGCCGCCCTCGCGAAGATGGGCTTCAACCCCAAGCTCGCCGTGGTCGATAACCGATTCAGCAACCCAAGGGATCTAGCCGGTAAGCCCACACCTCCACCCACCATCATTCGTCAATCAGCATCAACACCTGGTGGATCTATCGTGTTGATCTCATTTCATTCATTGTTCGCAATCAATATCATCGTAGCCAACGAGCGCAACTTTCTCACCTCCATCCGGATGATCTGCGGTCTACTCGCCGTCACCGCAGCGCTGCTCTTGAAGTTCCGGTTTACGAACCAGTCGGTCGATGCGTTGCGTCTCGACATCTCAGGATCAGGATCGTCCGAAAGCGGTAACAACAACCTCTTGGCGAGAACATTCGATCAAGCCGGCACCATCGATCAGAATGCCTACGCCTGGGCTAGTATCCTCGGCTACCTCCCTCCCGACCATCCAACCACTCCGACCCCTTCCAACTCTACCCCAGAGCCGATCGATACCACCCCTTTGCTGGAGACGAACCGAATCTCCACCCCGCTCGGGTCGATCGTATTCGCCATCTGCGTCTTCATCCTCATCTCCAGTACGTACGGGTACAGTCATACGCATAAACAATTGGCCAGGGGGCAAGCTTTCGCTGGGAGTTGGAAGTGAGTCGAATTTTGAGTTCCGTAATCTACAGAACGGGACTTTGGATCTCAATCTAATCTCATCGTTTCGCTTACATACTTCTTATTGGCTCGTCGATGTAGATTGGAAGGCTCGATGACGATCGTCCTAGCTGCTCTCCTCTTCGCAGCGTCGGTCACCTTTCTCACCATCGGACGGATCAGCGCCTAAAGTACAGGACGGCGGATCATAGCCTACCTTGTGAAGGCGGACTACCATGGGGGATTTACCATGGTAAATAGTCCGTTTCAATTGGGTGGCCAAATCGTTCGATCCAGGATTATTCGGACAAGGTGGCTCGTCGTGGGTACCGCTCGACGGGCACGAGGTCCATATCGGGCTGGTCAGCCTAGCGGGTCTGGCCAACCAGAAAACACCTCCACGATCGCAAGACATCGCGACTATAGCATACTACAGGCCTCTGATCGAGGGACACCTTTTCAATCCTTTTGCCCCTGATACAACCGGGATCGGCAAGGAGCAGTGCGTAAAGCTACGGGCAGACTCGTAGTCTCCTCGGAGCTCGACAATGACCAGCGATCACCACCGGTCGACAGAACCCGGCCGAAAGCGCCAGGACCACGTAGCACGTCGGGCATTTAGCTCGCGACTTTGAGCATGATCTTGATAGAGAATGGTCGTGGCTTCAGTAGACAAGAGGGTATCATGTGTATCGTCGCAAATCATCAATCTAGTCTTTACAGTATGCGTGTGTCATCTCGTCTCCGTTATCTCTACCATTCCCATCTACGTTATGTTCATGTTTTCCAGTCCCATGTATCCCTCACATCGTCAAAGCCATGGCAAGTACCGTGCTCTCCGTTCCTCGCCGAACTTCTCGTCCACCCAGATCTTCAGGTTCGTCAAGGGATTACCCGATCCTTTCTGCTTGAACCACACGAGTCCTACCAAGGCGATCCCATATCCTGCAAATTCGGAGCAAGATCAGCGGGGTCCTGAAGCAGCGCATGCGACTTCGCATCTTGTCAGCTTACCTAGAATTTGAGTGGTCGTCATTACCGAATGCAGGACGATGACGGACATGACGATCAGGATAATGTCCTAGGAGAAGGATTCATCATTTGGCAATTTCATCAGCACCCTTTTCGATCCCAAATCCCGATGCCTGGCTCACCTTGAGCACGCCGGACAACGTCAACACCAGACTCCCCGCCGAATGGATCAAATACACTCCAGCGACATTGAGCGCAAACGCCAGCCCTCCGCTAAGGGCGAGGATGGGAACGCCGACGTTGGGTAGGTCGTCGTATGCCGCGCTTCCCTCCATCAACGGTTGTAAAAACGCGATCATCACAAAGCACAGCTGTAAAAGGCAAATGTGAATCGGCTGCTTTGAACGGGATATTTATCAAGAGCTGAGTATAACAGCTTACCGGTGCGACCAGATAAACGAGGACGAGAGGGGACAGTTTGCGGTTCCCGATCATCAACTGTACCGCCACCAATCTAGCCGATTCGACCTACATCGTCGAGAGACAATGTTTGTCCATATCATCAGCATCTAGCATTGCCTGCCACATCGCTAAACCACGACGCATCCAACTCACGACGACGGCCAACACCTGGCACACGAATCCAAACATCGAAAACTTCAACTCTCCCAGCGCCGCGATCACGCACCCGGTGCTGATCATCCCCAAGATGATCGCAATCGTGGTGTCCATCTCGGCCAATCCGATGGCATAGGACATGAGGTGTACGACGACTGGGATGAAGGCCTATATGATTCATCGCCGTTGGTGAAGCAGAACAGGAATCTGAGCCGGTTTGTCGATACGTAAAAGAAGAAAAAGGGCAAAGAACTGACTCACCTTGAGCATCTGTACGAAGCTGACGCTCAGGTAGACATAGGCCGTATTGCTCAACACGAGCGAAGCGGAGAACAAGACCCCGAGTGGCAAGATGGCCGTAGTGTACGTTTGGAACTATCATTTGTGAACAACGCCAGCGAAGCGGTTGAGACGATCGTTATTGTGTGCTATTCATGCGGGACGAGACTTACGGAGACGGGCTGATGATTCATCTGATCCATCAGGTTGGTCGTATACCTCAGAACCTGGGTTCCGGCCGTCTATTCAGAGAAAAGGGTATCAGCCTTGCCTTGTCTCGCCGCGCTGGTATAGCTCGATGAACAACGATCGATGAGGACTCACCGCTACAGCCATATGAAACGCCGTCAAGAACACCGGCTGCACGGAACACAACAAATTTCGAACAAACGTCGATCATCAGCATCCTTTCAAAGGAATCAGAACTAGAGCGAAGGTTCAAAATAGCTCGAAAACTTACGTATGGGAAATGCAAGCTCGTGAAGATGTGTTTGTTCAGGATGATCACCGAGCTACTGAGTGTGAGCTATTACCGCGTCATGTGTCGACGTGGAACAAGGTTAGCTTGACGATCAGTTGATACGACGTCGATAAACTTGCCCATAATGGAACTAGAAGACGGCCACGGATATAAGTATCATATCCCATCAAGCACAGCACAACGTGAACGGAACCGCGAATGACACTCACTCATGATCCAAGGTGAAACTTTCGACGGCTGTCCTTGATCTTCGCTCTCCCTCCTCCGACCCGCTACCTCTTTCAACGCTTCCAGATCCAGATCCGTATCCCCACCATGCCCTGTCTCTGTCCCATCATCCAAGCCCGTCTCTCCACCAGCACCAGGTCCACGATAAATCAGAGGTTCCGACTGTTCCACATCCCTCGAATTGCTTTTCGACGCAGATGTCGCTGTAGAGGTAGATGTAGTCGAGCTTCTCCGAACTTCGAGCGAGATGAGTTCTCCCTGTCCTTCTCCCTCTTCGCGTTTCTCGAATAGGGTGGTCGCGTCCATTATGATAGCAGAGACCACACAGAGTTATGAATGTTCTGTTGTTCGTTCCGGATGACGGGAATCGAAGATGGATCCGACCCGCACCGAATCAGGTAGGCATGTAGCTGAAAGACTACGGCAGTATGACGAGGTACTATGCGACTTGCTCAGTTCTGAGAGCTGATCATGAGTCGAGGTGCGAAGTTTGCATGTTATGTCGGTTGTTCGAATTCCTGTGCTTTCCACTTGGTCGTGCTCGGCGGTGTGCTCCAAGGCTTGATCTCGGTGTGAACTCACAATTTTGCTTCCGCAGAATTCACCCGAAGCGAGGCTCCCTCACCGTCCTCAGCGCTTCCCATCCACCCAAAAGCCATCCGGCAACCGGATCCGAGAAACACTGCACAGCATGGAACCAACAACATGCACACGATACGCACTCCAAACACCCATGCCCAAAGCGCAAATAGCCCAAAGATATATTTGGATTGTGCTTTCGAAAACAGGCACACGAGTCTCGAGGCGCGATCCTCAACGACCACAACTCCGCATGATCAGAGACCACAGTACGTACAGTACATGGTTGATCTTTGCTGCTCGTCAGTTTCTATGATTATAAGGTACCGGAAGAGGATGTGAAATCTTCCAGTCAGGCGGGTAAGAACACAGATGATCAGGATATGGTCGAACGATTCTATATGCCATTCCCCATATACATGATCGTTCCGGTCGACCCCATCGTTCTGCCCCGATGACGATCGACCCGCTCTCGTCCCTATCATCAACAGCGATCCGCTTATGCCTCCTCGGTTCGGAGACGGGCAGCGGCGTTGGTGACCCTGAAAAGTTGCGGCACGAGCGCACAAGGTCAGTAACAGTGCATTCCTTTGATATCGAATGATGCTTCGACTCACTTGACGTTCAAGACCTTGGCACGGGCCAAGATCTCGATCCTCTTCTTGGAAGAAACGTTGTGGGCGATGGTAGCGGCGTACTTGTTGGTGTGCATCAACAAGAGCTCCAACTATAGTTTCAAGCATATCGAGTTAACCTTCTACTCCTAACATCCTCCTTTGCCCCGACGCGAAATCTCCTACTCACGTCCTTGAGGTTGGAGACGACGACCGACTTCAAACCGTTGGGCATCATGTGCTTGGTCTTCTTGTTCGATCCGTATCCAATCTTGGGCATAGGGGTCTGACCCGAGAACCTTCGTCGGACTCGGTTGTCAATACCTGTTATTTTGTCAAGCATCAAAATCGATATGGTATTCCGTCAGTCGCCGTGTCGGGCATGCCAGGTTCGATCGTTGCAGGGCATTCCGACGCACCCTTCGGCTTCCTCCATGCCTCCTTGACACCGTGGTATCGGTCAGACTGGTGCCTCTTGAAGGTCTTGGTTCGCTTCTTGACGATGGGGATTGAAGAGGCCATTTCTACAAAGAGCGGCAGAGGTTGAAAAGTTAGGAAAGTTTATCCTGGACAGTCTGGGTCTGGGCGAGGTCGGTCGACCGGTCTAAGTCTAGGTCTTGAAGATCTGGGTTTAGGTCTAGGCGCAGGTATGGGTCGGCGTTGGTCTTGAGTTGGTCGTATGTCTGGGTTGACATTGTAGTTGCCAAAGATTAACGGGAATGTCGTCAATTCCGTCCGCATTCCGACGGACGACGAGATGCTGTCTCGATTCTCGTCGTTCGTCTAGCCTGCCCGAGTCGAGTGTCGTCACCGTGCGAGTCGTCCTGTGCTCCATGGCCTGCAGCAATCCTCCAACTCCGATTCCATCCTGCGCAGATCAACGCATCTTGCTCGTCCTTCCCTTCCCTTTGCCATAAACTATCGCCTGCTGCTCCGTCCAAGGATAGATCATCCTAAATCGACTAGGCTGTTCGTGCGAGGTCTTTCCTGACCGCCGTTCCCGTTCCCCAGTTGATACCGCCTTCTGACCTAGACCCTTTTCCTTTTGACCGGACCGACCGACCTGAACCAGACGTAGGTATACTCACTTGCTGATGTCGACCGTTCAAGTTGTCTCTTCCAAGTGGGTGAGCGAAAGGCTAGCAATTGTTACGAGGCGTCTTGAAGTCGTGATTACAGGTCGTTCGAGATCATCGACCTCTGGGAGCCCGACGAGCAGCGTGGGCCGTGAGCGCGCGAGGAAGGAGGAAGAGGGGAGAAGTTTCCGCTAAGCGCATTTTTTGGGTCGATATCGGCGCTTTCTCACGGGGGCGCGCTTTTAGTTGCGCGCGATATCCTCCTTTCTTTCATCGAAGAGGAAAAGCCTCCGCTTTCTCGACGGGTTTCGAACCTGAGACGGATGGTGATGGCACAACGTTTGACGGCGAGTAGTCTGTGAACCAGACGCACTTGCGCAGCAGGAGACACTCATGTTTGCGGCGGTGTCGTTTCGAAAGAGCTTGAATGTGCCACGTATCACTTCTCGTCTATACAAGTTGCCAGCCATAGACCGTTCGGTTCCATGATCATCTCAGGTGAACGCGGTAGAAATGGGTGGTTGTGCGATGACATCGGCGAGGACATCGAGATTATACGTTCCGAAATCCAGGAGATTGCATCACATTTCGTTTCCAGTTGCCTCGACCGTCCGGCTCTTAAGGTTCGGTGTGAAGCTCGAATGTCTCTTTGCAGGGAAATGTCGCGAAGCGAGTCCAATGAGGCGGGTCGAGGCCAGATATATCGGTCTTCCTGCGACATGAGTTTCGGCTTTGCGAATGAACATTGCCTAGCCTAAGCGATCAAATATTACTGACGTTCGAGACAGATGGATCCACGTCGGCTTGTAAACGTTATGCTTTCATCATCGCATCAAAGATTTCGGTTGTGCAGAAGGTTCGCGTCTTCAGCATTCCTGTTGAATTGTATGACCGTGCCGTCATCCCACTAACGTAGGACTGATCATCATGTCCATTCTCGCCAAGTCAAAGTTTCGCCCTGGCGAGATATCGAGTTGGAGGGGTGTCACTTGCTGCGACGCTGGAGACCCGTACGATGTAGGCGTAATTCCCAGTTCGAGCCGTCTAGCAAGCTTCTTTCGAAGTGTCGTATGGCACAAGGCCAACGGCAAGCATAATTGGAAATCGCCTAGTCCCGGTTGGACGTTGATCAGAATACAATGGATCTCATTCCGGGAACGAGCTGTTTCATTTAGGGGAAGGTTCCGGTTCGCAAATCGAAATGTTTCGGAACGATTGATGGAAGGGAGAGGGCATCTGGACGTAGAGAGACGCATCTCCTCCACGTCTGACCATACGGTCTGCTAGGATATCGCTGAAAGTTTTTGTTCAACAACAGGTGACATCGATTTGCACGCCGAATCTTGCCATCGGATTCGCCGCAATTGCGCATACATCGATTCATATCCTGTCCATCCTTTCTTCCATATCCCAACCATGGTCCGACTGTACTGTCCGTGCTGAGATCCAGCGGTGATTCAGTGTTCATTTAAGAGTATCTGAACAGTATCGCAAATGGAGGAGGACATACTCGAAGGAAACATTTGTCGCTATCCGCACGACGAATACATACTCAGTCACTCCTGCGTATAGCATGCGTCTGTTCGTGGAACTGAATTACTCAAGTATTTCTCTGGTTCAGAAGATCAATAATCGCTACATATCCTGACCTGTCTTATTGCATCCGAAAAGACTCGATCGAAAGACATTCTTGTCCGACCTTCTGACTAGCCAGATATGAGGCATCGAAAGGCATTAAAATCCGAGGATATCCCGTTCCCGAACTCGGCAACAAACGTTGAAGCTTGATCGTTTCGGACCGTGTTTCAAGTGGATGTCACCGAAACGTCATTCCGCTTGCAAACGGTACGCGCAGGAAGAATTGCATAAAACTCTATCGCTGAATTGATGAAAAGACAGCGTCTAGACGCCGATATGAGATCCTAGGCGGAAATCAACGAGTTCGTAGTCAAGATCCCTGCGTAGTCGAATATCGTGACTGCGGGCAGCCTTGCAGAGAGAGCCGGGGACATCGCTTATCCAGACCTTCTTCCGATCAAAGCCTCTTCGCTGCGGTTATCCTCTAATCGCACTTGCATTCTGGAATAGACGAAACAGTCATTCCAAGACGATCGAAGCGGCCGGGAACATAAAATCCTGAACTGACACATTTCACGGCGCTGTAGATCTGTAGACCTCAGTGGGATCAGGTGATCATATATTATCGATCACGCAACTATCTGGGCTTGCGGCACGAGTTTCGGAAGAACTCTTCCAGCTTCTAGGCGCGTAGGCGACGTCGTCCCCCAACGCCATCCAAGACGCAAGACGACCCAAAAGATGCCGACATCCGAGCCAAGCCAAACAAACGAAGACGACCTACAGTAGACGTATCTTTCCAAGGTGAAGCATGGGATTGGGCTGCGCCGGGTGCTGTAACACGATCCTCCTTACCCCCTGTAAACCCCTCGCCCCTCGAGGTTTTACATTTCTCGCAGCATAGCCTTTCGCTGCGGTCCCGTCGGACGCGCGCGCGAAAGAGGGACGGAGGGGTGTGACGTCATTTTCTGATTGGCTCAGCGACAAGCACTCCGTTGTTGTTTATATAGCCCACAAGGCCTAGCGAGGCAAAGCTGACGCCAGCCCAAAGCAGCATTCATATCCGTATTCATCTACATCTTTTCATCTCATCTATCTTCGGAAACCTCACCTAGAACCCTCCTCATCAAACTCACTCGATCAACGAAATCCAACACCATGTTAGTTCAACATCTCTCGCTCTGTGCTTAGGCAGGCCGGATCGCGTCCCGTTCTCGATGAAGCTCTGCAAGCTGCGAGATCCGCGAAGCGAGACGTCGAAGATCCGACCTGTCCAAAAGCACAACGCCAATCCTGCTCATACTCATTACTTTGGGTTGGTTCTTCATTATCGTAGGGCATTCACCGGAAGCGACATCTTGAAGATCATCTGTACGTCCTTGTCCTGGCCATCCAGCCATCAAACCTGAACACGTGCATCGATCACTGATCCTTATCGCTACCTTTGATCGAATCCGATAATACAGTGGCCATCTTTGTTCCTCCTCTCGGAGTGTTCATGTGAGCATCCTTACCAGGACTGATGGAGTCTGGGCGAGAAACTCTTCGGCTCGAGGGGGGAGGATGCGTCATGCACCTGGAGGATAACTTGCTGATATTGAACCTTCACGTTGCCCCTTCACAGTGAGCGTGGATGTAACGCCGACTTCTTCATGTACGTCGAAACTCTACCTTTCATGGCGATACGATACGAGGATGAAAGCTGACTTTCCGCATTTCTCCCGCATAGCAACATCTTGTTGACCATCTTGGGTTAGAATCGACAACACCATTTTAGAGACTGATGAACCGATTTACTGATGAACTTGCTTCTTCTCACCTTCTTCGTGTGATATATAGGTTACATTCCTGGTATCATCGTGAGTCGGCCTCCTTTGGTCGGAAAAACCCCGCACTACAGAGAATCTGACACCCCGTTCTTCCTTTATCTCTACAGCACGCCTTGTACATCATCCTCAAATATTAAGACGGTCGCCAATACAGCTAGAGCGATTGGACCGGATCGTTTGACGGATGGACGGAAGTGTAGAAGCGATGACGCCGAGAAAGGAGATGGCGATCGGACACATGATCGATGGCCGTCGACCCTTGTCCGGCTTTTTTCTGATTCGATGTAAACCGCCTGAGTATTGAGCGCAAAGCCAAGTGATATAATTCGATTTCCCCCTATTGTGACTTGCGATCTTGAACGGATGCCCCCCTCTGCCCTTGTATGGATTTCTGCCGGTCGATTATCCTCGATGTCTGTTCCGATTGCCGTGACCCAGACCGTGACGTCACTCCTGAACCCGTTCTCCCCGAAAGATTCCGGCTCCGGCTTACGCGAATTGGGCTCAGCGAGCCAGCCAGCCAGCAAATGACAGAAAGGTTTCGACCATCTCTACTCCTGTACTCCTACATCTCCCTCGATCCTCTCGCATACTTCTCACAATCTGCAACTCTTGAACTAATTACATCTTCAAATCGTCTCTTTCTCTTTCACAAAATGTTCCGAACCGCCCTCCGAACCTCTGCCGGCGCTGCCTTCCGCCAACAAGCCGTAGCCCGTCGTTACGCTTCTTCCTCATCCCACAAGGCTCCTGCTGGAGATGCTACCTGGGCCATGGGCAGCGCCGCCGTCTTTGGATCCATCACCGCTTATCTCTTGATGTCCGGAGGCAAGCCTGCAGAGGCTGCCGTGCACTCGACCTCGAACATGAAGATTGCGGATTCGACCGAGAAGAACGTCACCCCGGAGGATGCGCCCACTTTGGTCAGTTTCGACCTACGAACAGGCTGTCGGTGTAGCTAGTAGCTGATCGAGAACTGGATATACGTCTTCCACCCTCTTTAGACCAACACTTCTGCCGAGTCCGTACACAAGGGTTCCGGTCGTGCGATCAAGAGCATCGAGGTCAGTCCAACCACCCTCGTCCCTTCATGACGACGTCATTCCTCTGACAGACCCGAATACTCGTCGCCGGTAACTCACAGGGAGAGAAGACTGACGACTCGAGCGATGACAACGAGGACAAGGAGGAATCCTCTGCTCCTGCTCCTTCTGCTGAGGAGACCAGCGAGCCCGCTGAAGGTCGAAAGGCCGAAGATATCCCTGACTCCGAGATCTCTGGCAAGGCCGCTCAGGCCAGCATGAAGCTCGCCGAGGTGAGCCTCGAGTCAATTCGGCATACCAAGAATTTCCGGAGGTTATGATTCTGATTGGTTCATGCCTTGATGCCGTCGTTCGCTGCAGTCCGTCAACGTGCCCAAGGCGGCCATGAGTAACCAGACCGAGGATTCCTCCTCCAGCGATTCCGGCTCTGGCTCTAGCTCGGGTGAGGAGGGCGGTAAGATGGAGGCCGCCGACGAGGGTCGAAAGGCAGAGGACATTCCCGCTTCCGAGATCGAAAACTCGTTGCACCAGGCCGAGGTTAGTCAGGAGTCTGCTTGGAATGCATTCGATATGGAAACGCATTCATTCAGCTGACGCTCGGGTGGGATATCATTTGTTTTGGTTGTTATTCGTAGGAGGCATGTGTACCCAGCGCCACCTGGGCCGATGGCAAGCGAGAGTAGACGAGAATGGATAGAACAAAGAACCATCTAATTAAAGCATCATGTAAACCGAACCGTCGACATGAAAACAACATGAATTGCACCGAGGTTTGGCACATCGCGATCGATTCGGCATGCAAGCGATCGATTCGGCATGCAAGCGATGCGGCACAAAAGAAAACCGCTTGGCTTCGAGTGTCATGTGTTGTATGCCCCGATTACCAATCAAGCCCTGGCTTTGCCCTTTGCGTTGCCGAGCGGACGACCTTTACCTTGAGCTCCACTCACTTTCCAAGCCCCGAGGATGGCCTCCTTGATCTCCTGCACGCCATCATCGTGACGGATCGAGGCAAAGATCGTGGGACCTCCTTCTCGCATCATGGCGGCGTCTCGCTTCATCACGTCTAGCGAAGCTCCGACATAGGGCGCGAGGTCGATCTGAGCAAACGAGCGGAGCACGTCAGCGACGCTGAGGAATGTTTGGCATGTGATGCTTCCAAGACTCACTTTGTTGACGATAAGGAGGTCCGACTGCGGAAAGGTCGTGTCAGCCGTAGCCTTCAGGTCTCCTTGTGGCCATATGGTCTGCTCACCTGCGAGATACCGGGTCCGCCTTTACGTGGTACCTTGTCACCTCCGCTCACGTCGATCTGTCGATTTGAGGTCGGTCAGGTATCGCTCAAGAAGCACCCTATGCCCCTTGCGACTCACGACGTAGATGATGTAGTCAGCCAATTCTCTCGAATAGTTTGCTAGGTCGAGCATATCGAAAGGACGTAGATCAATACCGAGGATCTCGTTCTCTCGCCAACTAGATCCCGTAACAACTCGGCACGCCAGACTCACCTGCGAGGTTGTCACCGCCACTCTCGACGAACAACAACTCGGTCTCGTAGATCCCCTGCAGCTCTTCCAGCGCGTGCATGTTGGCCGAGATGTCTTCCCGGATAGCGGCGTGCGGACAACCGCCTGCCAGGGGGGAACAGGAACGGAAACACAAGGACAAGGCGGGATATAGCGTATGGTTCAGTTCTTCGCCTTGTTCGGCTGGAGCTCGACTCGACTCGACTCGACCGGGACTCACCCGTCTCGACAGCCCGGACCCGACCTTGATCCTCGAGCGCGTTGTTCCTGATCAAGAACTCTTGATCTTCCTATCGATTTCGGCCCCGTGTGAGAGCAAGATAATCGCGATAATTAGATAGCGAAGTTTCGAGGAGAAATGTCGCGCAGATCGAGTAGGGCCGATAATCAGAACGATGCGATTGGAACGGGTTTGGATGGCAGGAGGATACGAACCTTTGTGAAGATGTCGTTGGTCACCACAGCTGTCATGCGCGTTGAAGAGGTAGTAAGGATGAGCTTGCCAGTCAAGGATGGACAGCATAAATCCAGCCAATGGTCGTACCGATGTTGTATTCGTCCCGGAAAGCCCGACACAAGGCCAAGAGCAAAGCGGTCTTTCCCGACCCGACAGGACTAGAATGGGTGACATACCGGTGCGGCAGAGCTGATTGAGTCGGGGCAGATTCGCACGGAGATCACATAAAGCGACTTGCCCTCCAATCCCGATAGTAAACGCTCGCTCTTCGAAATCCCTAGCAGAGAAATCGGGCATGTTGCGCTCGGAATATTTCCCTATTATGGATTAAACAGCCCCTATTTCAGTCGACTGACTCCTTGATCAAGAGTCCCAAGTAGAACCGGTACCCACCTGGGTTTTCCAGATGTTCATGCGTATGTCCATGCTCTACCGGTGTCCACGTTCCGGTGGCAGCGTCGTGCAGATGAGCTACACCCCCGTGGTCGTGTCCGTGTCCGTGCCCGTTGTGGTGGTCGAATTCGGGCCTCGAACCGGCAGCCAGGAGCGCGGTCGACAGTCTGTCTTGGAATTGAACCTTTTGTGCCATCGTTTAATGAGATTTGAGGTAAGTTGTGGAGGTTGTTCTCGCTGTCAAAGCTGCCAATCAGTAGCTCAGTAGCAGTTACTTGTCGTGCAGTCGTTGTATTTGATTTCGGCTCTTCCCTTCCTTCCTCCTTGATCTCTCTCGGATCTCTTGCTAATCAGCCGCAACCTCCCGAACCAAACACGAGGCAGGGAGGCGCCCGGAGTTGCAGAGATTTGCTTCCGACGGGGCACGGGAACGAGAGATAAGGGAGTCTCCACGATCTCGGACGGGGGCTTCGGAAGAGAGAGACCCCAGACCCCCTCCCACATCGGAGCGGTATCTTCGTCGTCGTCATGCTAGCCAGTCGTCGTTATTGATGGTCTGTACAAATGATACATACAAGTAGCCAGGCAGTACTGGCCGTAATGCAATCCAGAGCGCAAGATGCTTTTTGATGCCACGTCGAACTCTCGCTTTCCTACGCGTCTATAATCGTCCTTGGAGCCTCTTGTTCACGCTGTCGATATGTTTCCGGTTCTTCATGTGGATCTCGAGGTTCGAAGGTTCACAAGAATAGACCTTGCCTGGGCTATATATCACGACAAGGAGGAAAAAACACCATCGTCTCCATCAGCGCAATGTACAATGCGATGCGATTCCCGAGGACGATGAATGGGATGAGACTTACCAATCGAGACATTTCATCTTCCAATGAGTCCGCTCGTCGCCCGAAGCGTTGGGACGGTAGACGGGGTCTAGACGATCGTGCGGTCTCGTCTGCTTGAAATGCATCAAGACCTCCTTGACCCATTCAGGTAATGGTGGTGTCTATCAGTCGAATACGCGAAGGAGATGGAAAGCACGGTCAGGCTTAGTTGGCGGAAGCGATTCACACGTCCCACTCACGCTTCCCGATGTCACCCGTTGAAGGGCCACGCCCGGTCTTGACGGCGTCAACGGCACACGGGGCGACTGGACCTCGCTGGGTCGGTGCACGACGGGCGAAGGGGTGGGTGCAGCGAGGCTCGTCGATGCGGGAGCTGGACCGTCTTCCGAAAACGTCGAGTCGGGCGAAGCGACATCCTGGAAGGGCGGCGGGGTGACTTCCTTGCTCTTGGCCGTCTCGACCGGGAAGAGGGGAGCTGTTACAAGCACAAGAGACGCATGGTGTTTCTTCAGTTTTCGCCTTGCCACGCATGAACTCGGGTCATACCGACTTACCACAATCGGAACACAAGTTGGGTCGTCCGAGCGGTCCGTCGAACCGTCTCTTGTCATCCAAGACAGCCTCGGGGCGATGACAGTGCGAGCAAGTCCACGCACTAGGCGGACGTTCCTTCGGAGGGTCCACCGGACGGGTGTGGATGTTGCTAGAAGATGACGTACGGCGAGCAGGTCCTGCGACTTCTTCTTTGATAGGAGGCTGGACAACGGCTTTGGCAGGTTCGGGAGAAGCCGTATTGACACGGTTTCTTCTGCTAGCCCTTACGGCCATGACGACGCTCTGCTCCGGACTAGGTGCCGCCGAATGATCGTCGTGTTGCAACTCGCTCGTCATCGTCGTGATGTTAGCTTTCGCGGCGATAGCAGCGGCCCTTCTCGGCGCCGTCTTGGTCCTCGTCGGAGTCGGCTTCATGGGCAGCGGTAGCTTGGGAATGGCCGAAAGCACGATCGGAACACCATTCTCGTCCATACCCCCGCTGATCCTGCTGCGATTCGTCTTGACGGGTTCACGATCTGGTAGGGCGACCAACCTCCTCGCCCGAGTACCTCGCTTCTTCTTGCGGTCCTTGTCCTTGTCCCGATCTCGCTCGAACGCGTGCTGGTCCATCTCCGTGACGGCGGTCAGGAAGGGCGTATATGTTGAGATCAAGTTGCTATCGTTACGGACCACTTCGCTCAATGGGGGCAAAAAGTCGGCAGCCAAGTCTTGGTCGGCGATGCGACTACCGTCGAACGCGTATCCGACCAAAGTCAGAGACTTGAGATAGGCTTGCATCTGTTCCCGGATGTCGTGGGCGATGGCAGTCCTACGCGAGAATGGGCAGTGTTAGACAGACTCGCCTTGCCGAAGGCTTTTGATCTGGATAGACTCACTTGAACTCGCCGTTCAGGCCTAATTCGAGCGAATACACCTCGGCGAAGTGTTCTGGCGTCGTTTCTGACTGTATGTCCCACTCGAAGCAATCCGTCAAGTGCATTTCGCCAGAGATGATGTCGAGCTAGATGGCGCAGAGAATTAGTATGACAGTATGCAGTCGGTCAACAGCCGCAACGCCTAACCTGTATCCTAATCCGCAAATCGTAAGGTAACCCTTCCACATCCCCAACCATCAGATCTTCAACAGGCATTGGCCTGTCATCCTCGTCGGCATGTTCATCGAGCGACAGAGCTTCTTTCCGCATGCGCTTCCACCACTCAACGTCATCATCTGTCAAGGCACTCTCCACTTCGGCCAAAGTGGATTGCGGAACGATGGCTTGCTCGGCGTCTCGCACCCGCTCTTTTATTGTTTCCGCTATACGAGTCCGCGAAGGCTCCATCGGCAGATCAAAGTCCTCGCAAATGGTCTGCGCGAACATTTCTGGCGTGATGAGGGGGTCTGAGGTGGAGGTCAAGCAGGATCAATGTCTGCTGGACTTGGTAAGCATGACATTCTATTACTTACCCGAAGCGTTCCATATGAAGGTATCCTGGAATCTGCTCTGATCCAGCTCGAGATCTATACGCACAGGTATCAGTCGATCCTGCACATTCGCCGGTGCTCGCAGTTGCGCTTTCGTACTGCAGACGGTGTAGGTATAGACTAATCAGTCGAGTGAGCGTCGTGGACCTCCACAAACGAACGACCTACAATCGGAGGGCCATGTGTTTGCCGTTCATCCGCTTCTTGTCCCTCTGATTGTTTTTGTCGACTGGCCAGATCAAGTCGAGCCCCGTCGCTGGTCTCGCTTTAGGCATCCGCTTGTCGTGTTCCCACCAAGCAGGTTGTTGAGTGGCTCTCCATTCCTGCATACGCTCACTCATCTGCTTGCGCTGTACGTCCCAAGCCGATGCGTAATCGATATCTCGATCGATCCACGTCCGCATTTGATTCTTCGTCCCGTCAGAGAGCGGTTGGATTGCACCGCCTAGAGTAGGATCCTTCATCTCGTCGAGCTCATCTGGTATTCGCTGCAGATGCATGATGGGGAGGGTCGGATGTCGGTATTTCTGCCAAGACTCGATCGGCACCGGCTCGTACGCCGGGGAAGGAGGCTTTATTGGTATGGATGGAGCGGATGGTGGGGGAGGGGCAACATTGATGGGATGAACCGGATTTACCGGACCTGGCAGTATACTTGGACCAGCAGCCGCGTTATTTGACTGCTCGGCGGCAGCGGGGACAGCAACCGCTTCCCGCTGCTTGAGATCGTTGGCAGCGTTCTTCTTCGGTTTCGCCTTGTGACTACGTTTCTTCTCATCCTTCTTCGGCGGGTTTGCAGGCGACTTGGCGGGTTTGCCTTCGGCCTGACCCTTTCGGCCAGACGCGCCGTTCGGGCCAGAAGATGCAGGTGTGGAAGCTGGCGGCTGCATTTGCGGCTGCTGCTGCTGCTGTTGTTGAAGCTGCTGCTGTGGAAGCTGCGGCTGCTGCTGATGCTGTTGTTGTTGCGCTTGTTGTTGCTGCTGGACCCTTGCGAGGACGGCGACCTGCTGCACGTACTTTTGCATGCTCGCTATCGTCTCGGGGTCAACCGCACCTGATCTCAGCAGCTCGTGAGCCTTGACGAGGCTCGCAAAGAACGCCGGCTGGTTCTGTCGCATGACGTCTGCCGTGCTCGGGTTCGACAACGCTTGTATGTAAGGTAACAGTCGAGGATCAAACGGGCAATTCGGAGGCATCGGTATCGACTGGGGAAGAGCCATCCCGCTAGGCAGTTGCTGCTGTTGCTGCGGAACGTTCCCGTTCATACCCTGGGGTAGCTGCATCGCTTGTAATCCCGCTTGACTCATCCCCTGCTGACCGCCAGGCATCATGCCACCGAGATTCATCCCCTGCGGTTGACCTAGACCCTGAGCCTGCTGCGTCTGGCCCGCACCGCCATCCGTATTCTGCCTCTTATTCCTCATGTTTGTTCCAGGTGATCCTTGACCAGCCCCGGGACCAGCCCCGACCCCACCTATCGAGCTGCGTTCTTTTCGCTTGCCCAACAGGGTCGAAGCGTTGATATTGGTCGGCATCCCCATTTGCGGCGGAAAGCCCGTCTGCGGAGTCGGCGTGGACGGCGGCATCTGTTGTTGCTGTCCTTGAACTTGCGTTTGGGCTTGAGAATGATGGGACGCAGCTGAGGACGGTCGAGGCACATGCTGTTGATACATGTTCGGCGTGAACTGGGTGTTCATTCTCGGCGACGGGGACGAGTTGGACCCTCCCGCTGCGGCAACTCCGGGGAAACTTGGCTGAGGTTTCTGACCCGGTTGCATCGGTTGGTTCTGGCCCCTGAACGGTTGACCCATCCCTCCCTGCTGCTGAAGATTCATCTGGATTCCGCCGCCTTGTTGTTGTTGCTGCTGTTGCTGTTGCTGCTGCTGCTGCTGTTGATGGTGCTGCTGCATCTGCTGTTGGAAATGCTGCTGTTGCTGCTGCATCCCTCCCAGTCCCATGTTCATTCCTGCCCCTAAACCCGCCTGCATCCCCATTCCCATCCCCATACCCGTCCCGCCCATTTGACCGTTGTTCATCCCTCCAGCCACGCCAGCGATCGGGTTGGAAGCGAGAGCCTGCATTGCCCTGACCATGGTCGGATGGTTCATCATCCCCTGGGGTATCTGCGGTTGTCCACCTGTACTCTGTTGTCGACCCATGGCGGGTGAAAATGACTGTTGCGGCTGTTGACCTATCCCGCCGAGGTTGAGCGTCCCCTGACCCGCTTGACCTTGACCCTGACCTTGACCTTGCGCCTGAGCTTGAGCTTGAGCCTGAGCCTGTACCTGCCGGTACGCTGCTAGTGTGGCCATCTGCGTCTGCTGGTACAACGGCAGACTCGAGTTCATCTGCTGCTGTTGTTGCTGACCGACGTTCATGTTGAGGTTCCCACCGGCTTGACTGAACATTTGCGGGTTAAATCCCATGGGCAGGCCGTTATTGCCCAGCCCGAGGCTTGGAGAGCCGCTGTTGTTTCCGGCATTGTTGAGGTTGTTGCTGTTGTTATTGGAAGCTCCGAATTGACTGGTAGGAAACCCATTCATCTGAGCCAGAGCTTGGTAGTTCTGTTCGCATCCCCGGTAAGATGGACGACAAAGAAGATCAAGTCGAGCGAGATCACGAAAGACACCCAAACCAGAATCGTCAGATCCTCCCACCTCATCTGCATCGAGGTACCTTATCATGATCCTGAAGCTAAACTCACAGGCTGTTGCTGGTTCGATCCTTGCGCCTGGCCATACTGCCCATAATCGGGGTTCATCCTCGTCAAAGAACCCGATGCCGGGTGAGGAAGCAGAGAGGTCTCCTACTCCTGCTCTCCGTTCGTTCTACTTTTTTACACTGCGCTGTTCAGGTCTTCCTCGATCCCTGTTCGCTGAGTCGCAGCAGACTGTTGAATGGATGCGACCAGGTCGAGACGGCGATGTCGAATGGGGTCAATCAAAACGCGAGGGCCAAGTCCGGAAGAGGTATCGATCCATCCGCCGCTCTCGTCCTATAAGATCTTGAATCTCACTGTCGACCTCGTCTCTGTTCTACGGTATTGGCAAGGCGAAGGCTACCACCGATATCAACCTCCTTGTTGAACTGCCTCAAGAGGTTGATTGCCGGTAGTAATCGATAGATCCGATAGATGTTCACCGAAGGCAGGCAGAGAAAGAAGCCTTCGCGCGAACGGGTGCGTGATGAGACCCTCCTTCGACTGAGATGACACCGGCTAAGATCGGGCAAGGATACCGTGTCCTGCTTCTACCTAAGAGAAGATGCCTATGTCGATTGTCTGAAGGTGTCGAAAGTCATCGAGGTGTGATGTTAACGTAGGATGCCTTGGACGTGCAATTGACCTGTTTGGGACGAGCTGGGTTGCTGCTGCCTAGACGCGATTGCTAGGCGAGATCTGACTGACTGAGATGTTGATAACGCATACGCGCTTTCATCCATCTCGCTTTCCCTATTGGGCCTACACCAGCTACACCTTTGAGTCTGCAGCTTGATATGGATGGACAGTTCTAACGAGACATGCGAGACAAAGCCCGAGTCCTGAATCTGTAATCTGTGATCTGACGATCTGATAGCGATGAGATGATAAACCAGGTACGTAACCCAAAACTCCGGATGAACAGGGACTAGGCGAGGGCGAGGGCGAGGAAAGAGAGGGTCGTTCGGCTCCGAGCGGCCGGGTCAAGAACAGAGAGAAACGGCAAATCGAATTGACCGGGAACACGAAAAACCATGGAAGAACATTCGGGGAATTCCAATCCCACCTCCTTCTTCGCATTCTTGCCGTGGTTTAGCGTGTACCGTATCGTAGTCGGCCGATAGTGGAGGACGAGAGGTAGATGAATCCCATGCGCCCATGCACCCCCCACCCACCTCGCCTCGCCTCGGTCTTGGCGTGCCGAAGGGTCGGGGATCGAGGGTGGTGAAAGGGGGGTTCGTCACCATGGTACCATGACCAGAATCATCAGATGATACGTTATCGGCGGCCATACCGGAAAGATTTTCCGAACCGAGAGACCAGATCTGATCTTGATCTTGATCCGATCCATTTTCGATCGAGGGCATTCCCTTGCGCGGGGCGTTTCGTGATATTCGGATCTTTTGTCATCGCCCCCCACCCCCGACCCACGCCGTACAACTCCCGCCCGAGACCGACACCCACAACCCAAATCCAGAGGCAGAGAATTCATGAAGCCGAGATCCATCGCCTTCGATCCGTGATTGTCCCTGCCGGATTCTTGGTCTTTTGCTTGCGACTGCGAGCGAAGTGAAAGCAGATGTCTACGAGCTACGAGCACACGCTGGAGCCGAAGTGCAAGATCAACTGCTGTAAAGTGTTGTCGAAACATGACGTTGTTACAGGATCACGAACCGTCCTCGACATGATTGCCGTGCCTCTGTTCTCGATCGAACGCCTTTTCTTGTCAACTATCGGCATGCCTACGAGGCTAAGCACGTAGACTCTGTACAAGATAGCCTGTCGACCCTCCATCGAGATTCCGATCTCCTTTCGACATTTCGATAATCAGACGAGTTCCAATGACTCGCAATCGTGATCACCTTGGAATTTATCACAAGTATTACCGGAACACGCAATTTGACGTTTCACAAAAGCAAGCTACAGGCCACAGGTGGATATACAAGGTATATGACTACAAGCACTGCGGGTGCGAGGAAATGAGCCGGTCAAGCTCATTTTGAAGCGACTGATTCGTCTTGGAGTTTCTTGCTCGTAGCGATTTCGCTCGAGTATGTATGTGAGGGTGCATCTAAATGCGACAAGTTCTATGGCAACGCTCGGCCGTCATCTTGAGACTCTGTTCATCGCATTCGTCCAGCTCAGGTAGTCGTCGTAGCGGTCGTCATCGAAGTCGGTGTAGATGATGTAGAAGCCTCCTTCTCCCCGAAGTTCGGTGGGAAATTCGCTGGCGGTGCGCTTCACATGCACAACACGACCGGAAATCAACCTTCCGCCCTTATTCCCGCCTGCCATGCATGCAAACTTCGAAACGCAGGACTACAGTATGACTCACCTCCTCACATCCCAAACATCCTCACTGCTCCCCCCAACCCTCCTTGCAGCCCACCACCCCGCCCTCCGCCTGATCCACATCTTGCGCCGTTCTTCCTCGTCCACGCTTTTTAGGGACATGCAGTATTTGAAGTCTTCGAACTTGGTGGTACAGACTTTGGGGGCGCCGTGCCGGTAGACGTTGCGGAGTTGAGGGCCGAGGGCTGTCGAGGGTTGGTAAAGAAAAGAGTTCCGAATGAGGGTGAGCGATGATGTTTCGAGAGAAGAGGGTAACGCCCATGTGGGCGTTAGGGGGGACGTACCGTAACAGCTCAGGAATTCGTCACTGTCGTTCCATAACCCGACCGACCAGGTCCACCTCATTAGCTGACCCGACCCGACCTGATCTGACCTGGACTTGATCGCCAGTAACAGCTCCTCGACTCACAATAGAGTCATACAACCGGGTACTTCCTCGAAAGTAGGATACTGAGCCGCTTGGAGCTGGAGCTCGTTTTGAAAGATGGCATCGTATCGCTTCAACGTCGGGGTCGGGTGGGTTGATGTTGTGGTTGGTATTGATGTCGATGTCGATGTTGATGCTGATGCGGCGTCGGTCGTCGGATGGACGGCTGAAGAGGTGGAATTGGACATGACGGATTGGATCTCGGAACGAGCGGTGGTGAGGTGCAATGGGCGGCGTCAGGACAGATGATCAGCATCCCAAGAATCAAGGTATCGAGGTGCATGGTGTGATGGTGGCCGGGGTGCACCGAATCTCGACTTTGGCTTATCTGCGCGTCGCCTGATGAAGATGACGCGGACATGAGATAAAGCGATATTGGTATGGTCAAATATGCTGATGTCCGTTTTTATACCTGTGATCGTCGTTGAAACGATTCGTAACCGCTCGTCGTTATCGCGCCATCGCTCGCTCTTGAGCTGACCGGGATGGATGCACCTGTGCTGATCTCTGTGAAAAGACGGTGGTATGAGCATCGTCAGGATCGTGTCAAGGAGATCAACGAGACTGTAGCCGTGACTGATGATGACCGTGATCGAGGATCGAGTGCTATGAACGAGACGAGATGAAACCATACCCTTGTCTTGAACTGAGACTCTACGTGATCCGTTCCACTCGTCATCGCCGCCGCTGAAGCTGAGATTCGGTTCGATCGAACAAAGGAGGGCGAGGAGACAAGAGCGGTGCATTCTCAGCCTCAGCTACCATTCCACACAGTACACACACTGCAGCTCTACCACGTCCTTCTACCACCTCTTCTTCTTTCAGCGAGGGAGAGCAGAGAATGACAACCGCCCTCTGGCTATCCAAACGCCTAATCTCCAGCACTTCGAGCACGAACCACACCGTTAACGGCATTAGGATTAGTAACAAGACTTTCGGGGCCATAAACACGCACTCGCTACGCAACCTCGTATCCACCACCAGTACCACCAGACCCACCTCTTCCTCGCCTTGCTCGACAAGAGTAGCAGCGAAACAAACTTTAGCGTCAACATCAGCAGTATCGACGGCTCATATCGCCATGTGTCGGACCCACCCTACTACGCAGCTCAATCAGGGGACGAGGAGGAACTTTTCAGTGTCCAGCGCGGTACTTGGGTTAGTGGTTCTCGTACTTTCCGTCGTCGTCGGGAGGAAATCTTGGGGGTCAGTGTCGGATTGAGAGTTTAGGTGTAGCAAGAGGAGCCCGAGTCGAGGGAGATGTCGCAAGTCGGGCACAGAGACAGATCGACCGGCAGTAGGAGTCGGGGGTCGGAACCCAGGGTTTCGTGAACCGAAAACATGACGCAGCAGGATGTCATCGTTGGAGTCTTTGCGCTCGGCCTCGGATACCTGTTGTTGGGCAGTAGGCGGGGCATCTACCTCTTCTGGCAAAAATCGGTCGGATGTCGATAGAAGATAGCGGTCGTATCGCACAGGATGGAGACGGCGACGCATATCCGAGTTTCGTTAACTGACGTCATGTATCATTTCTTTCTTCCTTACACCTCGCAGCAACTTGTCCGGCTCCTCAGCTCCCTCCGGCTCGACATCCGCCCCTACCCCCAACCTGAACTCGGAAACCAACATCACCCGAACCTCCCTCTACCTCCCCCCGACCGAGACCCGTCCGCACCGCCTCCTCACCCTTCCCAACAAGCTCGAGATCATCCTTATCTCCGACCCCGAGGCAGACAAGTCCGCCGCAGCTCTCGACGTTGGAGTAGGGCATTTGGAAGATCCGGCGAATTTGCCCGGGTGTGCGCATTTTTGTGAACACATGATGTTCTTGGGGACGAAGACGTTCCCTAAAGAGAATGCGTATAATACGTATTTGACGAGTCATAATGGGCATTCGAACGCTTATACGGATCTTTGTAATACCAACGTGAGAGTTTTTTCGCGACTCCTCATCGAGACCGGCTCGAGCTGGCGTTGATCTTGCCTCACCATAAATCTCGGCAGTACTACTTCGAAGTCGCCCCGAACGCTCTTGAGGGCGCCCTAGATAGGTTCGCAGGGTTCTTCTCGGAACCCCTCTTTGCCGAAGACTGTACCGAGCGGGAAGCCAACGCCGTCAACTCGGAGCACAAGAAGAACCTGCAGAGCGACATGTGGCGGTTCTACCAGTTGGAGAAACACCTCTCTTCCCCCGAACATCCTTATCACAAGTTCGGGACGGGTTCTCTGGAGACGCTCTGGACCACGCCAAAGTCCCAAGATCGGGACCCGAGAGCGGAGTTGATCGAATGGTGGAAGAAGGAATACTGTGCCAGTCGGATGAAACTGGTCGTCCTCGGAAAGGAGGATCTGGACACGCTCGAAGGCTGGGTCAGGGAGAGGTTCGAAAAGGTGGAATACAAGGGGAAGGAAAAGGTCATGTACAGCGACAAGGTGTTTGAAGAGGGACAGATGGGAGTAAGTCTCAGCATTGCGAGGGGTGGGAAGCGTGCTGCGATTGCTAAGCTACTATATATCTCGACTTGATCGTCTGCGTAGCACATTGTCTTTGTCGACCCCGTTAAGGATACCCGAGGGATGGAGATCACCTTCCCGTTCCCGGATCAGCGACACTTTTACAAGTCGAAACCCGCCTCGTACCTCGCCCACTTTTTGGGTCACGAGGGGCCCGGATCGATCTTGTCCTACTTGAAGCGACGGGGGTGGGTCAACAGCCTGCGTTCGGGAGCACAGAATGGGAGCAGCGGGTTCGAGCTTTTCAAGGTGACGGTTGATCTCACCGAGGACGGATTGGGTGAGCTTGGGGCGAACGTGAAAAGGCGGCTTGTTCGCGCTCCGGGCTAACTTTCTCCTTTCCCATACGACGCGTGATAGCCAACTACGAAAAGGTCGCTCAAGCGGTGTACAAGTACATTCACCTGCTGAAATCGCAGCCTCCTTCGGAAGAGGCCTTTAACGAAATCAAGGCGTTGGCCGAGATTGGATTCAGGTTTGTCGAGCGTGGGGGAGCTTCGAGCTACGTCTCGGACCTCGCTCGTCAGCTGCACCAACCGGTCCCTAGGGAAAAGATCATCTCTTCCCAATGGCTCGTCGAGGAGTTTGACGCGGAAGAGATCCGAAGGTCGCTCGACCTGTTGGACCCTAGACGGAGCAATATCGCCGTGTCCGCCCGTAAATTGCCCCCGGGTGTCGAGGGGACGTTCGATCTCACCGAACCGATCTATGAGACCAAGTACAAGCGGATCAAGATGAGCCAGACATTCATCGACGAGGCTTTGAACGGGACCCTGCCAGAGCTGCATTTGCCGGGCAAGAACGCGTTCATCCCGGAGAACCTCGACGTCGAGAAGATCGAGGTCGACAAGCCAAAGGTCGTACCGGATTTGATCAAGGATACGCCGCTGTCCAAGCTGTGGTATAAAAAGGACGACCGATTCTGGATCCCTCGAGCCAACGTGTTCCTGTCCCTGAAGACGTGAGTCGAGAGATGAGCGAATTGACGCGAGAACTCTCGGTAGACTAATCGCACCTTTTCCTGATCAGTCCTTTACTGCAGGTTTCGCCTCGCAACACGGTCCTCGCCAGACTCTTTGTCGACCTCTTCCGCGACTCGATCGCAGAAGAGACCTATGATGCCGAACTGGCGGGTCTGCAATTCTCGATCGATTACGCCGGGGATTCGCTCACCGTCGGGACCGTCGGTTACAATGACAAGCTTCCGGCGATGACTGAAAAGATGTTGAACCTGATGCGATCGTTCAAGGTGGACCCGTCTAGATTCGAATTGATCCGGGATCAGGTGAGAAGTCGTCTCGTAACAGGTATATCGCGTTAGATAATCCAGCTAACCATCTTGACTGTCTGTCACCAGCTCCGACGCAGTTGGCAGAACATGAAGATGGAAGAGCCATACCAACTCGTCTCATACTACGCTCACTACGCCGAATCCGAGTATATGTGGACCATGCAAGAAAAGGGGGAAGAGCTAGAGTGTAACTATCGCAGAGACCAATATTTCCGGCAGAACAGTCGCTAATATCTTGCCTTTGCAGACTGTACACCCGAGGCGGTCGACCAGTTCGCCAAGGAAATGTTCGAGAGGATGTACATCGAGGGACTGATTCACGGTAACATGGACAAGGAGGTACGATCTTCGCATTATCGATATCACGGCGGAAGAACGCGATGCTCATCGCGCCCACCTCTGTTTTTTGCAGAACGCTCTTGCACTTCAGTCGATGGTCGAATCTGTGCTGAAACCCCGTGTTCTCACTGCATCGGAAAAGATCGGCGAGAGGTCCATGTTGCTTCCCGAGGGTGAGCGTGATTCCTGCTCGACAGCTAGATCCATGAGCTGATTCAAGTGTCTCGTTACCGCGACCCAGGTTCGGCTCACGTCTGGAATATCGAGGTAGCCAACCCGTCAGAAGTCAACTCGGCTATCGAGTACTATTGCGAAGTTGGCGACATTCAGGACGATGTCTTGAGGCCGCAGCTTTCCCTCCTCGCATCTCTCATCTCGGAGCCTGCTTTCAACGTCTTGCGAACCAAGGAGCAGCTCGGTTACATCGTCTTTGCCCTGCCTCGAGCGTCGACGGGTACCATGGGTATGCGTTTCCTGATTCAGAGCGAAAAGGATACGGTCTACCTGGAGACTCGAGTAGAGGCGTTCTTTGATTACATGAAGGAATTTTTGGACAACTTGTCCGAGGAAGAGTACGAAAAGCACAAGGCGGGAGTCATCCACAAAAAGCTCGAGAAGCCTAAAAACTTGCATGGCGAGAGCTCGAGATTCTGGACCGCCGTTGAAGATGGTTACTATGATTTCGAGAGGCGTAAGTCCGGCTGACCCATATCTGTCATCTACGGCCAAATCCCTGACCACGACCTTGTCTCGCTGCAAAACAGGTTTCAGAGACGCCGAGTTCACCAAAAGCATTCCCAAGCAGGACATCATCGACCTCTTCATGTCCCGCGTCCACCACAACTCGCCGATCAGGAAAAAGCTTAGCATTCACATGCGCTCCACCTACAAGGGTGTCAAGTTCGACCCTGCCCGCGCGACGCCCATCATCGAGGCATTCGTGGCCAAGAAAGTGCCCGTCTCGCAAGAAGACCTCGGCGCCCTGCTGGCCAGCTCGCCGGGTCTCCCTGAAATCCAAAAGTTTGCTCGGGACTGTCTCGCACAAGCTGATCACCTGAGTGAGGAAGACAAGGCCGCCCTGGACAAGCAAGTGGCGGATCTCGACACTGTCAAGGTCGCCCCGGGCGAGAAAGAAGCCAAGCTTAGGGACGGCAACATCGTCATTGATGACATTGTGCATTTCAAGGCTGGACTGCGCCCGTCGAGAGCGCCGGTGCCTTTACGCAAGTTTTCGGTTGTATAATTCATACCTTACGCTAGACCCATCACGACTCGCTGCATGTACACACCCTTTCATCACGAATAGCATAATACAATCAGTATGCAAGCCGGGTTTGGGAAGCATCCTGTCGGGCTGCTGAACAGGCTCCTATGCATATTCGACGGCGCTCGAGCCCTAGACTCGAGCACAAAAGGACAGCCATGAATAAAACTTGACTGGGGTTAGAGACTGGACGGAGATGCTGATGTCCACTCTGGTAGCCTTCATATGTATCATCCACACACTGGGAGGAGATCGCTTTCATCATTCTGCATATTGCAGCAGAATTCTCTGTCGATAGCAAAACCCTCTTCTACCTATCAATCAATGCATCATCAGATTTCGTCCATTCAAATATACCATACAACCCATACAACACGACCACAATCCCAGAGTGTACTAAGAAATCGATGTTCTTCTACCGCCTCGTCACCGTACCAGATGGTTTCCGCAGGCCGCCACCTATCGTCGACGACGTCCCCGAGATCGTACTGCTCGTCGTGTTGCCCGTCGTAGGTCGAGCCCCGCTGACGACTGGCAACGAAAGTCCAACACCACAGTATCATAAATCAGTACGGCAGAGGCCGCAGATACGCGCTGGGAACGAACCCCCAAGACTCACCTCTTCCTCTCGCACCCAAAACCCCTCTCCCTCTCACTCCCGTCCCTCTCCCAACCCCAACCCCAGCTCCGACTCCCCTCCCTCTGCCACGCCCCGCAGTCATCCTCTCTCGATTCTCCGCCTCTACCAAGGCCCGCCTCCTCTCCTCCTCTTCCTCCTCTTCGGCGCGTTTCCGATCACGTTCCACCTGTTCTTTACGCGCTTGAGCTTGTTCGAGTTCGATCCGGGCTTGACGGGTTTGTTCTTCCATCGCCCGGAGGTCCTATAATGTGAGAGATAAGCACGAGGGGGGAGAGATGACGGTCTTAGCAAAGCAAGGTCTTCGGTAAAAGTGGTTTATGTTGGTACTGGGGGGACGTACTTCGGAGACCCCCTTCCATCTCTCGTTCAGGACGAATTTTTGGGTATGTTCCGTCTGACTCAACAACCGGATGTAGGAATCCAACAGGGAGTCGGTATCTCTCGTCCGTGCGGCTAGTCTCTATCGGGTCGGGTCGGATCGTCAGGCACGAGATCGGATCGACGTTGCGGCAAAGAATGAGTGCGCAAAGGTGGATGCGGCAGAACACGCAAGCGCATGTCGATCCAGTGTGAGATTTGCAGCAAAGGACAGCGTGAACAAGAAAAGTATCGATGGTGAGTTAACGAATTCCATAAATCGACCATTATCCCGGACGAAAAACAAGAAGAACAACAACGACCGAGACTCACCTCGTTCCCAGCCTTGCTAGCTCTCAAACTCGTCTCGAACCCCTCGAACACCTGGACCATCTTTTTCAGTTCCCAGAGCGATTCCTTGAGCTTTTGCTGATCCCGATCTCGATCTCGATCTCGGTCTCGGCCTTGCAATTGTGACTGTGATTGGGAGTGGGTGTGGGTGCGGGGGGTTGAGGTGGAGGATGTTTGAGTGTGGTCGGTTTCGGATTCGTCGTCAATGTAGTCGTCGTTGGTGTGGGGGTTCTGATGGTTCCGATCCCGAGGTTCGTCCTCTTGTTCGTCCTCATCTTCCTCCTGATCTTGTGGTCGGGCGAACAACGAGAGCCTCGATGATTTGACTTTAGACTTGGGACGGGGCAAGACTACTATCTCCTTCTCGCCTTCTTCCTCTTCCTCTCGTACTCCTGCTCCTTTTCGTACTTCCTTTCCCCTCAACCCATCCCCGAGCCGACCTCCACCTCCCGTGCCCGTTCTCCGAACACTAGGACTGCCTACATCCATATCCATGCCCATCAACCGATCTTGTTCCCCCAAAGAGAGGTCGTCCATCAGGTCGCTCTCGTCCCCGACCATATGGTGCATGTTCATGTTCAGATTCAGGTTGAAAGGGGATGCTGGGGAGTCCATCGTGGGCGGGTTGTATTCCTTCTGTTGTCCTGCTTTGGTTTTTGTGTGATTGGGGAGAAGTGGTGGGCTGGGAAGAGTTTGGATGATAAGCCTGTGTGATGTCGATGGCGTGGGCGGTCAAGTACGAGGAATGGGACGGCGATATGAGGATGATGATGATATGAGGATCACTTTGACGATTTGTTTACAAAGTCGTCGAGCTAGAGCTAACTCCCTCTGTCGACTCTTCGCAGCGCGTGGGAAAGCGGAAACGGAGCTAGTGACGTTGAGGAAGAAGTCGCACGTACAGATAACCAGGACGCAGGATGGTGAGGTTTTGTGGTCTTGTATAGATTACATCCAGTTCAGTGGCTGGACTGAACTTGTCCACCGGTGATGGCCTCGCGGAACCGAAACGAGGCGAAAGAGAGCGCAAGAGCGGGGAAGGCGAGCACAAGGGATGCCCGCGTAATCAAACTCGATCATCAAGTCCTCCGATTAATCGTTTCTGCATCTGATCCGTGAATTTGAGACGAGCAAATTCCTCTCGTTCAGTGTCAATCAATTCTGTTCCGATGTCGTTGGTGTGGGCACACGTATTGCTTGATGTCGATTGCCGTGACGTGCGTGACCCCGTGTTTCCTTAGGTTAGGTTTAGCTCTCGCTTGGACGAAACACGTCGTAGACGAACCACCACCCCGAGCGAATAACACAGCCAACGCAGCCGTAACATGCATCCAGAGAGTTTACAACCACCTTGTACTGCCTAGTCCTCCTCTCTTGTATCCGTCGTCGTTACCGTTCACTTTCAGACCTAGTCCACCTCCTGTTTATCACGTACCCACCTGCACTGACCGCGGCCCCCGCTCTAGCTCTCTCTTTCCCCTTTTGATCGGGAAACGCGCGACTCTCCTGGCCTGGCCTCTCTCGAATCACCTGCTCAAACGACCCCCACCACTCTCAACCACCACATCTTTCAACCTTCCATCGGTACATCATCTCGACACCTTCCTTTCATCCCTAGACTCTCTGTTTGAAACCGGACCCCTTTTCATCCCTCTATCCTCTTCTCCGTGGGAAACTCGGTCGGGCCGTTCTCCCCTCGTCTCTCTCTTTCTCTCTCTTGGAATCCTCCTGTGTGATCAACAACACCTCGAGACTACTATACCACAATCAATTACTGGATCGACATTATCATATCGATCTAGAACAATTTCCCGAGAGATCGTGCATAGCATAGCATAGCAAAAGACGGAGACAAGCAAGTCGACCTGATCGTCGTGCCGGTGGGGAACTCGTAGGATAATAAAAACCACGACAACATAACATATCATAGCGATCAGAAGTTAGAAGTAGAAGATGGCTAGGAACAGGTTGGCTGAACGAAGGGTGAGTCCTCTAACACTTGATCCCGAATTGGGTTTGGGATTAGGAAGAGATCTTGAGAGCTGGAGGGCTGATTGGTGGGATACGGAAATTGTTATTGAATCGATCTGGCTATGCAAACCAAACGGGGTGTATGGATCTGTTGTTGGGACGTTGGATCGCGTTCGAATCGATTTGGGTGACCTTGGATACCATCTCGCCCAATCGTCTACATCGCCTGCCAATACCAACACCAATACCACACCAAACGACCTCCTCGGATCGAATTCCGACAACGAACCTTCCTCGGCACATACCAAGCAGGGTCAAACGGACCCCACCGACAACCTCTCGGACCCTTCCTACCCTACCCCCGCTTATCCTCCTCCCGTGTCCCAACAACAACCTCAAGGGAACCCTTATGCCGCCCAACAGACCTACACCGCCGTTCCCGGTATGGGTTCCAACTCCAACTCCAACCCTGCACCTCAAGTACAACAAGGGGGGTATTCGGCCGCGGGGGCTTATCAGCAGTATGGGCAGCAAGATGGGTATGATACGGTAGGAGGGAGGGAGCCTGTACAGCAGGTCGGGATGAACGGGGCTGGAGGGTCGGATTTCTGGGCCGAGGTCAGTCGGGTCTCGGGGCGCATGATGTCCATCAATGGACAGATGGAGTGTAGCAGGAAGAGAGCACAGGCTGATCGGGGTTTTGATTCGATGTTGGGATGACAGTTGACGGCGACGAATGCGAGCTTGAACGAGATGCAGGATGCGATCCAGCAGGTTAGGCAGGCTCACGTGGCCAGTCTGGTAAGCCACTCGAGCGGGACAGAACTTTCACTAATTGGTCGACCCGCTAACGTTTACGCCCGAAACCTGGTAGTCCCGCTTGGACACGACGCCCAACAGCGCCGCCGCCCGAGAGACCGACCAGTTGATCGCCTCGACCCGTCAACTCACCTCGTCCAACAAGAACAAGATCCAGGCGCTCAACAAGCTCGCCAAGGACAAGACTCAGAAGCAACAGGTCCAGGCTGCCAAGAGCCGGTTCATGGGCTTGTTGCAAGAGTATCAGACGGTGGAAAAGGAGTTTAGGAAGAAGGTCAAGGAGAGGGGGGAGAGGCAGTTCAAGATCGGTGAGTGCGAGGTGGGGATAGGGTGAACGAAGAGTCGATGTTGACACGAGATATTTTGGCGATGCTACAGTCAAGCCCGACGCGACTCCCGAGGAAGTCCAGCAGGTGCTCGAGACCGAGAACCCTCAGATCTTTTCCCAGGCGGTGAGTCTACAGTCAGGATGTCACACCCGTCGCTCTGGACCTCTTCGTTGACGTCGCTCGATCCCCTTTATCGACTGCTAGCTCCTAAACTCGAACCGATACGGTGACGCCCGGGGCGCCCTCCGCGAGATTCAAGAGCGAAATAACGACATCAAGAAGATCGAAAAGACCCTGACCGAGCTCGCGCAGATGTTCAACGAAATGTCCATGCTCGTCGAACAGCAAGACGAGACGCTCGCCGTGATCGAGAACCACGCGCAGCAGGTCGATACCGACATGGAGGCCGGGTTGAAACATACCGAAGAGGCCGTCGTAAAGGCGCGAAAGGCGAGGAGGAAGAAGTGGATCTGTTTCTGGATCTCGTTGTTGATCCTCGCGATCGTCGTCGCAGTCGTGAGTCCCTCGTCCCCTTCCCGGCCGGTGTTGCGCTGGATCCCATGCGCAATCGCGTCGACTGACTCCCGACCATCTGCCATACAGGTCGTCGGTGTCATCTGCGGTGGACAAGGGAAATGCTGAGCGGGTTCTCTATCGACGTGACACGGACGTTTTCTGCTATCCCGTATTTCTTTGTCTCTTTGACCTTGTTCTTTCCTCGGCTGCTCGATCCACCCATTCGGACTACGGGTTGGCCATTGCAAGCGGACTTCGGGTCGTGTCTCAGCATGGAAACCCTGGACCGGCTCTGTCTTGCTACACTCTACCTTACTTACTCTTGCGATCTACCTTTTTTTTACCGCCTTGTTTCTACATCTTGTCATCCCCGTACCATGTCATAGCTACGTATACCATGAGTGCCATTCTTAATAGACGGTCGAGACTGGAGAACTTGCGGTGGTGGTGTCGGATCCGAGACTTTGCACTTTGTAAACAGAACTTCGGTTTCGTCATCATCGCGACCTCGACCTAGAAGTGGACCGAACCTCGAGGAACGTCTCATCGACCTTGCGACTAGTATAGAAGAGAATCGGCTTCTAGAACATGACATGCGGTCATGTCATCCAACCTAGCACTTCCCGTGGAGATCTACCTCCCGATCTTGGAATACATTGACGATCTGGCAACGCTGGCTGCCCTATGCGGCGTCGATCGAGGCGAGCATTTCGGCGTTTTGAAGACACCAAAGCACGTCTGCTGATGCCAACCTGCTATTACAGGATTCTTGGACTTGGCGAGACGGAAACTGTACAAGTATGTCTGGGTCAGACCTTGTGAGTGCATCAGTCTATCGCATCGGGACAGGTCTGGCGAGTCTGATTCGGTCGTTGAGCGTCGATTTCGTAGGGGAGGCTGTACCGGAGCGCAAGGCGAGTCTTCAATGCTAATATTCAGGAACGATCGTTTCGTGGACTTATCGGGTCAAATGCTCTTGATCTTCCAGTTCGACGGCCTTTTCAGTACACTCTCGCAATCGACCGAGATTGCTGCCCTGGTCGAGAGGCTGGACGTCATCTATTACCCCTTAGCCAGCCGAAATGACTGGCCGACCATATGCAATCAAGCGCTCTCCAACCTGAAGTCGCTCACCTCCCTGACATGGACCAGGGATCGAAGCCTGGGATTCGAACACCTCGAAACACTAGCTAGCCTGGACCGCCTGACTAAACTTGAGATAAACGGAAATAGGTTGGATCTGAATCAACTTACGGCGATACAAAAGCTGCAAAACATCCGGGAGTTCAAGATGCATATGCCGGATAGTATGATGATCACGGCTCTTCCGGGAATATTGAAGACATGGCATGGTTACGGGGCTCCCCTCGAGTCATTCGAGATCATCACGAGAGTGAGCTTATTCTCTATTAAACAAGCTCGTCGTAACGGAACACTCGCTTCTCGCTGACGTTTCTTCGTAGGACGCCAGATATATCGATGACCGACTCATGATCGATATAGCCCCCTATTTGTGCAAACTCAAGGTGTTCAAACTATTCGGCTGTCGACATGTCACTCCGAGGGGATACTTTGCCGTGCTCCGGGAAGCTGGCGCAACGTTGGAAGAGCTCGGGCTAGAAGGCGTGACCCATGCGAGTCGCCTGTCAAGTAGACAAAGCTTTCGAGCATGAAGCTGATTTCATACTCTGTTTGGCAGGGTGATGACGAGGACCAGTTGGACGAAGATCTCTACCTAGAGAGGGAATCTGCCAAGACGGTCGGGATCCGATTACCAAATCTCAAACGGCTCTTTGTCTCAGAGACGGTCTTTCTGCGCTTACTTCAGCCGGACGATAGTCGACGAGAACAACTGTACGTCGAACGGGCTCTCGCTCGACATGGACCGAACGGTCTCAACCTGGCTTCGATCGAGCGGGACGATCGGAACCTCTCCCAGTTAGGGGGCACGTCGTTTTTGCCAGAAAGGCTGGAATGGCTTTTATTGTCCAGGGAGAGGGATTCTAGGGAATATCACCGGAGTGTCGAAGCGAGTGGAAGGTTGAGCAACATCGCACAGCTTTGGCCGGAAGGGTTGCAAAGGCTGTGGTTGTCACACCTGATCGTCGACTTTCGGGATCTGGATTTAATCGCCGACAAGCTGCCTGGACTCGAAACGTTGATGATCAGATTACCGCCGACGAAGTATCCAGTAAGTGGCCTGCCAAAGAATTCGGAAAGGCGCCTCATACTGACCAGACATAAAAAAATACCATACTGATAATCAGCCCCAGCGGATCGCCAAGTTCCTTCAAAAACTGCCAAGGCTCCGGGTGTTTCACCTGCAGATCGCGCCCGAGACGCAGACGATGTCGAACGACACGCTATTTAGCTTGGAGGACATGCAACTCATCGCCCGGGAAGCGGGACCTCAACTCGCCCAGATCGGGTTTTTCAATCGGATCTTCACGGTCAGACGGAAAAGAACCTTGACGACAGAAGTGGTCGAAGAGAGACCGAGGGCCTGGGCTCGGATCGACCCGCCGGAAGACGAACCGAAGGGGCCGTCTACGGTGCAGATCATGGTCGAACATGAGGAGGTCTACCTCGAGCCATGGCAAAGAGGATCACTGTCGGTGCCGGAGATCTTCCAGGTCTGGCGAGTCTGAGTCTGATAGAAGGGCTGGTATACTGTATCTTATTATCTGTCGCGTATCGTTGGGCGATACAGCCCCCAAGAGGAGATCGCTGGAGAGACTATCGCGTTCCGTTGTAACACTTACGCTGGAAGGGATGTCGTCGATGATCGGACGATTGGTAGCAACAGTTGAAGGTATGGCAGAGGCGATCGTGCAACCTTCTGTACAGAGTGCTTCCAACATTTGGCGTTTTTGGGGTCCAAAAGCAACAGCTGGCAGCCGTCAACAAATTCAGGCTCAAGTCTTGCCGAGACTGCCTTGTCGATCACAGTAGGGTCAAATTGCAATCGGTCCAGCAGAGCCGAGGCACGTGCCTCAGTCCCCATGTGATCAATCTTGTGCTTCATAAGAAACACGGTTGTGACAGGGCGAGGAAGGGGCTCGTAGGTCTTGCTTTGCTGGTAGAATTTATCCAGCTCGGAATGAGTATGGGGAACTCCAGTAACCGATCCTGCTTCAACCGGTTCAGAGAGAGCCAGCCGCTTGCCTTGTAGACAGGAGCCGTTGCCTTCGCCAAGGCTTGTGCCATCGCCGTGTTCACGAGCATGGGAGCTGCCTAGAGCATATTAACGCATGTATCCGTCATGGTCGCACCGCAAGGTGGAATTGTTCTCCACTTACAATCATCATCACACCACACGCATCACATCAGTACCTCTCGCAGATCAATTTCAACAATTGGCAGGGCCTCGAAGCTATCCTGAACGTCATCGGACGGCCAATTGCGGGACGCCCTGCTTTCCCGATTGAGAACCCCTTGTTTTTACCTGTCACGTCAACTGCCTCGTTACCCCTCTTCGCCGTTTCCGTCGTCATGAACCGTCTCGCAGCACGATCTGTCATTGTCCTCTGTCGATCATCGGCCGACGGCTCAGCCCAGCACGGTAAGCTTATCGCTTGATCGTTTCTATGATATATCTTTTGTTGTTGTTATCCCAAAGGATGGGGGTTTCACCTTGTTTTGTTCTCATTAGGTCTTAGCGCGAAATCGGATCGGCGCGACGATCATCGTCAATTGTGGTTTCGGTCGAACTTCTGCTCAACACAAGAGGCAGTGCTGCTTCTCGAGCTATATAGACGGACGGAGTGGTATGTTGAAAGTGAACCTGATCATATGGACTGGAGTGTCAATTCAACTCCTTCGAACCTGCCACGCAAATAACAATCTGCACAGACCTCAATACGAAAACATGCCCAAGGTAAGCTCCTGCCAAGCGCGACCGAACCAGAACCATCCACACTTCTAAAGCCACTTCCTGACCTCTCACAGCGAACTAAATCCGAAAACGACGAATCGGAAAATCTCCCTCGTAAACGTTCCCGAAATCAGGAGACGCACGCAGAGTGGCTCCCAGAACATCAACTCATCCTCGCCCGAGCGATCCAAAAGCTCGTCATGCAACAACGCACTAGCCTCTACACCGAGCCCGGGCTGGAAGCGTTCAGGGCGCACGGGAGTAGCAAGTTGGGGATGAAGGTGCAGCAGATGATGGATTCGTTTGACAAGGCGAACGGGGGAGATGGGACGGTGGCCAAGCAGTATGCCAAGGCGGCGAGAACGGGCAAATGAGGGGTTGGAGCGGAAGACGGAGGGGACAAGGGGTTCTCGTTGTAGTTTCGGCAGAGAACAATAGATTGGAATACGCTTCTATGGATGATCCACTATGCGAGACGTTGATCATCATTGTAGTGGGATTCTGGCTTGTTCTTCGATCCAGGTGTTCCTTGTGGTAGAGTGCCCTGCCATCATCGCCTTCGCCCAAAGTATACATAATTACATATACCTTCGTCGATCTTGACTCGCGCAAGGACACGATTCCCCCTTCCCTTTTCGTTACCCATCACTACCGCAACCCTCAACGACAAAGCCCGACATGCCTATGAAAGTGAGTCCAACAGATTACACGAAAGGCAGGAACCGAATTGAGTCATATGGCAACCGTAGCGATCAGCAAGTGACGATGAGCTCGAATCGACCCCGAGCCCTAAGAAGGCCCGAGCCAAGAAACCAGCAGCGGGTCAACCCTTCGAAGACTCTCACAAAGCGAGTCCACTTCCACCCCTTCGCTACAGTACCTCCTCATACCGCTGACACTCAGATCACCCCTCTCCTGGACTCAGACCGTCTTACTTCAAGGTATGATAGACCTCATCCTCGCCAACCGGAGCAACCTGTACGGGCTTCCCGGTCTGGAGGACGTCAAAGAGAACGGAGGGAGCAGGATCAACGGCAAGATCATGGTCATGCTCAAAGAATGGGAGAAGCAGAACGGAGGACAGGGGAATTACGCCGTCGAGGCGGTCAAGAAGATGAAGAAGACCAAGTAGGATAGGAAGAAGGGAATCTGATGGTGGAGGTGAGTGTGTCGGAATGCGAAGACGATACGTGACGGCGAAACTGAGCAGACTTGCATTGTCGTGCCATGTATTGTTGTTCAGAAACAAGTGGAGGTCCACAGTAGTATCATGTATATATCACCTATCGTCGCGTGTCGTAAAGTTGTCGTAAAAATCCAATCCGTTAATTGAAAGAACGATTCATTCGTTCCAAATACGCTGTCCATCATTCAAGCCGCATCCCCGCCCCGCTTCTTCTTCCACCCTTCGTCGCTTTCCCTCTTGTGCTCCCATTTCCGTTTCCCACCTGTCGCCGCACCCGTCTTCTCCTCCCCACCCGAGCTCGTACCGCCTCCACCACCGCTGCCACCAAAGTAACTCTCCCTGAGCTTCTTCATCGCAAGAGCGCTCCGTCTGTGCGTATCCGCCCGCTTCGCTTCCGCCGTGAGCGCGATCCTCCTCTCTTCCGTCTCTTTCCAGTTGCCAGGGACCGTCGGGATCCCCGCTGCCGATGCCGACAAGCCAGACCCAGCTGCGGCGGTCCCTGCAGAGGTATAAGTTGTAGCCTTGACGCTCTCTTCGGGATCCGTAAGAGGGATCACCGAGCTAGGATCGTTTAATGCGCAATGTTCGCAAGGCCAGTCTGGGTGGAGATGGCATTCAAACGTAGTTGACCCGATGGTGAGCCGGTCCAGGTGTTTCAGGGGGAACGGTGATGACGGAGTACGAGCGGGAGACAGTCGATGAGGATCCCCTTTGGCTCCGTCCGTGGAATTTTGGAGGAAGGTCCCATGCGTCGACCCGCAATCTACGATCCAGAACCTCCTTTCACCTATCGATACCCCAGACCCATCCACCCCCGACTCTTCCTGCACCTCGTCCTTCTCCGCTCCCGTACGCAGGATCTCTTCCCCCAGATGTCTCCCTCTCCAGCCGAACCAGACCGCCGCGTGGATCTTGCTCACGGCCAGTTCCTTCAGCCGAAGGACGGGGAGGGAGAGGTGTTTATCTCTACCGAGGATGTACCCTGACGGTCGAGCGTCGAGGATCGCAAGCGTCTCTGTCGTCGCCAGTGGCGAAGACGAGGATGGACTCGTGGTAGAGGAAGAGGTAGAGGGAGACTCGATCTTGACGAGACGAAGGGTGCTGGCGTGTTTCGTCGGTACGGCATTGCTTGTTCCAGGGATCGATTTAGGATTTACCGTAGGGCCTGAAGGTCCGGCAATATCATCGGATGTTGATGCTGCTTTCCCTGTCGTGTCCCCATTGACCGATCGGACACCTTTTTGGGGGATGTTGGGAGGCTCTTCCCCCGGCAGGACGAAATCCAGACCCCATCCTACATTCCCTATCCCCCCTCCTTCTTCCTCCTGCGTCGTCCCCTGCGGCTCCTTGTCCACGTCCTTCGACTTGTCCTGCTCAAGATCTGAATAATCGACCCTGGTCCGTCGATTCTCATCCCCAGGTATTGTTGATCCTGGCTGCACCTGTGTCTGTCCAACGGCACTGGTATCGATCGGAAAGTATTCCCACCCGTTCGGTCCTGGCCTTGCGTAGGCTTGTGAGCGGGCCGAATAGTAGGCTCCTTGGTCGGGATACCAGACCCAGTCCGAGGATGATGGGTCCATTGTGTGTATGATCGGACGTCGTTGTGAAGGTCAAGCTGGAAACCGGAAGGGTCTGCGATACTGAAAGGCTTTTATATTTGAGAAGTTGAATGGGCAGTGTTCGACTGCAAGTCACAGGATTTCGAAATCGAATATGCTTCCGGACATTCAGTAACAGAGGCACCCAAAACGCAAAAGGTGACGAATCCGAGGCTCGGATGACGTCTCGATCCGCTCGGAAGGCGTCTCGTTCCTGCTCGAATTTCGTACTCAAAGCTGCGTGCCAGCATGCCAGAAGCAGCGAGCATTGAAGATCTGGCTGGCATCGTCAGCTGGCAATGCGCTCCTGCTCGGTGGTCTGAAGATGGCCTCGGATTGTGTAGAGTACAGTTCCTCTCCCGCGGCATCGCACTGCTGCACAAGAGGCTCTTGGTCCCTCTCAAGGCGATCCTTCCAGGCTGAAAGTCGATCGTACTTGCCTTGGAGAGCCTTGTTTCTGCTCGTTTCGACCTCGAACCTTCTTTTGAACTCGGTCCCTCTTCCTCGAGCACGTCCCGCTCCCCTCGTACATCTCCCAGATCTTCTGCCAACATCTCAGCTCCCAGCTCCTCCTCTCTGAGACGCTCCTACAACTCTTTCTTTTGGGTTGCAACCTTGGCGTTTCTTCGTTGAACCTCATCCCAATAAGAAGCGCTATGGAGGAAGGTCTATTAAACATAGCTCTGCGATGTGGACCGAGTGTAGACTCACACTGAGTCGCGAGCTCGCTGCAGTTTTCCCTCGCCTTCTTAAAGTTTTCCCTTGAGCTCTGCTTTTAGGCTGACAAGGTCTCTCACAGACTGCGCATCTTTCTTGCGTAGTTCTGTTTTCGGACATTGAATCGTGGCATCTCTTTCCTCCCGCTGTTTCCTGACGTGGCCCACGGTCTTCTCTGAGCTGAATTACTTAAAGTATTTCATAGCCCTTTCATCATATTAGTCCTTCTTTTCGTACTAGAGCAAAATGCAACAACTTGGAGAATGGCTAGAATAGTGTACTATTATTTATTGATTTCTCGCAGAATCAAAAACCAAGATGGCTGATTTCGATCTCTCGAACCGTTCCCACCTCGACGTCTCGAACGCCTTAGAAGGCCGATTCCAACAACCACGCTCCGTCGATGACGATCTCGGCTCCGGTAACATATTGGTTCTACAACAGCCCATCCAATTCGCAAACGTGATCAGCTCTACATCCACAGGACACCCAATTCGGCATCCGGCAAGAAGAGCAAGAGAAAGACGACTCACGGTGATCGTCGAGATCACGCACTGCGCGTAATCCACCGCGTTCCCCGGTCGTCCGAACGGGATGCCCCAGTCCTTCTTGAACGCCTCCTTTCCGCCGGCGTCCGAGGTGGTGGTATCGGTCATCCCGCTGGGGAAGTAACCGGGCGCGATGGTGTTGACCCTGACGCCGAGGTCTCGACGGGCGAACTCGGTGGCGAGTTGGTGCGAGAGGGAGATGGTCGCGGCCCTGCAGGGTTGATCGCGTCAATGAGGTGCAGGCGGTTCGGATAAGGGCAGGCGGGCTCCTGGGTCTGGGAGGGAACTTACTTTCCGGCGTTGTAGTTGAATTGTCCCCGTTGGGACGTCTTAGTGATACCTGACATGGACTATATCCCGGACGGCGACACCGATAAAACGATTTTACCACCTCATCAGCCTCCACATCGTTCCCTCAACTCTTTTGATTTCGATGATGAGCGACATAACTTACCGAGATGTTCAAAATATTCCCCGGCTCAACCGCCCCACCCTCCGTCTTCGCCTTGGCCAACAACGGCAAGAAAGCAAACGACGTGAAGAAATAAGAAGCCGTGTTGATCCGATAAGTATCCAACCATCTCTCGAACGTGTCCGAGTACATCTGTTGAGAGAGCCCCTCGGGAGTCTGGGGGCAGGAGGTTATGTCGGGGTTTCCTTGGGATACGCCGTGGTCTAAGGGGTATGGGGGTGTGGATGGGCGGCGAAAAGTCAGCGGAAAAGTTGACGTTGTACGATAGAGAGGAGAACGAATGCGCCGATACTGACTGTTGATCAAGACGTTGATATACTTTTCCTTGCTCGAGATTTCGTTGACCATCTCTGTCCGAATCATACGCAAAGACGCCGCGGGATATCAGCACGAATTCCCTCTGGTCTCACCAGTCAACAGTCAACGACTCACTCTCGATCCCCTCCTTGGTCGCAGCATCTCCCTGAACAGCGTGCACGCTCCCGTTCCCCGACTTGGGCGTGGCCGTCTCCACGGCCTGCTGCAAGACCTCGGCTCGTCGGCCGGTGATGTACACCTTGGCGCCGTTGGCGGCGAGGGCGATGGCGGTGGTCAAGCCGAGTCCGGTACCTCCTGCGGAATCGAGTTGAAAGAATCGAATCGGAATGTAAACGTAAGTGATGGTTCAAACGATGTACGCACAGCCAGGATGAAAGACGCCTGGGGTGATAAGAGCTTACCTCCGGTGACGACGCAGACCCAGCCGTCGACGTTGAACAGTTTGGCGATCTGAAGCGCATCGGCTCCAGCGTTCTTGGCGAGGACGTGGGAAGACATTATGGTGTAGATGAGGGTATACAGAAATCGGTTTGTGTGGTAGTGTTGTGGATTATGAAGCAAGAAGTGTATCAAAGATCGAAGTGTTATTCAAAGTGTTCAAGTATCGAACCAGAGTGGTCGTCGAGAGAGACCGCGCTCGGATCGCGAGAACCGTGGACGACGCTCGACCGATCCGACTGTCCTCCGCGCCTCGGACCATGGTTACCCGAATCCCCCCGAAAATCCACCGAGGTCTAGGCGGTTCGGTTGATCTATGATCTACGTTCCTACGATGTATGATCAACCTGAACAGTCTCGACGAACCACCACGCCGCCTGAGCGCTATCTCAAGACAATATATGGAGCGTTTGTCGCACTGTGCATGAGATAGCAGTATAACTGTTTCGAGTTCGTGCTCGTCCTCAGCACCGCGGCATCGAAATCATCGGTATCAGGCTCATTGCATCCGTCGCATCTTGCAGTCTGATGCTGGTATCTCATGGCATATTGTCTCCTCCTGCAGCGTCTGTATCGTGAGACTCGTCCGTGTAATATTCTGAGTTTTGTGGGAATCGATAGAGGTGACTTTGAGATATGGAAAATGGTCCATATCCAGGTAGAGCTGGTGACTGTAGTCTACAGAAGGCGTTAAAGATCTACAAAGGCTCAGCAGAGCTGATTAAGGTGAAGGTCAAGCAGGCGGTACAGAAGTGGACAAACCAATGTCAAGTATGTTTCTAGACCGTTTGGTTTCGATCAGGTGAGCGGTGACTATACAACAAGTTTCTAAAGGCCATTGTGAACGTTCGTGGCAACAAAGCGTCGACCAAATTGCTCAAAGATCTTTGAGACCGTAGTCCTATGGAGGAGTTCTACACTTCCGCCTATACGTGTTGAGTCCAGATTACTCTCTCACAAGCATAACATGATTGCTGCCATACCCTCTTCCTTGCCCAACTGAGTTTGGCAATAGTCCGTCTGATCCAGAAGCTAGGGAATAAATCTCAAGTGTTCTGAAAAAAAGGATTGAGCGATCAATATTGGGTTCTGGGGTTCGTAGCAAGATACTCACTAGCCCATTGTTCGCAGTTTCCCTCGAATTTGAGAGGTTGCGTATACAGTATCTTGACGGCGCGGCCAGTACGGGACGCGACATCTACGGGACTTGCTCGAGACTGCTTCAACCGGCAGCTCAAGCGTTTGTCAGCATATGCACAGCTTACCGCCACCGATTCATGCCTTGCGGATTGAAGGCTTTGAAGTCGAATCTCTGTGCTATATCGCGCTCTTCGGGAGAAAGGGGGACAGGATGAAGCGCCGGCTGCGGGTGTTGAAATCCGATGAGTATCGTCTATCAGGGGCAGGAAACCGAGTTGAACATCGTGTCATCTGGGTACAAGGGGGACGCGTGATTAGTGCATTACTACGCCCTGTTGACCGCAGGATGACTTGAAGTGGGCTTCCCAGCTCGCAAGTCTCGGTCGAAAACCCTGTTCTTGAAACAAGTACGTGACAACATCGGCCTGCCTCGACCCCCGAACTGCTGAAAGCTGCGACTGTGTGACGTGGTGACGGTGTCGCGAGTCGCTGCTTGGGTCTGGCTGCAAGAAGAAGACTCCACCGGACGAACCGTCAATTTGAGGCAGCGCATCGAATGGTTGCCCACGACCAACACTTATCGCACCGTATGGGGATTCAGCAATGCTCACAGTACTCGTACAAAAATCAGAGGCAATGGCTTGTAAGCACACAGATGGCTATCGACATATCTTGGTATCGATCACTTGACTCGCAAAGTATACAGGAAAAGTAAGCACACGACTAGCTAGTCTCCGAGGGGATCTCATCGCATCTTCCGTTTCGAGACAATCATACAACTGAGCGGAGTCGTTACCCAGATAGAAGGCACCGTTCAGACTATGATTGACAATTGCTATATGGTATCAAAGTTGCTACATACTTGCTACATAACTCTTCAGTCTTCAGCCCAGCTGTAGCGGTTACTTCCTACGTATAATTTACTCTCGGCGAGAAGACCATTATCAGACCTTGTAACCTGGATACTGCCTTAGTACTTGTATCCACTGTTGTATTCTTCCATATAGATCGGCTCGTCCCATTCCGCTTCGGTAATGCTCTGTCCAATCCGCAGAACGAAGCTTTCAAAATCGACGTCTCGGTAACCTCTAGTGATAGGAGAATATCTCGACTCACGCTCCATGCGGCGAACAACATCGCTACAGCAGCCGTCTCCAACAGTGTCGATAGGAAGCCCGAAGTGACTTTCCCGTTCGAGGCCTGGGTTGGAGCATAAATACCCTCAGCGACAAGGTAAATACCGACGATCGGGTCACTTTGAAGCATCGCTAAAGTATCCGCTCACCTCGCATAAAGGCTGACTCGCTAGGAAGAGTACCGCCTGACTTGCCGCAAAGAGGAGAAACGACAATATGAACCAGAAACACGGTCTGACCTCCTCCAAGTGGTAGTAGACCACGTAGAGCATGATCGTCAGATACACAACGCTGGCGCTTTAGTGGTCAAGCAGATTCACGTCGTCAGTATGAAGCCGCCGCGTACGGAATCCGATCTCGAGCTAACGAGGACTCACAAGTACGGCCATAAGATGCTCAGCGTCCACAAGGCGATATTCCTCAACTGCCCTACTTCCGCTCTTCCGCTCGTCAACATGAACCATCTAGAGATTCCGAAAGCTTGATCAAGGGCGATGTAGACGGTAAAGCCGAAGAGGACGAGGAAGATCAGGCTCATAGGGATGATCGATGTTGGAGTTCCGTCACTTTCGAGTCGGTTCATCATCGTGAGTCTAGGGTCGCCCTCGAACAGGAGAAACAGCTAGATATGTAGAAAAGGCTCGGGCGGCTTACGGGACGACCTGTGTGGCGACGATCGCGTTCCCTAACAATATCCACATCATCCCCACGTTCAAGGCGACGTGGATAGCAGAAATGACCGCCAGTGCTGCGGAACCTTGTTCCAAGACGTTTGCCGTTGTGAGGATTCGTAGCGGGAGAGTCAAGGCGAACAGCTGATTCACATTCCCAATACACGAGAAAGTACTTCAGTCAGTCATGTTCTGACATGCCAAAGGACAATGGAGCAGTGTGGGCCTACGAGGAAGAAGTAAAGGATCTCGATCCGTCCTACGGCCGCTCGTCGTCTTATCGTCCGGAAGATGACAAACGACACGATCAGGAAACAAAAGATCGAGGTGATAAGTTGGGCTGCAAGCGAGATCCAGGTCGTACAGGGTCAGTTGCTAGTCCACCTTGCGATTCATAGTCTCAAAGGACCCACCGATATCACCCAGACTACCTTCCTGCCCCAAGCGACCGACATCGCATCGAAGCCCCACGCCCGTCCCTGCCCGATTAATAGCCCTTGTAGCTACAAGATCTTCCACGCTCGTCTCCGTCGTGATTGGCCCCAAAGGTCGTCCGTTTCCTATTCCGGTCACGTCCCGAAACGGGAACAACGTCGTAATTGCTGGAGGCGATGTGACCTTGAGCAGGCTTCGGAAGAAGAGGTTGCAGTGAGGCAGAGGGCCGGCTGTCGAGATCGACACGTCTCCCTGGTCCGACGCCCCGGATGGTGACGAGCAGAAGGGCGAAAAGGAGCCGTAAGGAGGTACCATGATCGACTCGATTCAGACTGGAATATCGTGTAACGAGCGTGTTCGCGATGTGACTAAAGGTTGTTTGGGTTTGCGGATTTTGATCAAGTTGCGTAGATGATCGGGTGATCGCGGGTTCGGGTAAAGAGCCTTTACGGTTCAACTATTCATGCAGTTATATAGCTAAGGGTGTAGGCGGATCCCTAGAGGGTTGGATATGCGTGAAGAAGTTGTCGAAGTCGTGATCATGCGATATGGTATGACGTTGAGTGATTATGAACCAGCCATCTCTTCCTTCCTTCCTTTGCCTCTTCGAGCGATCAAGCGAATACCAAAAAGTGGATCAAACTTGATTCATCAAAACTCGGGGATCTGCTGTTGTTTCGCCGTCAGATCGCCACAGAGATCAGAGCGGGCAGGACAAAGAGAGAGGGCATTGTATTCTTTCGCTCGATCGCTCTAAGCCCCGTACACGCGCGCACGAACGCTATTGTTCGATCAAGGGGTCAAATATGAAACGGTAAGAAAATAGCATCCGCGGTGTACGGCTCGTGCCGGCAAATTGGTCGGCAAGGTAGAATCTCGTTTTCGTGAAGATGTTGATTTTATGCTGTAATCATGGCGGCAACTTGCGTTACACGTTACACATCATGATTGTGTAGCCAGAGAATGGGGTCAGACCGAACTAGCGAAGTCTGACACCCTTTTGGGGGTAAACACGGGTAATATGTGCGCCTGCAACCAGCGATCGCGCATCAGCACCCTTCCAACTTACAGGGTTCATCTGACGGTTTGGCTTACCTCGGTATTGAAGACATTCTGATCAAGAGGCACGGTCTGACCATCCGAGAAGAGCAAGTAGAAGTACTCTACCCAAACGTAGATGACGTCAGTCCAGCAGTGAAACACCACATCCGCACATCCCAACTCACTAAGCGTCTCTGACAACCAAAACGTCTCCATCTTGTCCAACCTCTCGACCTGGACCCCGTTCTCCACATCCGCAATCCCGGCATACCCACCCCCAGGTAGACGGCAATACTTTTCAAACGCCTTGAACATCCTCCATCCTTGGTCCCGGTAGATCTGGTCCCCGGTAAGTCGGTAAGCGAGGAAGAGGGATTCGATCGTCTCGGGCCGAAGAATGTTGCGGCCGTCCAGGATGGGTTCATCTTGCCTACACGATCCCCGACCAAAGTGGACAATACGTCAGCCGATGTCTAGCAGATACAGTTTCTGTGACCTCTTGTCGGACTTACAACCCGTGCTTGATGTACCAGTCCAAGTTGCCCTTATGTGCCTTTGACTCGGCCGGCGACCTGAACATGACAATCTCCGCTCCCAACCCGGTCGGGTTCCCCTCGTACGTATTGACACAAGTCTCGATCAAGCCCTTTCCTGCAGCATAGTCGATCTGCTGCGAAGGAGTCAATCGAGACCACACGGGCTGATTGTTCGGGTAGGCGGAAGCTACTCCTAGTAACATCGATCCTCCGAGGAAACAGACGAGGTGGTCCTGCTTTGGTCGGATCATCCATTGCCTAAGCGTAGCAATACGTGATACATCAGCGACCATGTAATGAGAAGCTGATTCTCCCAACTAGAGCTCACGGTATACCGTCACGCCCTCTCTGAGGTCCGAGTTCGTGCGTAAACACGAGCCCCTGCTTGGCCGACCGGTTCATCAAGACCTGCTCAATGCCTTTCATAGATCGGTCGTACATCTACACGATAGCGAGGAAATATTTCAGCAAAATCCTTCCCGATAGAGCCGAAGACACTCGAAAGCCTACCTTGCGATATACGGGTTCCGTACGGTTCTATCACGGTCGCGAAGCCGGATCAGCCAAGGGAAACGCTTCTAAGCTGATAAGACTAGCGGACTTGCCGTTTGTATCCACTGCTTGAGCAAGTACTCGTAGTAGCTGTCTCCTCGTGACCCGAGCCTGATATCAAACAGGGCGAATTGCCCAGTCTGCGGACTAAACATGATGGAATCAGCATCTCAACCTGAACTTTCAGGCGGAACCCCCTTGATCTCCCTGACTCACTTCAAAAGAACCGGCGCGACCCCTTCGGCCGGCATCTGCTTATCAAGCAGCATCATAACCTGCTCCGCCTTTTCCCCATACAGAGGGTTCCCACTAATCTCGCTGAGATACTTGAACTCCAACTGCAGTGTCCCTGCTTCGGCCAGACTGCTCATCCCGCCATTATCCGCATCGGGGTAAGCTTTACGTGCGGCCAGGTCGATGAACGAGTAAGGGATGCCGGAGGGGGTGTCGAAGAGAGGCAAGAGCCTGTCGGAAAGGTCGAGAGCTTTCTCGAGGAAGAGACTGGAGTCGTCGTGGTAGACCGGGTTGGTATGCGTCGAGGTCAGGTAGTATGCGGATAAAAGACCGCCTAGGATCCGAATGATCGTCTGCAAGAGGCTTCAGTAGCCTCAGTATTTCCGTTCGCGCAGGATACCGATCAAAAACGCTTCACTCACCTCGAAACCGTTGACTTTCCCAGGCACGTCGAAGCTAAGCTCATCCTTGACCCAATCTCTGGCGCGCTCATACTCTTCGTCGAAACCCATCAAGAGGAGCGAGTCCAGCGAGTCTACGATGGTGTAACCCATTCCACGCTCGTTGCTGGTGAGATAGGACCCGGATTTTGAGATCGGGTGGTACTATTCAGTGGAAATACTGTTCAATTTCGGGAATCGGATTGCGATGTTGGTAACGACCAGCTCACTTCGTCGGCGCCCCAGGCATTTTCCTCTGTGATATCCGGACAGTTGGGTTCAGCAAATTGACGCCTGATCTCTGCCGGGACAGCTGCTCGTACCATATGCTTTCCAAGAGTGCTGATGGCGCATAAACCTTTGATTTCAGCTCAATACTTGTACTTCGCGAACCCAGACAAGAGCACTTACCGCGAACGCTTCCTTGACAGCATCCCGCTTTTCCTTGTCGGCCTCGATTACCAGCTCACTCGAATCGTCTACAGCAGGAAGTAGCTTTCCAATTTGATCCTTAGGTGGAGCCCAGGCTGGCCATCTGAATGGCAATTCCTTGACTTCGGCTGGGGTCGGGCGGGGTTGAGGGGTTTCTGATGAGGAGGTTGATGAGTATGCAGCGGACGTTGATGGCTTGGAGCTTGTTCGTGAATGTAGTCTTCCGAACAGAGTGCTGTAGTTCCATGCTCCATATAGTCCTCCAAATAGAGCTAGAGCTAGTAAGATGCGACCATAAAACCGCGAAGACCGGGTTTGGCTCTTCGCAAGCTAAATATGAGAGGCTGCCGTTCAGCGCATGGCCGAGTGGGATTCAAGGCGAGTATCCATGCCCACCTTTTTCTTCTGAGCCACTTTTTTCAAGAGGTCCTCCATAGCCTTGTTATGCTCTGCTGACGCTCCGGCCTTGTTGAGTCGCTGTCGGGGCTTTGTGACGCCATCCTGAACGGCCGAGGAGCTGCTGCTCATGATGCACAGCGATTCGCGAGTGGATCTCGGATGACCAGCTCTTGTAAACGGATCACAGACAGCTAGTATTGTGTTTTGAGGGGCGTATGTCGTAAGGGAGGAAAGGGTGGTGTCTGCTACGTTCTGACCTCTTGAGTTGCACTGAGCTGGCTGTGTGCTGCTCGCGAAATGACCGATCTCCCGAAAGATGACGATCGCAGCGGATTACCTAAGCACACACAGATGTAGAAATCCGGAGCCGAGGTGGACCACCTACCGCTGATATCTGGTTCAACATTCAGCTGCTCTTCTTCTCTCAACGTGCTCGTCCCGAATACGACGTTCGATCCTCGACTACAATAGAAAGCCTCCTCACGCTAGGGAATTAAATCGAGCTGCCGAGATGTCCAAACGTCCCAACGAGAATGGACAGCTTGGCAACGATCCCAAGAGGATGAGGAGGTGAGCTGAGACTTTCGAACTTGGTCGTTGAATGTCGTTTGACCGCATGGCTGATCGATTACCTTGACACTACCTTTTGACAATCTTAGTGGAGTAAGTTAATACTGCTATTCGATTATAGATGATTCGGTAGCGGTAGGGCTGATCAAGGGTATTCCTTGCTCTGCAGGACCCTCTCGCTGGACTTCCACCGGTTCCTACCCAAGTCGGAGGTGGTGCAGCTGCTCCTCGCCAGGCAGCTGGTGGACCTCCCGGTGGTCTCGATATGGCTGTAAGTAGCTCGGTTGCAGTGACTTTGGCTCTGTTTAGTACTGACGTCGTGCTCTGATTTTATAGGCAATTCGAGCCCAAATTGCAGCTCGTATGGCTGCACTGGGTCGACCGAACGCCCCGGCTTCAGCCTCACCTCAGCCTCCTACAGCAAGACCCGCTGCACCTCCCGCTGTCGCTGCAGGTAGTTCATCTTCCGATATCCAAGCCAGGATCGCGGCATTGAAAGCTCAGGTTGCAGCCAAGAATGCAACGATCAACCCGTACCTCGCTGGATCTACCGCTTTGCCACCTCGACCAGCGATGACATTGGCCTCGGAAGAAAAGGTCAATCCCAACATTGCCAAGAAGGGAGGACTGGCTTCTGTTCAAGCTCATCCTCTGTTGGCGGATATGAGATCGTCTGCACCGGGCGAAGGGACCGCATCGGCCGGAGGAGCCGGCAAAGGCAGACACAGTCGGGTTATGGCTCCCAAATTCACTTCGGTCGCCGCCAACGCTAGGCTCGCCGCAGCATCCCCTTCGACATCGCGGGGCGGGGCTTCACCTGCCCCTACCCGTTCCTCACTCATCGCACCTTCATCGAACCCTTACCTGACGGCGAGCTCCGTCGACCCGGATGTCGAACCCGATGTTCAAGCCGCCCAGAGCGAGATGGACGCCCTGGCTACGCGAAGACGAAAGGCTACCCTGCACTTCAATGCCAAAGGAAAGTACATCCAGCAAGCCGAAGAACAGCGAAAGGAAGCCAAGATGGAGGAGCTGCGTCAACGAATTGCGGAACAGAGCCGAAAGGCCGGTCTGGATTCCGAATTTGACGTGTTGGAGCGGAACATCAAACGACAACCTCCTCCAGAGATCGAATGGTGGGATGCGCCCTTGTTGAAGAATGCCAACTACAACGATCTGGATATGGGGGAAGAAGGAAAGTTGGTCAGGAGCGATGATAGTCTGGTGACGATCTACGTTCAGCACCCTGTACCGCTTCCGCCGCCGTTTGAGGGTAAAGCGGAAGAGCCTAGGGGTCTGATGTTGACCAAGAAGGTGGGCTATGATGTTCGATGGATCGCTTGATTCGACTTGAAGCTCATGGTTTCTCTTCCCATTTTAATAATAACAGGAGCAAAAGAAGATGCGAAGACAGCGACGAGCAGCGGAATTGAAGGACAAGCAAGATCGACAACGACTCGGTTTGCTACCTATGGATCCGCCCAAGGGTAAGGAGCGCTTTTTGATCGTTGTTCAAATTCTTAGACGCTTATCGTTCCGCCATTTGCGTATACAGTCAAGGTAGCCAACATGATGAAGGTCTTGACGGCTTCGGCTGTACAGGATCCTACAAAGGTCGAAGCAAGAGTCAAAGCCGAAGCTGCGGCACGAGTCAGGAAGCACGAACAGACCAACGCCGAGAGGGCACTGACGGACGAGCAGAAGCGAGAGAGACTCGAGCAGAAGAAGATCAAGGAGGAGGGCAAGGGGGTTTACGGTTGCGCCTTCAAGTGAGTCGAGCCGGTTTTACGATTTGATGACTCGGTGCTTACGTCGCGGATAACCCACAGGATAAAATACCTGGTCAATGGAGCGCACAAATTCAAGATCCGAGCGACCGCCGAACAGCTCGCGCTCCATGGAATGCTCATCTTTCACCCGGACTTTGCGCTCGTCTATGTCGAGGGTTCCGCGGCATCATTGAAAAAGTACAAGCGTCTGCTTCTCGTACGTATCGACTGGACAGAGGAAGCCCGACCAAAGAACTTTGATGGCCCCGATGGTATGGACCTGGACAACAACGACGAGGATGGTGAAGCGAACGGTCGGGCTGGTTGGCAGCCCATGCAAGAGAAACCAGAGTCGCTCGCCGACAACAAGTGCGAGATTGTCTGGGAAGGAGAGTTGCCACAGAAGAATTTCCGATCATTCAGGTACCGAAACGTCGAGTCGGACAGGGACGGGAAAGAAGTCCTCGGCAAGGGCAGGGAGGGTGTGTGGGATCTGGCCAAGAAGTGGATCTGGGAAGGTGTCGATTAAAGATCGATTAGAGCAGCATTTTCACGTTGATTGTGATATTACACGTCATGTCCCGCATTAAATTGATAAGCGGGAATCTCGGGGACGTCTTGAGCTTGAATTCAAATAGTTGAATCGTTTGACTTCTACTACTACTACCTCCACCGCTTATTACTGTTTAACTCGCATATAGAGATTGTACAACAAGACCAGAAAGCCAGTCAAACTCTACAAACTCATAAGGGTGTTGACCGGCACTTCACGAAACTTTACGAAACCCTTGCGGTGAAGCCGAGCACAGTCGGCTCGACCGCACCGTATTGCACGCGGAATAACGCTCTGAAACCGTCAAATTCAATGAATTAGAGAGATCGAGCCGGAACAGGTCACCCTCGACATCTATCGACAGACCTGACCTCGACCGAGGAGATAGACGACGACTTTCAACATGGCAGGTCCGGCTTCCACTTCCGGTGGTCAGCCGTCGACGGCGGCTCCGTCTCCAGCTCCTGCGTCTGCAGGACCAAAGTCTACGCCTGCCAATTCGACTGGGCGAGCACCTGTCGCAACCGGTTCGACTACAGGTCCAGCACAAACCGCAGCATCGGCTAGTGCAGAGAAGCCGTCCGTTCCAGGAAAGGTTGGTGGCGAAACCGTACAGCCTGTTCGGAAACCCGTCGCATTAGCGACTTCGGCCAGGGCTATCTCATCTGCGGCCGGGTCTCCGTCCACACCTACCAGCGCGAACACCTTGCCCAGTACGGCCAATGAGGAGGTCACCGAACGAAGGATGTTTAGGGAGCCAGGAAAGAGCTTCGGTGGACCCCTGACGAAGGAGGAATGCGAGTTTTGGTTGAGCAAGTTGCAGGACAAACAGCTGGATCTTAGCAAGCGAGCAATGATTGGTACGTCTATCGGCTACATACTCTTTCTTAATTGCCGCTTATTTTGATGGCATCCGCAGCCTCCGAGCTGAGGGACAGTGCCGATGCTACGCGGGACCCTGCGGTATATAGCGTATTCCTCAATACCCTCATCCCACCCATCACAGCAATGTTGCTAGAAACAGGACCTCCTGTCGTCTTTTTCAGGGAACAGCCAGAGCAGGTGAGCCCCTATCATATTCATACGCTAAATGGCGGTAAACTGACTGAGAATTCATCACGACGCAGCGCTTCCGAAACACGTTATTAGCATTCCTGCAAAGATTGCCACGCACTGAACCACTCAAGCCCCACGAATCATCCTTGATGTCGACCGCCCTCAGTCTGCTCAAGGTGGAGAACGAGGACAACGCTCTGCTGTGTATCAAGATCATCATTGACGGATTCCGTAGCCATAAGGTTAGCCTTCTACAGTCTCGAGCCATACGAAGACTCGTGCTCAACGTCCTTCTTTTTAGGAACAAACTGAGCAACACGTTCAGCCGTTTTTGAATCTGGTTAAGGAAATGTATGCAAATATCAAGGAAGTCGTCGAGAAGGAGTTTGGGAAACCTGGAACGGTCGAGGTGAGTCGTTCCCTCGCAGCGCATGATGACCACTGCGATTTATGCCCCCGTGATTTCATTCCTTAGCAGTCTGACGCTATGCAGGGTATCGAATCCGCCGCACCGATTCAGCCTCAAAGCCAGCCTGCGGCCCCTGCGGCGCCTGTTCCGCCTACTACCGCTCCTGCTGCGCCTTCCGCTTCTGCTCCTGCTGCCGGGCATCCCCTTTCTGGAAACTTCGTGCCAGCAACTCCCTCCAGATTGACTCCTCTGCCTCACGCTCTCCGATCGCCAAAAGTCTTGACGGAGTGTCCCATCGCTGTTGTCCTCATCTTTCAAAGCTTCCGACAAGTCATGCAAGGCGCAATGAAGGACTTTTACCCCTTGGTTATGGATAGCATCGCCTTGCAACCGGAACCCCAGAGGAAGGCTTATCGGGCTGCCGAGGAGAAGGGTCAGATCTTCACCGGAGTCGCCGAGGGAATTCACAATCGCGAGATGTATACCGAGATTATCAAGGCTCAGGTCAAGGTATGTTTGCTCATCGGTCCATTAGTTTTGCGCTACAGCTGACCCGCCCGCTCTCAAAGACAATGGCTTTCTTGGCCTACGTGTTGAGGGGGAGCATCGATAATATCCGTAATTACCTGGATATCTTCCCGGAAGCCTGTGTTCGACTCTTACGTGATTGTCCGCCCGAGGATGTGGCTACCAGAAAGGTGACTACGATGTATCAGGAGCATAGGCAAGGTCTTATACTCACGTTGTCGTTTGTCAACAGGAATTGTTGATTGCAACGAGGCATATGTTGTCGTCGGATTTCCGTACCGCTTTCGTACCTTTCATCGATATGCTTCTGGACGAGAAAGTCCTGGTAGGATCCGGTGTCACCAGCCGTGAAGCTCTGAGGTAAGACGGCAAGCCCGGCTGATGACCACTGGCGAAAGCTTACCTCGTTGCCTGTCCTTTCCTCCAGACCTTTGGCGTACAGCACCCTAGCGGACTTGATCCATCACGTGCGAAACGATCTGTCGCTTCAACAGCTCGTGCGGGTCATTGCAGTCTACGCCTGCATCAGTCACGATAGCACGTTTCCTTTCAGCATACAGACGATGTGCAGCAAACTCACTCAAGCGTGCATCGAGTCGATCTGTAACAAGGGCGACAAAGCGGAAGCCATCTCGATATTGCAAGGCGTGTTGTTGACCACGGTCGAAAAGCTCAAGGCGACGTACAAGGCCTTTGATCGGATGAAGCAAGCTTCTATACAGGACAAGGGCAAGAGCAAGCCCATGGAAGAGGAACAGATCGGTCGGCAAGGCTTTGATGCTTACGATTGGCGGAGCATCGAAAGAGCGATGCCGGTGCTTACTGTAGCATACGCTTCGGATAGTCTTGATACCTTCGTGAGAGGTGAGCAATGACTATCGACGGCAACGATCAGCGTTGCTGCATACTCAAACCTTTTCTTGTCGCCAGATGCCAAGACAATCCTCCGATCCTTGTTCAACACCTTTCGCTCGCTCTTCAACAACATGCGAGTCATCGATGCACCTTCTCCTCAAGGCGACATTCTGGGCGACCTTTTCCGCTATGGTGTACTGTCTCTTCAGATCTACGAAGGTGGAAGGGATACGAGGGAGGAGAAGGATGCTATCGAGCAACTCGGTATGGTCTTGATCTGTTTCGAGCCACACGTCTACTCGGAAGTCTGGACGAGCAACCTCAGCTTTTACTGCAAGCAACTATTGGACGGTCCAAACATCATCACCCTGTTGCAGAACATGCTGGTCAACAACGAGGTCTCCCATCAGACCGTTGGCATCTTGCTCAAACATCTTATGAACAACCTCGAGTCGGTCGGCACGCAGAGCAAGATTGAGGGTGCTTTGACCCTGAAACTGTTCAAGCTATCTTTCATGGCGGTCAATCAGTTTATCGAACTCAACGAGCCGGTCCTGGTGCCCTATTTGTCCAAGTTGATCATCGATTCCTTCGCCTACGCAGCGAAAGCTGAGGACCCTGCCATTTACTATCAGGTCTTGCGGGCCTTGTTTCGGTGAGTCACAGCTGGATGTGGCGTCATGACAGATTATTAAGACCTCTTGTTGGATATGCCTAGTTCGATCGGCGGAGGTCGATTCGAAGCTCTGTACAAAGAGGTCTTGCCAATCTTGGAAGAGATGCTGGAAACGCTCAACTACCTTCTGCGGCATGCAGAGCCTTCCAAACGGGATTTATTCGTCGAGCTCTGTCTAACGGTTCCGGTGCGACTCACCAATCTGCTACCGCATCTGGGATACCTCATGCATCCTTTGGTCCATGCACTCAATTCTGGACCGGATCTCATCAGTCAAGGTCTTCGAACTTTGGAACTCTGTATAGACAACCTGACATCCGAATTCCTCGACCCAACCTTGGATCCGGTCCTTCGCGAGTTGATGACTGCGCTCTACAACCTCCTCAAACCGGTGCCGTTCAATCATCAGCAAGCGCATTCGGCTGTCAAGATTCTCGGAAAGCTGGGTGGGCGAAATCGAAAGTTCGCGCAAACGCCTTACCTACTGGAATTCCACCCCGTCTCTGAGGACATTGTGCTTCAATTCGATGTCGAGGGTCAACAACAAGACTTCCAGATAGCTTCATGGGTTGAGCTCGCGGCGAGGCATGTTCGCAATCCGGCAGCTTACAACAGGGAAAACGCGGTCACTTTCCTCAAACAGTGCTCGTTGCTCTTTGTTTCCAGTCGATATCACTCGATTGAGCAGGAGCCAGTCTTACGGAACGTGATCAAAGGCCTGTTCGAAGCAAGTATCGTGGAGGAGCAGCATGACGACGTTGTGGAGCACATCCGACTGTTAGCACACGAGGTCTTTAGACTCGAACTACAGGAGACTGCTCGGAAACAGCCGAAGGCGGGCAAGAGATCTTCTCTGTCTCTTCGACCATCCTCTTTCATCCAAAGCATCATTCTTGCCATGGCAGACGGGATGGTGAACAGCGCCGAGCGGATGAAAGAGCTATTCGAAGTCATTGTGAAGGACCTCCTGGCGCAAAAGAAGGAGGCCGACGATTCTTCGGACTCGACGTCCAAAGATAGTGGTAATATCATGATTCAGATGCTCTTTTCACGGTCGTTTGGCCTGTGTTTCGAAGAGGATTGGGACCGCAAGCTTGCTGGGTGTGCTGGACTCGATATCCTCCGGAAGCAGGAAGCGCTCGAAGGCAAATGGCTCGCCGAGTCTCGGAAGCTCGACTATGTTCGAGGACTTTTCTTTGTGCTTCGCGACGCGCCGAAGGACACGCCAAAATCGCTCGAAGAGGTAGCATCGTTGCTCAAGGACGTCATTCGCCAAAGCAGCGTGGATCCACAGGTCAATCCGAGCTCGATGTCAAAGCTCATCGACATGCTCGTGCTAGAGCTTCCCAGTCAGAAAACGGCTGTGCGAGATGCAGCCAAGGAATGCATTGCCATCCTCGCCGAAATCAAGCAAGTTTCCGTTTATGACCTGATCTCGTCTTCTGCCAAGGAGCGATTGCTGGACCCAGCTTCTGGCCCCATATTCAACAAGCCGCTAAGGGCACTGCCCTTTGGGATGCAGATCGGCAATATCGATGCGATCACTTATCTACTCAACCTGACGCCGAGCTTGCCGGAAGTGAACGAGGAGCTGAACCGCTTGTTCCACGAGACGATCGCGTTGGCTGATGCAGATGATGCAAGCTTGATCGGCCGGCAAACTCATCACGCATTAGAGGTATCTCTACGCTCCTTGCGTGTCGCTTGTCTCAAGCTGCTATGCGCGGCGATGAACTGTGCAGAGCTTTTCGCCAATAATCAGAGCTCTCTCCGATCAAGGTATGAGAAGGGGATGGCGCTCTGAAAGCTTATCCAGGCTAAACACGTTACCTCGCAACAGAATCATCTCTGTGTATTTCAAGCACATGTACTCGAGCTCTCCGCAAATCGTCGAAGTCGCGCACGAAGGCCTCAAGCGAGTATTGGCAATCCAGACCAAGCTGCCGAAGGACATCCTGCAAACCGGTTTGAGACCGATCCTAGTCAACCTTGCAGACGCACGGCGATTGAGCGTTTCTGGTCTCGAGGGTCTGGCGCGGTTCCTGGAACTCTTGACCAATTACTTCAAGGTGGAAATCGGGGTCAAGCTGTTGGATCATTTCAAAAGCCTTGCCGAACCGGCGATGCTGACAAATGCGGCGGCACGGCCATACGAAGACAATCAAGACATTGCAAGGATGGTCCGACTGGTCAACATCTTCCGCCTACTCCCTCCTACGGCAAACACCTTCCTGAGAGATCTCACGGAATACGTTTCGGATGCCGAGGCCAAATTGTTGCAGTCACGACCGGGGCCTTTTACCGACAACTTGGCCTTGTATTTCGACAAGTACCCTGTCGACGCCACGGCGTTCCTCTTGGACCGCTTGTCAAGCCCACAGTTGGTCAGGACCTACAGACATACGCTCGAGTCCGGTAAAGCGCCGAACTTTGTTGCAGAGCTATCAGATCAAGCGGACAAGCTGTGCGAACTCTGCTTCCGGGATCAAGACAAGCTTCATCTCGTACTCCCGGGCATTCAGATAATCGACGAGTTGTCCGCTACGTCTGACGACTGGTTGCTCAAGCATGTCGACGTATTGCAAGCGCTGGTATCGGTCTGGCGCAACCTGGTGGCTCTGTCGAAAGGTCCTCGCGAGGAATCCTACTCGCGAGTCTTCAGCCAAGAGCCTACTGTGATCCTCCGGATATTCATGCGTTACCTGGAAAAGCACGAGGACATTGAGCTGCTCTTCCACGTCGTCGAGGCATTCGAAATACAGTCCGCCGTGGACCGATCTGATGTGACCGATTTCCTATACCGGGAAGTTGCTGCCAGCAATAATCTGCAGTTCAAGCGAAACGTATTCACCCACTTCTTTAGGCTTTACGAGAATCCGGATGTCAGCTCGGCCTTCAAGAAGAACGCCCTCCGGTACATCGTCAATCCCCTTCTCTGGCTGCACTACTCGAGGCGGGGTCTTGCCACTAAGAACGAGAATATCATTGTCCAGGGCGTCCCCGCTCAAATCGCTTCTACTATCTGGCATCCTCTCATCAGTGCTCGACACGGTGGCGAAGATAGCCTGCACATTGAGCTGCTTCACATGTCGGCCATTCTCGTTCACTACTGCCCAGACGTCGTTGGCGAATTCCGCAAAGATATCATCATGGTCGCCTGGGAGTCCATCAAGAAAGCGGGAGATGCTACCGTCAAGCATATGGCTTACCTTTTAGCCGGTCGGTTCTTCAACGCTTTCGAGTCACCGCCGAACATTGTGCGACCTACCTGGCATGGACTTTTGCGAGTCAAAGAGACGGAAGGCAGAAACCTGTATCGACAAGCCATCAACCTCGTGGCCCGCTGTCTGCCTAAAAGAGATCCGCCACAACCGAATCAAATCAGCTGGGCGGCAGCCACCAAAAAGGTCTTGACAGAGGAGGGCAATGCCACGCCACAACTCGTCAGCGTTTGCGAGCTACTTGTCGGTAATCCCGACCTGTTTTACAACAGCCGCGATCTCTTCGTCAGCCTGATGGCCAACTCGCTCACGAAATTGGGATTCGTCCCTGCTGCGACTGCCGACATGAAGAAGCTGACGATAGATATCGTCGAGCTGATCTTCCGGTGGGAACGTCGCCGTCTGACCGGTGGCTCCCCTGTCGTCGAGGTCGAGGTCGAGAAAGGGGAAGATACCAAAAAACGGGCAGGCTCTGGCGAAAATCCTGATCCCAAGCGTCAGAGGACCGATGCCGCTGGTTCAGTCGTGTCACAGCCCGCTACATCGTCCACTCCCAGATCCACCTGGGAATTACCGGTACACGTGCGGGAACTCATCACGAGTTACTTGGTTCGGCTCGTCTCGACGTCACCCGAGAGCATCAGTCGAGGGGGTTTGACTTTCAGAGCCGTGCAGTTATTGAGGGAAATCATCGGTCCTGATGGTTTGCCGGGTGTAACGGTGAAGCTATCCTTTTTCCAGAGGACCATGGCCCAAGTAAGTCGCTTAAAGTGAGGCTAGAGTTCACGAACACTGACTATTTGACCGCTCCCTGGTAGGATATCACCGAATCTAACTTCATCCAAGTCTCCAACTCTTGCGAAGTGATTGCTATCGTTGCTAACAGCAAAGATATGGACTGGATCAAGGCCCACCTGAGCACCTTGATGAAGTTGTTGGAAAGTGCCGTACTCAGCGATTTCTCGCCACTGCACGACACGCTGCGGCCTCTATTGGAAAGGATGTTCCAATGCCTCCCAGCGCCCGTCGAGTCTGGACAACGCGCCGAGTCGGTGAACGACGATGTTACTGCCTTCCATCAATGGGCAGAGAATATCGCTCAGAGTCTCAACAAACCGGACAAAACTCTTACCGCCAAGGATCGCTTGCAAGGTCCCTTGTTCGTTCTGCAATGCTACATCAAGAGCCGACCCGAACGACTTGCAGCTTCCGCGGGGTCGGTGGTCAAGCTCATTACCAAGCTGACACTCGACTTGACTGGAGCCAATCTACAAGCGAGCGTCTACGAGAATGCCCATCGTTCAGCGATCGCTATCATGGAACTATGCCGCGGCCACTTGGCACAGTTGGGCGATCAACGAAGACCATACCTCGGCGCTCTTCATCACATGATAGAGCATTGCACCAGCATCCCGATGTGCCGATACATTCTGGACATGCTGCGGGATTGGACACTGGTCAAGCAAGACCCCTTGCCAGCATTCAAAGAAAAGGCCGGTCTGCTCAACCGCATGATCACATATGAATCCAGAAGAGATGAAGCATCAGGCCTTTATCACGATTATCTGCAGTTGATTCTGGACATCTTCCAGGAGCCATCGTTGGCTCGTTCAGACCTGACAAATAGGCTGGAGGGTGCATTCCTGGTTGGAACTAGATGCGGCGATCCGATCCTACGCTCGAAGTTCATCGCCATGTTGGAGAAATCGCTCCCGACAGATGTACCAGGCAGGTTACGGTTCATCTTGGCTACCCAGAATTGGGAACACGTTGCAGGCACGTATTGGATGACTCTCGCCACTGACCTACTGTACGCCTGTATTGAGCGATCGCAGCAACCGATCGAGGAGCCGGTACCTCAAGCTGAAGGTCAGGCCGTGCTGGTCACCGCATTGGACGCACGCTTGCTCATCAAGTCTTTCCGAGCTCTCCTTCCACTGGATAACGCGATGGTGGACGAAGTCTGGGCGACTGCATTCCAGGCTTGCTGGTCATCTCTTGAAAGGCCCATCCAGGTTGACGTGCAAAGATGGTTCACGGGTCTGATCTGCAAGGAGCATCACATGGAACAAGTCGAAAAACGCCCGAACGGAATACAGACCCTCTTCCGCGGAGCCTTGGCTTGCGGTCGTGCATTCCTGATCCCACCCTTGGTGATCAAGTATTTCGGAAAGACCTTTGGCGCCTGGCATACGGCTATGGAACTTTTGTCGATGGGTCTCGAGCAGACCGATGCAGAAGATCTCCGGGACGGCTGCGCCGACGCATTGACTGAAATGTATGCGGAACTCAGTGAAGACGATCTCTTCTACGGTCTCTGGCGCCGTAGATGCTTACACGATGAAACCAATGCCGGTTTGGCTCTAGAGCAGAACGGTCTCTGGCCGAGGGCGCAGGAGGTTTACGAGCAAGCTCAGATGAAGGTCAGAAACGGCGTCATCCCTTATACCGAGAACGAGTACAATGTCTGGCAGGACCATTGGATCATCGCAGCACAAAAGCTGCAACAATGGGACATTCTAACCGATCTCGCTCGGCACGAAAACAACCACGATCTCTTGCTGGAATGCGCTTGGCGGTTATCCGACTGGGGCTCACAGGATCGGGAAATGATCGAGAGGACTCTAGATGCCGTGTCGGACGTGCCGACCCCTCGTCGCAAGGTATTCCAGGCCTATACGTGCTTGATCAAGGCGCATACCGGGCATGAGGATCCCTCGAATTTCCTTAGGGTCCTGGACGAAGCTATCCAGCTGTCCATGAGAAAGTGGTGTTCACTCCCGACACAGCTTTCTGCAGCACATATTCCTCTCTTGCAGATGTTCCAGCAATATGTCGAGCTGCAGGAAGCTGCGGGTGTCTTTGAGAGCCTTTCTCAGACCAATCGAGAGACGCTCGAGGCACGTGTGACCCAGGACTTGAAGCCCATCTTCCAAACCTGGAGGGAACGCCTTCCAAACTTCTGGGACGACATCAGCGTTTGGAGCGATATCCTCGCCTGGAGGCAGCATGTCTTTTCGGCGGTGACCAAAGTCTACAGTCCTCTCATCAATGCCAACGAGCCTGGTACATATGGATTCCGCGGATTTCACGAGACCGCTTGGACGATCAACAGGTTCGGCCATGTCGCACGAAAGCACGGCTTGTCGGACGTTTGCCTAAGCGCTCTGGGCAAGATTTACGCCCTGCCGAACATCGAGATTTCTGAAGCCTTCCTGAAGCTCCGGGAACAGGCGTTATGTCTCTTCCAGCGACCAGAGAGATTCGCAGAGGGGCTCGAGAGCATCAGCACAACGAACCTGATGTACTTTGCCAACAACCAAAAGGCCGAGTTCCTGACCTTGAAAGGAATGTTCGTCGCCAAGCTCGGTCGTGAACACGAAGCCAACATTGCCTTTGCTCAGGCCGTACAGGTCGATCTGAACCTTCCAAAGGCATGGGCAGAATGGGGGCGATGGAACGACCGTCTCTTCAAGGACAGGCCGATCCGTCCGCCCGAGCAACCTGAGCCTGAGCCTGGCAAGCCACGCGTGTCAGAAATGCAATGGCAGCAGAGCTATACTGCCGAACGCATGGGCTTCGCGGCTAATGCGGTGTCATGTTACCTACAAGCGGCTGGACTTTACAAATCGGCTAAAGCACGCAAGCTCCTGGTTCGAGTATTGTGGTTGCTGGGTGTCGACGATTCGATCTCGACAGTCTCGCGGGCATTCGAGTCATACACAGGCGACGTAGCGATCTGGTATTGGATCACGCTAATTCCCCAGCTCTTGCTGTCCCTGACGCATCGCGAGGCACGTCACGCACGAAACATCCTGATGAAGATTGCGAAGATGTTCCCTCAGGTGAGTTGACTCTATGCCTTTCTCGCACTGCACAATCTCACTGACTATATTATTCCTGTACAGGCTCTATTCTACCATTTGCGAACGTCGAAGGAAGACTTTACGCAGCATCATCGCACTCAGACGCAAGCCAGAAGAATGGCCGAAGCTAGGCGAATACAACAACTTCGACAGCAACAGCAACAAGCGCATCAGAATCAACAACAGCAGCAGTCTCACATTGCGTCTCCCGTCCAACAGCCAGACAGGATCGTCGAGATGGAGGTCGATCCTCAGGAGAGGCCCAAGCCCACCGAGGCGCCCGTTGTCAAGCAAGAAGCTTCCGAAGTTCGAAGCGCGCCTTCTGGCGACGCTTCGGAGTCCCGTACGCCTGTCACGGCATCCGCCGATGATTCAAGCGCCACTGCTGCTGTGAAGCCAGAAACTGCCATTTCTGCGACGGATAGTCCTGCCAACGCGAACGCTACACCGCAGATGCCTAGCAGCATCCCTCACGTGAACGGGAACGTTCAACAGAATTCTCAGTCACAATCGGGCACAAATCCCGCAGTCCTTGCGAACGTGCAGGCGGTCATGCAAATGTCACGTCAGCCTCAGGAATTGTTAGAGGAGATTCTGAACATTTTGAAGACTGCGTTCCCCTTGCTGGCATTGTCGATGGAAAAAATGGTCGACCACATCAACGTACGCACCAAACCCCCGATCGAGGAGGACTGTTATCGATTCCTTTCGGCTTTGCTCAACGAAGCGATCGCTACATGGACCAACAAGGGGAAATACAAAGACGATAACGAGTTGATTCCCGCTCATATCCGCGACAAGGTTCGGGCGTTCTGCGCGCAGACGAAGCACGACCTTCGTCAGGTCATGTACGACCAGTTTGTTTCGCAACCAATCACGCTGCGGGAGTACATCATTAGGCTACAAAGATGGCAGGAACGATACGAAAAGGCATTGGATGCACGACCAAAACGAGAACAGCTCGATCATGGGGACTGCCTATTGTCGGATTTCCATCACAGCAAATTTGATGATGTCGAAATCCCGGGTCAGTATATCGAACACGTCGACAATAACAGTGGATTTGCCAAGATCACTCGGTTTGCGCCAACCATGGAGGTCGCTCGCGGATTCTGTTACTACTTCAGGCGAATTACTATCCTGGGGACGAACGGACGCTCGCACACATTTGCGGTTCAATCGCCCTCTGGACGTCATTGTAGACGAGAAGAGAGGTTGACGCAGCTTTTCCGAATTCTTAATACCGTGCTTCAGAAGCGAAAGGAGAGCAGAAAGAGAAACCTGTCGATTCATTTGCCAGCCGCCATTCCCTTGACGCCGACGCTACGCCTGGTTACGAGCGACAACAGCTACGTCAGTTTGCAGGATGTCTTTGACGAACATTGCCGAAGGATGGACATGGGTCGTGACAAACCGACGCTCGAATTCATCGACAAGTGGCGTCAGATCTACGTGCCAAGCGAAGTGAGTCAGACGTGTCGAATCGATGCAGCCACGGGCGACCGCTTATATAGACATTTTGACAGACTCCCGATCGAGATCAGCATACCATTGAGTACAAGGTCGCGAGAATGGAACTGGTCGAGGAGGTTGCTGCGAAATACGTGCCTGAGAACATTTTGACAAACGTAAGAGCCTGAGTAACGGCGTGTCGTCTCGAACCCACACCATATTGATACACCCTGACTTCTTTGCAACAGTACATGATTCGCACAATGTCGAACCCCTCTTCCCTCTGGCTGATGCGCAAGCACTTTGCCTTGCAAACGGCCTCGACGATATTCCTCTCTTACATCGCCTGCTTGAGCAATCGCAACCCCAACCGATTCCATTTCAGCCTGAAGACGGGATTGATTTTCATGACCGAGCTATTTGCATGTGAGTTTGACTGCGACCTGTCCAGCCGGCCAGACAAGCTGACAATTGCTATGCTGTCCAAACCCAGCCTTCGATACGCAACGACCTGGTCACAAATCGCCTGACCCAGTGCCGTTCAGACTGACGCCGAACATGCAACACTTTATTACGCCTGCTGGAATCGAAGGGCTGCTTACGTCTGGAGTCATGGCCATGGCTAGAAGCTTGTCGAATCCCGAATTTGACCTGGAGAGCTCGCTTAGTCTCTTCTTGCGAGACGAGGTGCGTTCAAAAGTCCTTGTGGTGACTCGATGCGATCGCTGACGCCGATCCTGCGATACAGATTTCGCTATGGTTCACCATGTACGGCAAAGCAAGCGACCATCCGATTTCCGTCCTGAACTGCAGCGCGGAATGGGTGCAAAGATGCAGCGAGCTGGCCTATACCGGAGATGCGGCTGACAAGGTGAGCTCAGTGACTGCAGGCATTGCAACATTTTTCTCGGGACTGACACAGTCGCCATTGACGTGTAGAACGAGACCTTGCCTATCACACAAGTCATTACAAGCCTGATCTGCCAGGCCACGAACACACAACTTTTGGCTCTTACGTCGCCAGACTTCCAACCTTGGTTCTGAGCGACTTATACCCTTCTTTTTGGACAGAATATCCCTTTCGATTTCGTACGGTTGTAGCATATTAGACTAATATAGCGCATATTGATTCATCATGTGATGTACACTCGATCCACGCTTATACGCCTGTGTTCAGCGTTACTCGAACCTCTCCCTCATCAGCTCGATTCCGTTCACGCGGAGCCTCCTATCGGCATCTAGATCCGTCGTAGCTCGGCGTGTTTCGTCCACCAGACCGGAAGGCCCACAAACCGCCACAGCACAACCTCGCGGGTGGGCTCCGGTCGTGGCGTTGAAGTCTAAGGAGGAATCGAGGAGATCTTCGAGGCAGCGCAGCATGTCCGGCCTCCCTTGAGCGATGTTGATTCGCGATCCCGATCCGCAAGACCATTTGAGCTGGGGCTCTGGGTTGAATCCGCCTGCCATGGTACCGGGCAAGGCAAAAGGCGCGTTCATCTTTTCTTGAGTCGACGGGCTCAGCAGGTCGATCGGCCCGTGGGCGGGTGCCCTAGTGACGTAGATCTATACCGCTCGATTAGTTGTTGACTAGATGTGCGTACTTCCTGATCAGAAACGTACCTGTAATCTGACAGCCAGTGGGGTGTGTTTGACATCCTCGATAAGGCTCTTCAGTGTGTGCATCCAAGGTCGCGCCGCATCGGATGTGCGAACCACCCAGACGATATCCAGATGAGTAGCTCGGACTGCGCCTTGAGAAGAAGCTTTGTTCATCAGATCGTGCGCCATGCCTGATGTTGCGAAGAGAAACGTCAGCAATGCGATCCCGACCATAGTACTCGGCGATGTCGCTAACCTAGAGTGTGGGAGATTCCCGATCCACCTGCCACCTGGCGCCATGTTCGGAAAAGCAAAACGCCCGAGTTTCAACGGCGTCTTCACAATGGCCCGTTCCAGCCGCTCGTGCTTACCAGCATTACGCAAGAAAAGGCTGCGAGAAGTGTATGGCCAACACCTCCGTACGGTCCCTCGATCGCAACCTTACAACGGAAGGCTGCGCCTCGCGCCATCATTTCGGCATCGTTCTTCATCGTTAATTCCCACAGTGCGCGTGTCCAGTCACCGGTCTATGCAAATAGCCATAAGCGCTATCCAGGACGTACCCCTAGCGTAATAACTCACTCTTTTCACAACCAACATCAGCCCGGCGGTGGTGTTGGGAGCACTGGCAATCGTGAATGCATGACCTTCGAGGAACTGCAGGCCCTTTCTCTTTGGCTGAGAAGCGGGTAAAATGAGAACTTCATCGATGCACATGGATACCGTCGATGACTGACCAGTGCGGGTACCCTAAGGATAACGTGTTGACCAGCTCGCCATCCGGTCTTGATCGATGGTACGGATACCAGAATCGAGTCGGTTCCAGGCAAAACCCTGAGCTCTGCGGTAGCCATCTTCGTCTTGAGAATACGACATAGAAGCTCCACACCGTAAAGCCCTGCTCCTGCCAATACGTAGGGCACAGCTTCAGGGACGTGCATACCCAGACCCAACAAGAACCCCACGAGCCCGATCACGTGCGAGATCATGAAGACGCTGTAGAGACGCCTTCTTACGACAGGGATAGAGGTGACTACCATGAAGGTCAACCCTGCAGCGGCCGTCATTCCCCAAACGAAGGCGGGCTCTTTGACTTTTGATAGGAAGATCCCGGATTTTCCCCACTTGTAGCCTTATCGATGGCGAGAGATTACCACGAAACATCAGCTCGAGCTGCAAGCGCCTGACGAATATTGCAGACGACACTCACCGTATCCGACGACATGAAGCAACATGCAAGCGAAACAAGCCCGACCAGAAAATTTGTGCAAGTTGATTACCGCACGACTTTGTCCGCCACCGAGAAGATATCGGATCGGGCTATTTCGACCACCAAGACCGATGACCAGAGGCACTTGCGCCATGGAGATCGCCCCTGCTCTCAAAAGATCCGGTCCCAGCGGATTCTTCTTGGCGCTCCATTCCCAGTCGGTGTTCTTGTAAAAGTTGGCAAAGGCGACGATTCCGGCGTAGAGGGAATACACGAAGAGGTCCAAGCACGTCAAGCGCGGAGCGACTTCACAGAGGAGCAACTTTTGTATACCGGGGATCCTATCGAATACGCTGGGCATGTACGGCGGCGGGCTGAGTTGATGAAGAGCGGCCTCGTTGGCGATCGTGCGGCGGTTCAAGCCTTCTCCGAACCTCGGACTGGCGGTAGCAGAGAGCAGCGGCGCTTCGCTGCAAGACGAGAGCAAGGCGCTAGCGGGACCGGATCCCATCAGAGTGGCTGATGTCAGAGCCGAGGCGAGCGCTGACGGAGGGGTCTGTCCTCCAGCGCTGAGCATATGTGGGGAGGATCCGAGCAGATGGGATTTCTTGAGATATGTGAACTTGTCTTCGTGACCGTCTAGACTCTCATGACCGACGCAAGTCGTCTCCTGGGAATAGATCGACTCGGCCGCCGAGGTCAACGAGTTGTGTCTGGTCAAGACTCTGCCCTCGCCACCCTGCATCCTGTGATCAGGCATGGTGCGGTTCCCAGCACTGACGTCGGTGATGATCCTGCCAAGGTTGGGCCTGGAATCATTACGGCGATGGGAGTAGTAAATCGGTGCAGCGTGGGATATCGCGGGTAAGAGAAAGTCATCGTCCCCCTCCTTGTTATTCAGAGAAGGCGTCTCTTCGCAGAGATCCTCGATCGTAGATAGACGGTGCTTCTCTTCTGCAGATAGGAACCGAGGCGGGGTAAGTTGTTGGCTCTGAGCCGCAGGAGCGGGACGACGAATGGTGGGATCGTCCATCGCGTCTGCAGGCGTCCTGATGATCTGGACCGGTGGGTACTGGTTCGGCGTAGCGTTGACCCTGGGCTTCGATTCCGGGACCTCGCCCTTCTTCAAGACCCACCCGCTCCACAATTCTCCTCCTACCGTGCGCTTCCTCTTCAAGCCCGGAGTACCAGCAGGTCCCGTCTGAGAGGCAGACGTGGAAACCGGCTCATCCCTGCTTCGAGATCGGCGAATCTTGCCCATCGGCGAGGAGAAGAGGCGAACGATGAATCTGGGTTGTTCGGCCAGGAACCAAAGACCAAAAAGCACTGCACAGATGGTGAGGAAGATGACCGGCATCCTTCCTATAATATCGACCGAGGTTGCAACAACGAAAAGTACGGCCCCGTCAGAAGGTGTAACAACCAAGCTTGAGTGTTGAAACGGACTTACCGTTCCATTTCGATCTGTACGCCATGACGATCTTTTGTTCCGGAGTCAAAACTCTTTTCCCTCCGGACCCTCCACTCGGAGCTGCAGAGACAGCGGCAGTGGTAGCGGCAGCTGCAGCGGCAGAGGCGATCATGGAAGCCGTACTGAACGAGGTGAGAGCGGTACCAGCCGCTACTAGCGTTGTCGGCAAGCCCAAGCTCGTAGGCAGGATGAGGGATGCCGCGGTCTCGGTGGCCATGTTGGCGGTACTGACGGCCGTGAGGATTCCCGGCGCTGACATGTTCTCGTTGTTGTGGAGCTACGATGCGTGGCCACACAAGACCACTCGGTGGTGTATGTGTTTGCAAGTCGAAGTGGCGAGAAGAAGGGTACGCGAATATGTGAGATAGCAGGAAATGTCCTCTAGTATTCCTGAAACGCTGAAACGATTGTGGAAACACCTTAGGGACCAGCCCTGTTCAGGCGATGAAAGTACGGTGGACGTCCGTAGTATAACACCGTGCTGATCTCATACGTCAGGAAGTGTCGAAGAACTATGGTTGACGACCTGTATCCTAATACCTTCCTCTCAGAGTAGGCTATATGTATATCGGTCAATGCAGATGCGGCAGTTCCCGATACGGAATGCCAGCTCACCCTCGATTTGATCGCTTCGTATGACGACAGCAGTCTCCCCTTCCCCTTGTTGCTGATGGAGCACTTCGCCAAGTGACTAAGCGAGAACGAGGATCGTCCGATGCAATCAAGTGCCTTTACTTTTGTGACGACCGACGACCAGCGAAGGATCGTGTTTCAATCAATGCTTCAGAGCGCTCAGAGCGCAGGATGATCTAAAGGAGAGTGCGAGATCTTCTAACAGAGATCGAGTGCTTATTATCAAGTGGGCTTTCCGCTGATACGTCGTTGCGAAATTGCGAATCACGGGCCAGCCGTCTGCCGTGAGATGATGATACGTGATGATGGATCTCGACGAGCATCTTGGCTCGAATCGCCCGTCTCAACGACGTTGTGCGGGTCTATAACAGCAACAACGACGAAACGTCAAACCCGCTCGAACCACACGCTCCCCTTCCCCTCCCCCTCCTCTCCCCTCCCTGCTTCCCCTCCTTCGATCAATCTCTGACGCCGAAACGACCTTCCTTTGGCGATTTTGATCGATCGCCTATTCCTATTTCGGCCGAGACCACGCGATTGCTGTGCCCCCCACCCCCGTTTCAAGAGATCGGACGCGTGAAACCGTCGTCGTCTCCTGACCGAGGCTCGCTGAAACGCTTAAATATACCGGGCGGTTTGGTTCAACTCGCGAAAAACGCATATTATGCGATTTCGCGTTTCGCGCGATATCTTACCGCTACTAGTGCTGGCGAGCGATATCATACCGGTTGGAATCACAAAAAGCAGCTCTTCATCCCAGTTTTTGTTAGATTGGTATGAAGTTATCTCGGGCCCAGAGGGGGCGCAAGGCCCATGCCTGCCTCAGGCTTTGCCTAAGTCTACCTCAGACCTACTTCGACAGTCCTAGACATATACTTGATCGATGTACAGCATATCCTAGCCTTATACAAACATGCCCGATCACAATCTCGATCCGTACGAGGCCATTCAAGCTGCCGTCGACGCCTACGTCGAGGAGGTACATACCCCTATCCTTGCACTGCTCGCCTTACCATCAGCGGATCGGGATCACAGCCTCCTACCTCCGTTCATACACCAACTAGATGGTCTCGTTACCTGGCTGACGGCCGAAGCTAGGGGCAAATTACCTATGCAAGTACTGCGTAATCACTGGCAGGCAACACTTAGCCTGCGTGAGCAACTTGCCGCTGTACACCAAAACATCTTGAACAACGCTCCGACCCATCTCTCCAGGCAAACCGTCGCTCTGCCAACTGGTGGCTATAGCCTGGCCTTGAACATTCCTCTGTTCCAGCAGCTAGATCAAGAGGGCTTTACCGACCAGGAGATAGCCGAACACTTGGGCTGTTCTCGAAGTACTGTTCGCCGACGTCGACTAGCATTGGGTGGGCCATCTAAACGGGAAGTCAAGCACCAAGTGCCGGAGGAAGTCATTCAGAAGGTGAGTACCTGACCCAGTATGGCTTAGTATGCCGATCTTTATATTCGCTTGACTGAGTTCATATGCCATGCCACAGCATATACAAGATTGTTTGAATAGCCAAGACGGCATCATGGTCGGCTATCGCAAACTGCAAGGCTATCTCGAAGGCGTGGGTGTGCACATCACCCGAGAGCATGCAAGAGAGCTAAGCAGGGCTTTAGATCCGGAAGGTTCAAGGCTACGCAAGTCAGTCATGCGTAAACGGCGGGTGTACAAGGTCCCGTTCCCAAACTCTCTCTGGCACATCGATGGTCAGCACAAGCTTATACGCTGGAAGTTTGTTATACATGGAGGCGTCGATGGGTACAGCCGAGTCTGCGTATTCATGCAAGCGGGCGATAACAACCGGGCCGAGACAGTAGAGAGGTTGTTCCTTCACGCCACGGATGAATGGGGATGGCCTCAACGGGTACGGGTAGATTTTGGGAAAGAGAACTACGGCATTTGGAAGCAGATGGTAGCCATTCGAAGTAAGCACACTAGGCTGTGACTAGCTTAACCGCCCGCATATGCACAGGCTCATGGGCCTTCCTGCTTAGATACCATCAAAGCACCTTTCATCCGAGGCAAATCGACCAGCAACACCCCAATCGAGCGTCATTGGAAGGAAGTTGGGGAAAAGTTCACGCACAAATACTCAAGAACATTTGCCGACCTTGAGTTCAGAGAAGAGCTCGACCCCGACAACCCAGTCGACATTTTCTGCCTACACCATTGCTTCTTACCCCTGCTGAACCTGACCATCCGCCGACATGTCCTTGCGCATAACCATCACAAGAGCACGACCTCTGGTGAACGTGGATGGAGCCCACGCAAGAAGTGGCTTGATGGCATGCTGAAGGCTAAAGCTCGAGGGATGGATCTTGATCTTTTCCCCGCCGACGCTCTTGATGATATGGGCATCATTGACGAGGTGCTATCCGGGGACGAAGAAGACGAAGGTGTAGACGGAGACGGGCCAGGCTCTGCCAGACGCAGGCCAGGCGTACTAAGCTGGGTATCGGAACAACGGCAAGAAGATCTGTCACAGCCTGAACGTGAAAGCGATCCCTATGTCGAGGTCGAACGGTATCACGAGCTGTTACCACCGCTGCTACAAGATCCAGGCTTTAGGAAAGCGCTCAATCAACATTTCCCGCCCCCAACGGAACACTCTGCCGAGGAAGGTGACGATGGCCTCTTCAATACCCTGCAATACCTTGCCGTACGGGAGTGGGTTCATGACTGTATCTTGGCTGACGAGTGATGTAGCCAATGGCATAAGCGTATGTTTGTTTTGATTTGATGGCATACGAAAAGAACAAAAGAACCTCTCGACGTGTTCCATCATCAGTAAACAAAGACGTGGCATGGGCCTAGGGGGTAGGTAGGCCCATGCCACCGACGCACTTGATATATCTACATCACCTTCTCATCGATTCTTACTTTACTATCACATCTGTCTATACGTCTATACTCTAAACGCAAACACTTAAATCGACCTCGTCTTTATCAAACTCTTTGCATACATTTTCAAAATGGAGAACAACGAACAGCCTTTGCCCGTTTTTCCCGGCGGTTGTAAGTCATAGCATACCTTTAGCATACCTTTCGTACGCCAATAGGTTCTGAGAGTCTTAGCTTACACCTGGGTCTTTGTGTTCTCGTCTGACCTTACCTTGCACAGCGCTTGAAGATTATCAAGTGTGGATGACCGAATTGACGGACGAGCAGAGGGCGAGGTTCAACGAGGTGAACGAGAGTAAGCCCTTCCTTTGACCCTTCCTTTGACTACGCCTTCCCCGTCCATATCCTTCCGCTGTTGCTGCTTGCATATACTGATACCTTCGCAATCATTTCTTGTGTGTAGGGGCACTCGAGCAGCGACGTCGGGAGGCCGCGGAAGAGGCTGCGGAGCAGCGCCGGCTGGCCGAGGAGGCCGCCCACCAGGCCGCTCTCGAGC